TATGGGAAAGGATCAGTATAAAAGTATTTAATGAGTAATATTGCATGCTTCATTCCTGATGTAATTGACACTAGTCACTTAAGCAAAATGGGACTTAACGGTGGAATTATACAGGCCAAATGTGCAATGAACAGTATAATGCCTGATTTTTGGGACCATATTTAGACTTTAGGAATAAATCAAGCTGACAACAGCTTTCTGTATCAACTAGAATCTATTCAAAACGAGAAGGGATGTTCTCTCGCTCTCTATATCTCTCTCCTGGCCAACAATCTCCCAAATAAAATTGGTCAATCCACAACTGTTTGTGAGACACTGCCGTGAGCAATTGTCTGACACGTTTCACCCACAAAATACACAGTCACTGCACTTTAGAGTATAGCCTGTGAAGTGCTTTGAGACTTCTCAATGACGTGATAAGGCGCTGTATCCAATTATTATTATTATTAATCTGTGTTGAAGTGGTTTCAGGCAGGTTGAAATGTGTGTCCCTTTAACCAGCAGAGAAGCCGACACATCCATTCCCTTCTGATGTATTTACTTGTGCGAACATGAAGTGCAGATAGTTGCTGAAGTGCACAGAGCTTTAAGGTGACTCAGTTGAATGCGAATGAGATTTCTGACAATTGAGTCTGACTTCAGTTATCGAGTGGTGAGTGAGTGTGTGCAAAATAAAAGCTAAAACCCATCAATCTGGGAAGATGTCCTTCTTGAATCAAACTGAGAGTAAAACCTGACTGAAACTAAAGTTGTATTTCATGTCCCTTCATTCGCACATTGATTTAGTAGGCGTGTTATTCAGTGAGTACGACATTGCCCTTCTACATCTGTCGGGTTCAGTGGAGACATACTGTTAAAGAGCAGTCAATTCACAAGTGAACTTGGGATTTGGATTATTTTATTGTACCTTCGGTGATGTGCTTTGAGCAGAATTCGAATCTCGGGCAGGGCGAATCCTTAAGCCAGTTTCGCCCACAAAATACACAGTCACTCCAGTTCACAGTATATTCTTTGAAGCACTTTGAGATGTCTCTAAGACGTGATAAGGCGCTGTATCAATTGCAAGGTTTATTATTAGTATTAAGATTCTTGTTGTCCGCCAAATTTCCCCCAAATTTTGGGATACCGCGGCCTTGGAACCTGTAGTGTACAGTATAGGAGGCTTTTTACAGTTCTCTACCTGTTCACAGTCCCTCCCTTTGCCTCCTTCAAGACCCATCTCAAGACACTCCTCTTCGACCGCACCTTTGGTCACCCTCCTACCCTTACCCTCCCCGCCCTCCACCTCCTCCTGATCCCAACCACCAGCTCGGGTGTGGATCCCTGACTGTCCAGCGCCTTGGGACGTCCTCCTGCCGTGAAAGGCGCCGTGTAAATGTCACGTGTTGTTGGCTGCAGATCAGAAAGAGGGAGAGACGTTTTCTATTATGGGAAGGGGGGGGGGGGAGGCAAGTCATTAATGTTAATGGCGGAACTGTATGTTAAATGAACCGTGTTACATGAGACAGGAACTGTATGCTGTACGCCTGACTGAAGTGAGTGGTACAGATTGGATCTAGATTCCGCCCACAGAACACTCAGTCGCTCCACTTTACAGTGTATTCCTGTGAAGCGCTTTGAGACGTCACAAAGACGTGATGAGGCGCCGTATCAAATGCAAGGATTATTATTATTATTATTATTCAAACTCGCTTCTGATCTAAACATGAGATGCCAAATGGCAGATAAATGCAATGGCAAAGCAGATGGTTTCATCACCCGGGAAATTTCCTCGCATCCCCTTCACTTCTCATTTGTCACCGAGCACTTTCAGTGATTTTATAATCGAACTGTGTTGACTTCATCATTGTTAAATAATGAATAATTAATAATTCCCGCTCCAGTTTAGCTTGCGTTCCGTCGATCCATGCTCTGTGCTGCTAACATGTGTGTTACGGTTACATCCTTGTGAAATAGACTTCTTTGCTTTTTGGTTCCTTTCTCTCTCCTCTCTCTCTCCCTCTTCCTCCTCTCTCTGTCTCTCTCGCTCTAACAGGACTAATTCCGTGGCTCCAATTCTATTCCTTCAAATAATAGTAAATGTGCATTCAAATTGCCTGTATATATATATAAAAAAAAAGCTCTCTCCATTCTGAAGTGACAAAGTGATTTGACCGCTAGTTGTGTGTGTGGGCAGCCTTACGCGACGGGTAGGGTCACGTTGTAACGGATTGACGGATGTTTTCTCGAAAGGCTCAAACCTCCCTGTTTTCATACTCATATCAATAAAACTGTCCTATCCTGTCGTGCATTGTTATTCCAGCTGCAGTATTGTGCAATTCTGGTGTGATGTGATGTTGATTTTTATGTGTACTTTCGGGAACCCAACACTGGGAACGGGTTTCCGGGTCAATGAGTCATTGGGTGTTTGGCAGGGGAGAATAAAAGGTTCTATACGATTCGCATAAGTAGCAAACTCTATGCAGGTTTTGCAGCAAAAAACGTTGTCTAGTTGTCACAGTATAATTGTGTAGTTCTGCTTTAGAGAGATCTAGTGGTGCTTTCGACTCGACTGTGATTTTTCAAACCACAGTATCCCTTTTCGTCGACTTACTTGCGGAGTCCTGTCGTTCAGTGGTTAGAGCACTCGCCTCGCAAGCGAGGGGACCTGGGTTTGATTCCCAGGCGGGTCAGGGCGAAACCTTAAGCAAGTTTCCCTACTCCACGCACACACGCCTCTGTTTACCGAGCAGTAAGCGGGAACCCAGTTGTTAGTCGATTAGCGGATTGCTTTTCCAGGGATAATAATCCCTTCAAAAAATAACATAAGAACTTAAGAATTTGCTGGCGAAAGAAGATCAAGGTCCATCTAGTTGGCCTTCCACCATCGTGGCAGTCGCTTGACATGGGTCCCCGAACTATATACTTTATCCTGAGATAACAAAAAAAATGTGGTCACTCAATCCACGTTTGTGTGGACGCTGCTGTGCGCAATTGGCTGCCGCGTTTTTCGCCCACGAAATACAGCAATTCACTTTACGGTGTATTCGGCGAAGCGCTTTGAGACGTCCCGAAGACATGGGGCGCTGTGCAAAATGCGAGGATTACGATTACAAAAGTCGGCAGAAAGAGATGCTGTGGGCTTGCAAGTCAGTCGCAGCAGCAGCAGCACTTAGAGGCATGTTTGTCTGTGGGTAACATTCGGTGGTGTGAAAGGGTGAATGTTTGCAAGGTTGCTGATTCGCAAGCAGAGTATTTTTGTACAGATTCTAACGATCAAAGGGGTCTTGCCAATGACAATGTATCTATACTTTATTGTAATGTAAACGAGTGTGAACATGTTTCCCAATAAACAATGTTTTGATGCATATCTTACAAAAAGAAGTGGCGTGTTGTGGTGTCTTCAACACACTTTCCTTCGCCCGATCTTCAATAAATCCTGTGAAGCGCTTTGAGGTGTCCTCCTGGTGTGAAAGATGCTGTTACCAAATGCAGGGTTTATTCTTACGTCGTTACAGTTTAAATCACTCAACAGAAGTAGCTTCTAAATGGTTTTCAGTGTATAGTTATGCACGACATGTGAAGCGACTGCCAGGACGGTGGAAGGCCTTTTTGTGTCTTGCAATTCCTTTTGTTCACAAAATTTAGTCAATTCACTTTACAGTATATTCGGTGAAGCGCGTTAAGGTGTTATATCAAATGCAAAGATTATTATTATATTCGAGCTTCTAAAAATAGCTACTTTTTGCAGGAGGTTGACATACTTTGTTTAGGTATTTTATTTGTATTATTATTAATAATATTTCCTCATCTTATTATGCAGATTTGTGGCAATAAGTAGACTTGAGAGTCTCCGCATTGGGATTTTGAGACGGTTGCCTAAATATTGGCTATGTCTACAAGAGTAGACTTCTGCTACACTAGCTTGTACCTGCAATTCAACAGCCCCTGCCCCAAACACAAACGCTCGCGAGGACGGTATGCATGAGGCTCTTTGAATACGCAGCAGTGATTAAGAATGCAATCAGATTTGAGTGCTGCCTCTTAAACCCTGTCAAAGAAGCTTACTATGTCAACTGAAGGTTACGTTTCACTCTTTAAGTTGCGGAGGCCTGTAGCGTAGTGGTTAGCACGTTCCCCTCACAAGCGGGTTCGATTCCCAGGCAGGGCAAAACCTTTGCCAAGTTTCCTTTCTCTTCACGCCTCTGCTTACCGGTTGTGAGTCGATTGGCGGATCGCTTTCCGGGGTAATAATCCCTTTATTATTATATATTAATGCAAATTATTATATGATGTGTTTATGCAGTTCCCAATTTAATAATTCTAACTTCACCTTTGCTGTTCTGTTCATGCTCTTGATTCTACCTGGTTTGTTGCATGTACTCTTCACTGAACTATATTTCCACACGTCATGTCTGTCTAATTCTCTTTAATAACTCACGGACTGTGCATGAAGATGGGAATGAGGGGTTGCGTGTGTTGGTGTCCTCTCAACCGCAGCCGAAATCCAGATTAATTGCCGGTTAGTCAATGGATTGAGTTTACATTGCTATTAAGCTAAAATAGCATTGCCGTCAACTCGTGTGTTTGGAGCACTCGCCTCGCAAGCGAGAGGATCCGGGTTCAATTCCCAGTCAGGGCAATACCTTAGGCAAGTTTCCTTACTCCACACACACGCTTCTGTTTACCAACAGTAAGTAGGAACCCGGTTGTTAGTCAATCGGTGGATCACTTTCCGGGGGTAATAATGCCTTGAAAAACAAACAAATCAAATAATAATTATAATTTGGTGACTCAATCCACGACTGTTTGTGGGGACGCTGCTGTGCGCAATTGGCTGCCGCGTTTCGCCCACAAAATAGAGACAGTCGATTCACTTTGCAGTGTATCCGTGAAGCGCTTTTGAGAGTCTCGAAGATGTGATGAGGCAATGCATCAAATGCAAGGATTATTATTATTATTATTGTTGTAGGCGGAGTAGCAGAGATAGCATTGAACAACCCGATCTCCTTCTGTTCCAGGGTTCTTGAAGGATGGCACTGGGTATCCCGTGGAACAGTTGGCATCGCCTGCTAACGATGTGCTACTCAAGCCTGGCGCCGAGCTGGGTCAACATCAGGTCGCCAAGGCCTTCAACGCCAGCTGGGTTGGCAGGGATGGTCGTTCCTCTTGCGGCTCGGTGCACAGCAGCGACGAGGAGTCCATCGGCGAGGTGGGTGGCGACCCCCTGGACTCCAGTGGGCACCGGCCCCTTCTGATGGATTCCGAGGAGGAGGAGGAGGAGGTGGAGGTAGCGGGCAAGGCTCCAGCCCGACCGGGCGGCTGGGCCCGGCCCCCGAACCGGCAGAGGCTCCGCTGCCGAGCCAGGGCGCCGACGTCTTCACGGCCGCCCCGTTCAAGAGCGCGAGGGCAGGCGAGACGGCGGGGACCGATGTTTTCGCCCAGGCTCCCTTCAGGGGAAGAGAGACCCGGGGGGAGGAGGAGACGGACGTATTTGCCAAGGCGCCCTTCAGCAAGAGGAAACCCATGGGCACGTTGGAGGAGGAGGAGAGTCCCGCGTGCTACCCGTCGCTGGCCAAACTGCACAGGGAACAGTACGGCCACCTGCAGCTGGGGGAGATGACTTTGGGGCTCCAACCGCAGGGGCGTGAGGCTTTTGCCAAGCCCCCCGTTGGCGGAGGAGGACCGCAGCCCCCTGCTAGCGTGGCTCCGACTCGAACACCGACCGACCAGGGCCCACAGAAACCGATCGGCGGCAGAGAGGAGGAGGAGGCGGCGGGAGCTGGCCGGGAAGCGGACTCCGCCAGGACTCCTAGCGCCATCGGGAACCACCACCCCCACCCGAGCGCCCTGCGACCTCAAGCCGCCCCGCTGGCGCCCGCGAGCGCCAAACCTTCCCGCCTCCAAGCCTTGGGCAAGTACTCCCGACACTACCGAGAGGAGGCAGACACCAACTGCGCCTCGCCCCTGCACAAGGTTGCTGCCAAGAATCCCCAGGGAGCGCCCGCTCCCGATCCCACGCCCTCGCCACACTCCGGGACTCCGGAGCTGTCCGGTGCTGATCCCTTCTCCGCAGCTCCCTTCCCCACCAAAGCCCGTCAGCACAAGCCTTAGCCAACACACCCCAGGATTCCCTGCTCTTTACCAGCCACAACTCCCCCCCCCCCCCCCACAAACAGCACTTGAGGACACTTGTAGAGAGATGGTGGACATTGTCTTGGATTAAGCCGGGAGCTGCTTAAATGAAAACTGGCAGCGTTGTCTGTGCGCAATTGACTGCCGTGTTTCGCCTACAAAGCCCACAGTCACTCCACTTTACAGTCTATTCTGTGAAGCGCTTTGAGACGTCTCGACCAGGTGATAAGGCGCAGTATCGAATGCAAAGGATTATGATAACTAATTATTATTGCCTTGGAATCCCAACCGAAGAGGAGTTTCTCTTCAATCTCCTGCCGTGCAAAACACACAGCCTGTGTGTGTGTGTGTGTGTATTGGGGGGGTGGGGGGAGAACTGGTATCAACTGATCAGTGCTATTCTCAGGCTCTACAGAAGATTCCAGTGTCGTGCCTCGCCCACCCCCACCTCGAGCCTGACAACACTGCCATCAAAACTACTCCCTACACACACCACAAATTGATTCCACGTTGCACTTGTTGTACAGTGTCCAGTAATCAGTGCCCCGAATCACATCTGTAGCTGGCAGCTGTTTAGCGAGCTTTCCCGCTGCTTATCCAGCTAGGAACACCCTCCCCCCCAACCGGTTGGGGGCTTTGGCTTGCAGGGTTAACACACAGGAGCTGAGTGGGGGTATTCCCCTGACTTAAGGTTTCCATTGGGGAAAGAAAAAGAATTAGGTGAAATAAAAGAAAACGCCTGATGCAAAGCAAAACCTCTGCTGGCAACCAAATGGCATCCATTGCAAAGTGAATCCGATTTATTTTATGAAGCTAAGTACTGTATTACCAGCGTTGCCTTTCAAACCAGGGCTGCTTTAATTCCTGAGAACGCTAGATGCATTATGCTGTGAAGCACTTTGAGACAACTCAACAACGTGATAAGGCGCTATATCAAATGCAAGGATTATTATTATTATTATTATTGATGAGGTGCGATCAATTGAACTGAGTGGATTGGAATCTCTGATGCTGTTCACACTGAAGTTGTCTTGGCAGACAGCAGCAAGGAGATGAAATCGATAACGACCCCAGATTTATCCTTGATTTGTTCCCGATCCCACAGATGAACTGTAACAGCCAGGATGGTCGCTATCCACACTGGGAGATTTCCAAGTGTGTTGTGTATGTGTGTGTGTGTGTGTGTGGGGGTGTGTGTGTGGAGAGGGGGTAACATTCCCACGCAGAACTGGTCTGTCTGCTCTTAAGCGCGGTGGTCGGTTTGTGTGGGTGGGTGACGGACACCTGGCTGACCGAAGAGAGAAAACAAAGAAACAGAGTCACAGAGAATCAAACGGAACTAAAATCAAACCACGAGCGGAACCTCAAAAGCCCCCTCGCTGCTGGAACGAGCTGAACAGCTTTTAGTCCAAAATGATGTCTCGACGGGGACTGAGCTTGTGCAGGGGACTGATTTCGCTTGACGGACCAGACAGAAGCTATCGCCGTGTCTTCGCTGATGAAGATTTCAATTCATTCCGCCCGGGATCAGGCACGTAAACCCGGTCGGTCAAAGCTGCCCCTTGTTAATTATGTTTCAGAAATTTCCGCGATCAAATGTAAAGTGACAGGAAGGATTGCGCCGTGTAAAGCTGTGGTGCCTTTAGACCAAGATGTGACATTGTGTACGGGGGGAGAGAGAAGGGGGAGGGTTAGAGGAATAACTCTCTCAGACTTGTACACGGGTAATCACAAAGAGTGACAGTGACTGAGCAGCACTTGGGATTGGGGTTTGAGACTTACTTTCAACCCCGCTTGACGTTTTCAATGAAGAGTTCCTTGCTCGTGTGGGCAATGCAGGCGGTGTAAAACACGAGGAGAAGATGGGTCGCCTGGTCACTCAAACGCCTTTGTTCCAAAGCTTCCGGAGAGGGAGTTTAACGCACAAATCAAACCTGAGGATATTGAACGGACAGGGAAAGCGTTAAAGTGCTGGCTCACTGCCTGAGCATCGTGCCTTTCTGTCCACCGAGAAAATAAGCCGTTGCTCCCTTGACCCACTTCAGCATCGAACATACTCCCGCCTCAATGACCCTTTGATGCGCTCCGAGACACCGTACAGCGTAAAGGGCAACTCTAAATGTTGTTGATGCCTTCACAGCTGCCTGTGTAATGTCCCACTTCCCGACACACTGAAGAACAGAAGAGCTTTGCTCTCAAGAATTGGCCGCTCTAGGTAAAATCCCGTGAAGCTGTGTCGGTCAGTCAGTCAGTCAGTCATCAGCTCTGGGTGGGGTGGCTTTGGTGGAGAGAGAGGAGGGGAGAGAATACCTTTGTGTAGAGGAAAGGGAGTGGGTCAGAATGGATTCAATGCAATATTCCCGCAGAGTCCACTCGCCATGCAAGTGAGACGGCCCGGGTTTATTATTATTATCTTCCATGCCCAAGGAATGGTGTCGCAGATGAGGCCATTTTGCCTCCAGTATCTCCCCCGGGTCAGTGGTGGTGAGATGGGGCTCTCCAGCTCAGGAACCCCATAAAAAGGGTCTTATTAAGCGAGTCGAAGAATGTTTGGGGGCGTTAAATTTTGCTGCTTGCACAAAAGTCACTGCCTCTTGCCCCTGAGGAAAAGCAGATGGTCACAGGCTAAGGACAGAAGGCTATTTATTGAATTCACGTGCAATCCGAAATGTTATGGAAAGATGAAGGGGGGGGGGGGGGGGGGCTAAGAATGGACAGTCCCCCCAACCCCTCTTGTTACTGTATCAAGGCTTGAAGACATCTGGGGGAGCAGATGTTTTGGTTCTAACCACATCTTTCGTGGTGTTATAAACACTTATGCCCACCCCCCCCCCCCCACTCTCACCTCGCAAGCGAGAGGTCCTGGGTTCGATTCCCATGCGAAACCTCAGGCAAGTTTCCTTACTCCACACGCCTCTGTTTACCCAGCAGTAAGTAAGAACCCGGTTGTTAGTCGATTGGTGAATCGCTTTTCCGGGGGTAATAAATAATCCCTTCCAAGAATAATAATAATCACTCAATCTGTGATAAGTCGCTATATCAAATGCAAAGATTATTACTATTCTACCAGAGGCAAACGCCAACAGTCTCTCCCAACCCGCCCGCCACACAAATCTCTTCACTGCTTCGGGAGATATTACACCATCTTGCACTGAATTGCGTTAGCTATATTTATCAGGCCCGCTTGCTTCTTGTGGGTGTGCAATAAGTCCTCATGTGTTAAAGCCAAAGTGAATCCCACTTCACCTCTTGGCTCAGTCTGTACCGTTTCAACAGGATGACTTCAACCTCTTGCCTGGGGGACAGAAAAGCAATTTACTTTACAGTATATTCTGCGAAGCGCTGAGATGCCTCGAAGACTTGAGAAGTACTTTGTTGTTATTCAGTACAAAAGTACTGGGGCTCAGCTACCTCTTACCTCTCAGCGTGGATTAGCGGCCGATTTAGCTAGAATTTGTCACCCGAATGAAACAGTAGGGGTGCGGGGATGAGATGGGGATGGTAAGAGAGAGAAATTTGCATTTATTTATAAACGAATGACTGATCGAAAGCATTCCAATTTGAGGAATAAGGGGCGAAAAAGCAAGACAACCCGACTTCAGTGTGAATTTTTTCTTTTTGTTCAATCGTATCTGGATCATGGGTTATTGTATGGAATTTTTTTCCCTCTTTATTTACTGACTCCCAGCATCAATGTTAATGGACAGAGAAACTTTCATCTCTTTCTCTCTCTCTCTCGAACAACAGACGGTCTTAACAGGAGCCTGAGAGCAGTGTTCAATTGCTCAGTGATCTGAACAGGGTGAAACATGCAGTGGTGAATGAACTCATTGAAGTGTACGTATTGCATTGTATTTTTTTTTGACATTCACTCAGTCACGCGCTGACTGAATACATCTCGTATTCTTTCAGAAATGAGCTTTACAGCTTTTTGTGTATTATATAAATATATATATATATTAAAAAAAACACCCTTCTTGTTGGGAATAAAGTGTGTGATGCCTTGATTTGGTTTAATTTCATTTCTCTGTGTCGTCCTTTGCCTACTTGCATGTTTCATCGAGTTGATGTGAGACAGTGACATGTTCCTGCTGCAGTGGCCCTGTGTATTGCAAGAACTTTGCGTCTCTGTGTAACCCAGAGCTGACAGCACCTGTGCGGCTCCAGGTCGGTTTAGGTGTCGATAATGCTCCACCGCAGCACAAGAACTTGAGCATTATTCCGAACGCAAAGCCAAATATTTGCGGAGTCCTGCAGTATAGTGGTTAGAGCGAGAGGACCTGATGTCGATTCCCGAGCAGGGCAAAACCTTAAGTAAGTTTCCTTACTCTGTTTGAAATGTGGTCATTCAATTCACGACTGTTTGTCGGACGCTGCTGTACGCAATTGGCTGCTGCGTTTGGCCCACAAAATGCAGTCAATTCACTTTACAGTATGTTCTGTGAAGCGCTTTGAGGCGTCTCGAAGATGTGATAAGGCGCTGTGTCGACTGCAAAGATTATTATATACATATTATTGTTAAATATAATGGCTGCGGTTTTAAATGTTCTTAAATTACTGCAAAATTGTGCTGGGTTCTTGACAAAGCCCACCAAGCTGTGAGCTTCATTGCCAACGCCTTCCAGCGGAGAGGATAATGTGCTGTGGGAGGTACCGCTTCGATTGATATTAATCTGCGACAAGAACATATGATTTGTGAGGGTCACAGAGACGAGTCAGTCGTTGATCTAGAAACGCAGGAGTCTCCCAAGGGACTCATCAGTTCACAGGCGTTTAAATGTCTACATAAGCGTGATACACGGCACCCCACTGCCTCACTCCCAACGCAGCTGAAGCTTTCATCCAGGTCTATGTCACACTAAACTCCACAAGCCTGTCGCCTCCATCTTTGCTTTGCCGCTCCCTTTCCTTCCCGGAGGACTAAGATCCTCGTCCTTGCCTTCAAACTCCTCCATGGCCTTGCCCCACTATCACTGTGAGTGTCCTGCACCCATCACCCCAGACCATTCCCTCTGACTGTGAAGTCCTATCGCGTATTGGTTGGAGCACTCTTCTCCCAATTAACTAACGACCGAGATCCTACTGACTGCTCGGTAAACGGACGTGTGGAGTAAAGAAACTTGCCTGAGGTTTATAAACGGTATAAAATACAGTGGCAGAAATGAGACACCACATGCCCCACTCCCACTCGATCTGCTCGAAGCAATGGGTATGTTGAATCCTGACCGGGTTTCCAACTCCGTGGAAGCTGTGAATTTTCGTACATACGTGGAGTCCTGTAGCTCAGTGGTTAGAGCACTCGCTTTGCAAGCGAGAGACCTGAGTTCAACTCCAGGCAGAGGGCGAAACCTCGGGCAAGTTTCCTTACTCCACACAGAGCCTAATAATAATCCTCCAAAACCAAAAACAATAATAAATTGGTCATTTTCAATCCACGACTGTTTGTGGGACATTGCTGTGCGCAATTGGCTGCCGCGTTCGCCCACAAATATACAGTCAATTCACTTTACAGTGTGTTCTGTGAAGCGCTTTGGGACGTCCTCCCGACGTGAAAAGCGCAATATCAAATGCAAGGATTATTATTATTGTTAGTCGATTGGCGGATCGCTTTTCCTCGGGGGGCGGGTTAATAATCCCCTCAAAGTAAATAAAAAATAACTTGGCCGCTCAGTCCGCCCACGGCCGGGCGCGACGGACCGCCTGCCGCGCGTCGCCCGCCCGCCCGCCGAACGCGCGGCCGCTACGCTTTGCGGCGTGTCCCGCGCATCACTGCGAGAGACGTCTGGACGACGCGATGAGGCGCTGAGTCAATTATCATCGTCATCATCATCATCGTCGTCGTCGTCAGCTCTGCTGTCCCACTGCGTTGAATGAATGAATGAATGTGAATGAATGAATGAATAAATGACACTAAAAGGGGATTTATTATTTATTATTATTATTATTATTACTCGACTCCTGACCTGTTCCATCACTGCACTGAGAGCAGGTGGTACTCGGGGTCCTCCGACCAGAGGGGTGGGGTTGGCCGGCGGCGCCTGCTGAAACCGCCCTATCTCCCCCAACGCACTTCGCCCTCGCGAGTCAGTTAGGCGCTGGTGAGGGGAAACCCCAACCCCCTGACCTCCCTCTGCCCGATTTTTTTTTAAAAACCATTTTTATGCCTTTTTTTAATTCAGGTAAATATATATATATCTATTCAGATGGTAAAGGGAACTAAAAAGGCCGATAATGCGACAGGCGAGTCCTGGGGGCAGCTGCAGGGCGGGCGGGGGGGGGGGTCCTTGCGTGAGGGCGGGCTGAGAGCCAAGATGGCGGCGCTCGGGAGCAGCTGCTGCGGGTTCCTGGGCACCAGGTGGGTATCCCTCAGTGCTTGGGCTTCGTTCCCCCCTCCCCCACACCCCTCACCCCTCACCCCCACACCCCCCTCACCCCACACCCCCCCCACACCCCTCACCCCCACACCCCTCCCCCCCCACCACCCCCCCCACAGCCCTCACCCCCACACACACCCCCACACCCCCCCCACACACCCCTCACCCCCACACCCCTCACCCCATCCCCCACACACCCCACACACCCCTCCACACCCCACACCCCTCACCCCAACTCCCACACACACCCCCACCTCACCCCAACTCACACCACTCACACCCCCCACACACCCCACACCACACACCCCTCACCCCTCACCCCCCCCACACACCCCACCCCCTCACCCCATCCCCCCCACACACCCCTCCACACACCCCCACACCCCTCACCCCTCACCCCCCACACACACCCCACCCCCCCACACACCCCCACACCCCTCACCCCCAACACCCCTCCCCCCCCACACACCACACCCCCACACCTCTCACCCCCCCCACACACCCCACCCCCACACCCCTCACCCCATCACCCCCCCACACACCCCTCCACACCCCTCACCCCCCCCACACACCCCACCCCCACACCCCTCACCCCGTGTCGTTCCTTCGCTGCTGTTACTTTACCAATAATGATTACATTTTTTTAACATATATATATAAAGCCTTCCATTCCCCCCCCCTTCCTTCTACCTCCCCCCCCACACACACACACACACACAAACAAATACCCCCCCCCCCGTCTCGCAGATCCACAAAATATTGCTTTTCGGACTCCTCTCTCTTTTTTTTCAGTGGTGCGAAGCTTTTCAGCGCCTCCTGACGTCTTCCTGACATGAAAGAGGCCGCTTTGCAGATGTCGTGTTGTTGTTGTTGTTGTTGCTGCTGCTGCTTGTTGCCTGTTGTTGTTGTTGTTGTTTAGGCCGGGCTTTGTTGTGGCTGCTCAGGCTTCAGGGGGAGCCAATTAAATAATAATAATAATAATAATCAATTAAATAATAATAATGATGATGACGGTGATAATAATAATCCTGGTATTTGACGCAGACAGACAGAGCCTCGTCACGTCGTCTCAAACGCGCTTCATACACTGTAAAGTGCAGCGACTTGTGTGTTTTGTGGGCAAAATGCGTTGTTTCTTGGGGGCGGTTGGGTGGGGGGGGGGGCAACTCGTAATCCTTGCATGTGACCGGCTCCCAGATGACCTCCCAGGCAAAGGAATGTCAGGAAAAGGAATGTCAGAAATCGAGCCCCTTCCACCGACCCCCCCCCACCCACCCTCTGTGACGGTCTCTGGTCCTGGTTCCTGAGCCAGGAGGGTCCACAGTACTCCAGGGCACTCATTGCTGATGACAGCACAGCCCGGCCCGGCTCATTTGAAGGCCGACCAGTCGCTGGGGGCAGGGAATCCTCCCCGTCAGCTCCTGTTAACCCTGCAGCCAAAGCCCTAACTAACGCTGAGGGTGATCCAAGCAGCGGGAAAGTTCTCAATGGCAAACTAAGTGGTTTTAGCTTTTCTGGGGATCATAATCCCTTTGGGGGAAAAAATAAATAAAAGGTCTCCTGCTCTGTAAGATTCTTCTCCCCGCAGCACTACAATAGCTAGTTTTATTCTCTTAATAAAAAAGACCCTGAGCCGTGTCGTTAAGGGACATTTATTTTATGTTTTTCAGACTCCGCACAGCGCAGGTGATGACACGTTTGTGTTACAACAGGCGATGGAGCAGCCACAGGGTCGGACATCAGAAGCCCTCCCTGCTGACACCTTCCTTCTCTGCTCCCTGTAAGTTCTTTGAATAATAAATAATAATAATAATAATAATCCTCGCCTTTTATATAGCACTTTTCTCGTGGTTGAGACATCTCAAAGCCCTGTTGCAAAGTGAATTGACTACATTTTGTGGGCGATATTAAGTGCAAGGATTATTAGTATTATTAAATCTCTGGGTAATTTTACCTGCTCTCTGCCAGCGGTGTTGAGCTGTGCTCTTCCCGTTCTCTTGCAGCCAGAAGTATCTTCATTCAAACCCAGGATACGCCAAACCCAAACAGCTTGAAGTTCATCCCGGGCCGGACAGTCCTGGAGAGCGGGACCATGGATTTCTCAGCTCCCAGCACAGCGTTTTGCTCACCGTTAGCCAGGTTCAGTATGTCCAGCAGTCGTGCTCCGCCACTGTCAAGCGCTCTGGGACGCTACCCTGCGTGAGGGGCGCTGTGTAAATACAAATTGTTGTTGTCGGTGGTGCCCTGGTCTTATTTTCACCCTCCTGCGATGGGATTCCGCATGGGGGTTAACGGGATGTTGTGAACACCCTCGTGTTCACAGTGGCTTTCCCTTCCTTCTGCAGGCAGCTCTTCCGAATTGATGGCGTCAAAGCGGTTTTCTTTGGGCCAGACTTTATCACCATCACCAAGGTAGGAAGCCAGGCCGGTCACAGTACCTCAGTGCTGTTTACAACCAAATGGGGGTCATTGGGCTTCACAAATCCCTTGTGCAATTTGAAAAAGGGAAAGGAGTTTATTATAATAATAATAATAATAATAATCCTTGCATTTGATACAGCGTTTTATCATGTCTTTGAGACGTCTCAAAGCGCTTCACAGAATACACTGTAAAGTATAGTGACTGTGTTTTGTGGGGGAAATCCCAATTGGTGTCCAGATTGATGATTCCCCAAAGTACAATTGGTCGTTCGCTTCAGGGCTGTTTGCGGGATTTCGCCCTTGTGCAAATTGGCTTCTAAAATACATGGCCATTACCTTTTACAGTCAATCCTGTGAAGAGCTTTCAGAGGGCTTTCTGACTTGAGAGGCTCTGGATCAAATGTAGGGACTAATGTTTGTCTAATGTGAAACCAGGCAGACGTTAATGTGGAGTGGAAATTGCTCAGACCAGATATCTACGCCACCATCATGGATTTCTTTTCATCTGGGCTTCCAGTCCTGACTGACGAGGCACCACGGACCGACACAGGTGAGAGCAATGTGCTGTTGTGCTGATGCTCACTTTCCTCCTGGAGCGAAGAAAGTTCAAGCAAGGGAATCGATCACTCCAGTAATAATAGTAATCCTCGCATTTGATATAGCGCCTTATCACATCGTTGAGACGTCTCAAAGCGCTTCACAGGATTATACCATAGAGTGAATTGACTGTATATTTTGTGGGCAAAACGCAACAGCTAATTGCGCACAGCAGCGTCCCACAAATAGTCGTGTATTAAGTGACCAAATTATTATTATTTTTGAAGGGATTATTACCCCCGGAAAGCGATCCGCCAATCGACCAACAACCGGGTTCATATTTACTACTGGGTAAACAAGGGGCGTGTGTGTGGAGTAAGGAAACTTGCCTAAGGTTCACCCTACCCGGGAATCGAACCCAGGTCCTCTTGCTTGCGAGGCGAGCCCTCTAACCACTGAGCTGCAGGACTGCATGTGTTTCAAGGAAAGAACCGGTTGATGGTGGAATTGGTGGCAGTGTGTAATCGCGGCCCTTTGTATTTTTAGCTGCTTCAGATGACGATGATGAAGTTGTAGCAATGATAAAGGAGCTGCTGGACACCAGGATCAGGTCAGAAGAGAGGCAGACAACAACTCCCCATCACTCAGAGGATACAGTTGAAGATCCTGGTCCTCACCTTCAAAGCCCTACATGGATGGCCTTGCTCCACCCTACCTCTGTAACCTCCTAACCCACGACCAACCTGTCCGCTCCCTCCGCTTAGTGGGCTGCGGCCTGCTCCACGTCCCCCCGCCTTCCCGGCCCCACCATTGGCGGACGGGCCTTCAGCCTTTCTGCTCCAACCCTCTGGAACTCCATCCCACAGTCCCACCGCCTCGCCCCCCCCCTCACCTCTTTCAAGGCCCATCTCAAGACCCTCCTCTTGGACCACGCCTTCGGCCTCCCTCCTGCCCCTACCTCCCCGCCCACTCTGCATGTTCAGTGAACGTTAAAGAGAAGGGAGTTTCTCTCTCCCAGTCGGTGTCCTGGCCAACAATCCCCCCAAATAAAATTGATCAGTCACTCTATGGCTTTATGTGGGGACATTGCTGTGTGCAAATCGGCTGCCGCGTTTTGACCACAAAACACGGATCACTTTTCCTGGGGTAATAATCCCTACAAAAATAATTTGGTCACTCAATCCACGGCTGTTTGTGGGGGACGCTGTTGTCCGCAATTGGCTGCCGCGTTTCGCCCACAAAATATACAGTCAATTCACTTTACAGTGTATCCTGCGAACCGCTTCGAGACGTCTCAAAGACGTAATAAGGCGCTGTATGAAATGAGAGGATTATTATTATCCATTTCTATTGTGTGCCTCTGTCAGACACTAGATGGCGAATGTCTGCAATCTCTAATCGTGAGACGGAAAGGGCTGTTTGTTGTCCTTTGGAACACTACGCTCCATGTGGCTGCGATTAATTCTTGCTGTTCCGGTAACCCCCTAAGATTTCAAGCAAAGTCCAGAGGCCAACAGGGGAATTCATGTATGAAATGGCCTTGATTTATCCCACTCTTATCATTCTCACTACCTTTTGTTAATTTTTGGAAGATTGTTGGCCAGGACACTGGGAGCAATTATTGGAATATTATCGAGGATCTTTAACGTCCACTGGAGCAGACAGACAGACAGGATCTCAGTTTAACTTCCCCTCTGAAGTACAACAGCTCACAGTGTTCACCCTCAGTCCAACCCTCTTCACAATAAATCCTATGAAGTGCTTTGACACATCCTCCTGACGTGAAAGGAGTCCTGTAGCTCAGTGGTTAGAGCACTCGCCTCACAAAGCGAGAAGACCTGGGTTTGATCCCTGGCCAGGGCAAAGCGTTGGGCAAGTTTCCTTACTCCACACACGCCTCTGTTTACCTTGCAGTAAGTAGGAACCCAGTTGTTAGTCATTTTACAGTATATCCTGTGAAGCGCTTTGAGACATCTGGAGGACGTGATAAGGCGCTGTAACAAATGCAAGGGCGGTTTTTCTGTTGTCATTACTCTCGTCGGTGCTGTGGATTTACAGTCTGTCTCTTGCACTGTCAGGCCCACTGTTCAGGAGGACGGGGGAGATATCATTTTCAAGGGGTTTGAAGATGGTATCGTAAAACTGAAGCTCCAGGGCTCCTGCACAAGCTGCCCCAGCTCTATCATCACCCTGAAGAGTGGCATCGAAAACATGTTACAATTCTATATCCCCGAGGTGGATGGTGTGGAGCAGGTAAATGATTCTACATAGCAATTCTGTTCTGCTAGGAAATATTTTTGGGGGATACAGTAAGTAGGAGGCCTGTAGCTCAGTGGTTAGAGTACTCGTCTCGCAAGCGAGAGGACTCGAGGGTTTGATTCCCGGCAGAGCAAAACCACAGGCAAGTTTTTACGGCAGTAATAATTCCTTCAAAAAATATATATATGATAAGTTGCTAAGTCCACGACTGTTTGTGGGACACTGCTGTACTCGACTGACGTGTTTCTCCCACTAAACTTACAGTATATTCCGTGAAGCGCTTTGAGACGTCTCAAAGACGTGATAAGGAAGTTATATTACATGCAAGGATTGTTATTATTATGTAGTTAAAAACACGAAATGTCTGAAACAGCACTTCAAACAAGCCAGTGCCCCCCTCCTCCCATTGTCAGACTAGTGTGTAAACTCAAATTCCTGATGTATGGCTCAAACCCACAAGCTTGTAAACCGATGGTTACTAACTGCGCCAGTCACTTAATAATGGACAAGAATTCTATTCCTATGAAGTGCTTTGAGGTGTCTGAATGACACAATAAGGCGCTAATGTTTCAAAGCCCCCCACCCCCAACCCCCCCCTTGCTCCTTCCTACCTCTACAACAACACAACAGCAGGCTCCACCGTGCTCCCATGTTCCCCGTCCGGCACGCCCCACCATCAGCGGACTTCAGCCTCCACCCTTTGGAACGCCATCCCACAGTCCCTTTGCCTCCCTCCCTCGCCTCCTTCAAGGCCCGTCTCAAGACTCTCCTCTGCCACCCCGCGCCTTCGGTCACCCTCCTACCCGCACCCTCCACCCCTCCTGGTCCCAACCCCCAGCTCCGGTCCAAATCCCGTACTGTGCAGCGCTTTGAGACGACCTCCCAATGTGAGAGGCTCCGTGTAAATGTCATTTGTCGCTGTTATATCGAACGCGAGGATTTTTACAATTTCTTTCTGCAGGTAACGGATGACTAATGTTACAAGGGCAGGCGTTTCACGGATCCCTCTCAGATGAAACTTAGCGTTTAGAGCTTATTTAAATCGGTCGCACTCTTTCACATTCTGTCGTGGGATCCCCGTGCACTTTAATATTGACACACCGGTGTTCGTGGCAAATCTGTTTGGTAATATATTTTGCAATAAAGAATTTGAGCTGTTTTTTAAATGAATTGCGCAGTTTTTTTTTAACTGCGCCACGCTGGGTGTTTTATTTGAGGCCTGCAGAGTACTGGTCAGAGCGCTCGCAAGAGGGCCTGGGTTCGATTCCCCGGGCGGGGCGGGGCGGGGCGGGGCGGAACGCTGGACAAGTTTCCCTACCCCACACGCCTCTGTTTACCCGGCAGTAAGTACCGGTTGTCAGTGGATTGACGGCCGGATCGCTTTTCCGGCGGTAACAATCCCCGGCTCCGTGTTCGTGGGGCACCGCCGTGCGTGGTCGGCTGCCGTGTCTTCACCCCCCCCCCCCCCCCCGCAAGACGCACAGTCACTCCGCTTGACGGGCACGTCCTGGTGAAGCGCTCGGGAGACGACGACAACAACTCGGGCTGACGCGGCGCCCTGCATGCCGGGCGGCGTCTCGGGGCGCTCGAGCACCGGCCCGGCCCCGGGTCAAACGGCGGGCGTTTTGCCGCCGATGACCCCGAATGGGTGCGATTGGAACGATTTTTTTTTAATTATGGATGTATTATTGTGTGTGAATCGCGGGTGGTGCTGGTGACCCGGCGCCCAGGCTCGGTGACCGCGTGCGCTCCATCAGCGCACACGTGTCCGCGCACACATATGTACCACACACACATGTGTGAAACCTGCCCACGTGCCTCTCCAGCTGTGACACACGTCCCCAGGTGATGGCTACATCCTGGTGCCACGTGTCAATGCCAACCCGTGTCAAGCACTCCCCGCCCCGCCCCTCCTCTCCCCTCCCCCATTGGCTGAGACGGCGCATCGCGTCACGGCACCGCCGGCCAATGGCCCGGCCGTACGCGCCGATCGCTGCCTTGAGTGACAGCAGCGCCAGCCAACCGCCTCGCGCGCACCCGCCCAGCCCCCCCCTCTTTTCCACCCGCCCCGCCTTGTTGAGTGACAACACCGCCGACCAATCGCCAGCCACCGCCCCCGCCCCGCGTCGACGAGTCAAGCGACAACCCCCCACGTTTGAGTGACGGCGGGCGGGGTGGGCGTGGCGCCCCGTGGAGCGACAGCAACCGTCGACCAATCGGGAAGCGCGGAGGCGGCTAGCGACGCCCTCGCGCGCGGAGCGACCAATGGGGGGAGGTGGGGGCGGGGCGGGAGCGACGCGCTCGAGCTCTTGACGTCGCAGCGACGGTTGGTGACGGTTAGTGGCGGTTGGTCGCGAGCGGCGTCGGCGGCATGTGCGGTAAGTGAGGGGGGTGTGCGCGGGGGGTCCCGGCCCCGGCTGAGGGGAGCCCTTAGGGGCGGCTGATAAGCGCCCCCCCACCCCCACCTCTTCTCCCCCCTCAACGGCGGGGCCTTAAGGCGTCTCTCGCGCTCTCTCTCTCTCTCACTCACCCAACCGGCGCCGCTCATTTAAAGGGACCGCTCCCCCCCCACCCCCCCCCGTCACTGTTGTCATCGTTATTATGCGTGAAGGAGAGAGAGAGAGACTGAGCGTGAGAGACTGAGAGAGAGTGTGAGAGAGAGTAAGTGTGTGTGTGAGAGAGACAGAGTGAGTGTGAGAGAGTGAGTGTGTGTGTGAGAGAGACTGAGAGTGAGTGTGAGAGAGTGAGTGTGTGTGTGAGAGAGACTGAGAGTGAGTGTGTGAGAGACTGAGTGTGAGAGTGTGTGTGTGAGAGAGAGTGTGTGTGTGTGAGAGAGAGTGTGTGTGTGTGAGAGACTGAGAGTGGGTGAGTGTGTGAGAGAGACTGAGAGTGTGTGTGTGTGAGAGACAGAGTAAGTGTGAGAGACAGAGTAAGTGTGAGAGACAGAGTAAGTGTGAGAGACAGAGTGAGTGAGTGTGTGAGAGAGACTGAGAGTGAGTGAGTGTGTGTGAGAGACTGAGAGTGAGTGAGTGTGTGAGAGACTGAGAGTGAGTGAGTGTGTGAGAGACTGAGAGTGAGTGAGTGTGTGAGAGACTGAGAATGAGTGTGTGAGAGACTGAGAGTGAGTGAGTGTGTGAGAGACTGAGAGTGAGTGAGTGTGTGAGAGAGACTGAGAGTGAGTGAGTGTGTGAGAGACTGAGAGTGAGTGAGTGTGTGAGAGACTGAGAGTGAGTGTGTGAGAGACTGAGAGTGAGTGAGTGAATGTGAGAGACTGAGAGTGAGTGAGTGTGTGAGAGACTGAGAGTGGGTGAGTGTGAGAGACTGAGAGTGAGTGAGTGTGAGAGACTGAGAGTGAGTGTGTATGTGTGAGTGGGTGTGTGAGAGACTGAGAGTGGGTGTGTGAGAGACTGAGAGTGGGTGTGTGAGAGACAGACTGAGAGTGGGTGTGTGAGAGACAGACTGTGAGTGAGTGTGTGTGAGACAGAGTGAGTGTGTGTGAGACAGAGAGTGAGTGTGTGTGAGACAGAGAGTGAGTGTGTGTGAGACAGAGAGTGAGTGTGTGAGACAGAGAGTGAGTGTGTGTGAGACAGAGAGTGAGTGTGTGTGAGACAGAGAGTGAGTGTGTGTGAGACAGAGAGTGAGTGTGTGTGAGACAGAGAGTGAGTGTGTGTGAGACAGAGAGTGAGTGTGTGTGAGACAGAGAGTGAGTGTGTGTGAGACTGAGCGTGAGTGAGTGTGTGAGAGACTGAGAGTGAGTGAGTGTGTGTGTGAGAGACTGAGTGTGAGAGAGACTGAGAGTGAGTGTGTGTGAGAGAGACTGAGAGTGAGTGTGTGTGAGAGAGACTGAGAGTGAGTGTGTGTGAGAGAGACTGAGAGTGAGTGTGTGTGAGACTGAGGGTGAGTGAGACTGAGCGTGAGTGAGTGTGTGTGAGACTGAGCGTGAGTGAGTGTGTGAGAGACTGAGAGTGAGTGTGTGTGAGAGAGACTGAGAGTGAGTGTGTGAGAGACTGAGAGTGAGTGTGTGTGTGAGAGACTGAGAGTGAGTGTGTGTGAGAGAGACTGAGAGTGAGTGTGTGAGAGACTGAGAGTGAGTGTGTGAGAGACTGAGAGTGAGTGTGAGAGAGACTGAGACTGAGAGTGAGTGTGTGTGTGAGAGACTGAGAGTGAGTGTGAGTGAGAGAGACTGAGAGTGAGTGAGAGAGACTGAGAGTGAGTGAGAGAGACTGAGAGTGAGTGAGAGAGACTGAGTGAGTGTGAGTGAGAGAGACTGAGTGAGTGAGAGAGACTGAGTGAGTGTGAGTGAGAGAGACTGAGTGTGAGTGAGAGAGACTGAGAGTGAGTGAGAGAGACTGAGAGTGAGTGTGTGTGAGAGACTGAGCGTGAGTGTGTGAGAGACTGAGCGTGAGTGAGTGTGTGAGAGACTGAGAGTGAGTGAGTGAGAGTGTGAAAGAGTGAGGTGTCTTGTTCGATCCTCAACTGTCTTTTCTCCTCCACATTCAAGCCATCACCCGCTCTGCCTTCCCTCACCTCTGTAACATCGCCCGACTCCCCCACTCCCTCACCCCTCAGGCGCTGAAACTCGTGTTCATGGCTTCATCACCTCCAGGCTCGACTATGCAAACTCCCTACTTGTCGGCCTTCCCAACTCCTCCCTCCACAGCTGCAGATAATCCAGAACTCTGCAGCCCGTGTCCTCTCCCGCACCAAACTCCGTGACCCCATCTCCCCCACTCTCGCCCGACTTCGGTCTTGCCGAATAGCACCGCTGGGTCCACTAAGTTTCTCGTCTGAAGGACGGCAGCTCCGACAATCCAGCGCTTCCCCACCCCAGCAATGCACTGGAGCATCGATCTAGACTGTGAGCTCAAAAGTCCCAGACTTTGAGGGTTTGAACCCTCTCAACCCTCTGACTTAGGAGGGCAGTGCCACCAACTGAGCCAGGCTGGGATGAGGCATTGAGCCGAGGTTCCCCCTTCTGTTTGTTCTGATGATTGAGGTGTATCTTCAAGCCTGTTTCTAAGACCAGGCCCTTATTATGATCTGTTGTTCCTCCTTCATCCAAACAAACATTGCCCTTTGTGGCACCTTGCTTATGCCTTTATTTGCTTAACAGTCACTGCACTTCAAAGTAACTCACTGGGTGTAGCCTTCCCAGACGTGGCACTTTATCATGCGTGCTTCCCACTCCCAAAGCAGAACCGAGCCTCCCGCTACCATGCCCATCTTTGCTGGAACTCTCCCCAAACTACATTGTCTTGTCCGCTTTCAAAAGCCTCATAAAACCAGGTCTCCATCACTAAGTCTTTTATTTCTCTGCTTGGTATCCATCACAATAATCCTCAAGTGTTTACAAAGGTTCTTTTACATGAAAGTTATAATAGACTAATTATTATAATTGTTATTATAATTGCATTTGGTATAGCACCTTATCATGTGGTTGAGACGTCTCAATGCGCTTCACAGAATATAATTTAAAGTGGATTGACTATATTTTGTGGGCGAAACCCGGCAGCCAATTGCGCCCAGCAGTGACCAAATATTTTTTTGTGGCAAAGTAGATTTGCCAGTCCTGCAGTTGGGTACCTGAAATCCTATTCTCTGGTATAGCTATTCTCTGGTATCTGCTAGCCTGGCAGGTAGAGAATGCTTTAATTGAGGGCACAGCTTTTGCTTGGTAGCTGATAAATGGGAACTGGAGACTTTGGCCAAGCTGTAGGCCAAATACCATCTTCCTCTCCCTCCTATTTATTGACTTGCCAAATTTGGGGCAACTTAGTGCTCTGGGCACCAACTGACAGGAATTTGGTTGCAACCTTTCAAATCAATTGCACAAAGGATCCTCAGATCATTCAGACATCATGTCATCAGTACGGGGCTGGAATTGAACCAGAGTTGGAAGGACTGAGTTCTAACTGAGATAGCTGTTGTGCCTTTTTGATCTGTCAGTGTGACTGTTGGCCTTCTTATCCCAATATTGCTAGCGATGTTATAAAACTCGCACAAGTCTGATCTGTATAAATCATACAATCGCCTAAGTCGTACATCCCGTTCAAGAGGTTATATTCGACACAAGTTTGACATAACTCATACTTTGCATAAGTCATATTAAATGTATGGTCCCACTTGATACAACTTGTGTGAGGTTTTCTGTTGTCTTGTTCAACCTCACTAAGCTAGTCAGGAACCTGGGTGTCTTGTTTGACCCCGAACTGTCCTTTCTCTTCCACATCTGCCAAAACCACCCACGCATTTGTCACATCAAGGCTCAATTATGGAAACTCCCTCCTCATCGGCCTTCCCAACTCTTCCCTTCACAAGCTGTAGATCACCCCTAGCTCACCCCTCCCCCATGCTTGGGCCCTAACCTCTGTCTTCCAGCGCCTTGGGACGTCCTCCCGACCTAAAAGGCGCTCTATAAATGTAATTTTGTTGTTGTTTTTCTGAGTTTTCTCTAGTCTTGTTTTTCAGTTCTGATGTACTAAGCTACCAATGTTGCTCAGTAAGGTTTCAGAGAGCCAGTCTATTGCTGTCCCTACTATCATTAGCAAATCATCAGAATAAACACTTTCTACGTGGTTAATGGGGATAGAAACCAAGATAACAGCAAAATTTTCGGACATCTGTAATTAAAGAAATGAGTGATACTGTAAAGCCACGTTGCATCTGAAAGACAAGGGAACGATTGAGGTAAAATACTGCATGAAATCAGGTTCTGATGCCATTTCCAGCGGTTTTCGATTTACGCAAATGGTTGTCAATGCTGAACCTTTCCCTCACACACAGCAAAACCGCTACCTGCTGTGAATGTGTCTATCATTGGCAGAAGGGGTGAGAAACAAGAGATCCAGTGTGCTGATGATTAAGACCAGCAGTCATGCAGTTTTTAAAATTAGGAGCCTTTGGTAACTGCTCACAGTAACTCTTTTCTTGTCAGGAGGAGATGGATTCCGAGGCCACACAGATATGCAAATTCTGAAACATTTCAGCAAGCTTCTGCGAACAAGCTTAGCTTTCAAAAGTAATTTAGCGAGAGGTGGTTGATAATAATAATAATAATCCTTGCATTTGATATAGTGCCTCATCACGTCGTTGAGACATCTGACAGTATATTCTGTAAAGTGGAGAGACTGTGTATTTTGTGGGTTGAATCAATAGTGGATGAAATGCATGGAAGCGGACCAGTTTTTGTTTGTGTTTTCTGTTTGCATTTTGTTTAATAGGAATATTGACTTTGGAAATTGGTTCAGTAAATCCCCAGCTCAATGGCCGAATGGGCTCAGGCTCCCGACATGCCACTGCTCAGGACAAAATGTCCAATCTTACAGTGTGAATCTCTTGGTTTTTGCTTCAGTGTAAAATGACTGTAATGTAAATGTAAAAGTGACCTTTTCACCAGATAAAATTGGTCGCTCACTTCACCGCTATCTGTGGGACGATTGGCTGCCGTGTTGCCTTCCAGGTTCACAGTCACTATGCTTTACAGCAAATCCAGTGAAGTGTATTGAGACATTCCAACGTGGTAAGGTGCTATATCCAATTCAAGGATTATAATAATAATAATCCTTCCATTGATATAGTTCCCTTCACCAAAGTAATTTGATCTGGTTATCTCAAAGTTCTGACAGAGATTTACCCACAACCTTTTAAGAAATAAGGAAATATGGTATTTGAAAGGATTTATGTTGTTGAGACTTCTCTGATCACCGCCTTCTCATGTCACATCGTTATCTAATTTGTATGGTTGGGAGGCAGTATATCCTGCTCTCTCCACTTCACACATTGTCAATATTTGTAACATTAGCCTCAGAGCTTTAAAACGTGAGCCATCGTTGGGTCTGTCCCCGCCTTCGGCAAAGGTTATTGGCAAGCCCTGGATTTCCACTTGCAGACTCTGGCCTGCTCCATGTGCCCTACCCTTCCCGTCCCACCATCGGCAGTCAGTCCTTCAGCCTTTCTGTCCCCAACCTTTGGAATGCCATCCTGCCGTCCCTTCGCCTTGCTCCCCCTCCTTTGCCTGCTCCAAGGCCCGTCTCAGAACCCTGCAGCTCGTGTACTGTCCCGCACCAGGCTTCGCGACCACATCACTCCCACCCTCGCTCGCCTCCACTGGCTCCCCATCCCCCAGAGGATTGATTTCAAGATCCTCATCCTCACCTACAAGGCTATTCACGGCCTCGCTCTCTCCTACCTCTCCGACCTACTATCCCCCTACCTACCTGCCCGTACCCTCCGCTTCTCTGGCTCCGGTCTGCTCCACATCCCCCGCCCCAACCGCCCTACTATCGGTGGTCGGGCCTTCAGCCTCTCAGCCCCGAGGCTCTGGAACTCCATCCCCCAGTGCCTTCGCCGCTTCCTCCCTTTCCTCCTTCAAGGTCGGTCTCTTTCTCTTTGACCGAGCCTTCAGCTCCCCTCTCGAGTCTCTACCCCCTCCTCGCTCCCTCCCTTCCCTCCCCCTGACCATTTCCCCCCAATGCTCGGGTCCTGACCCAACAGTCCAGCGCCTTGGGATGTCCTCCCGACGTGAAAGGCGCTCTATAAATGAAATGTTGTTGTTGTTGTCTCAAGACCTTCCTCTTCGACTGCGCCTTTGGTCACCCTCCCTGCCCTCCACCCCTTGAGTGTCCAACCCTTTGGGACATCTTCCTGACGTGAAAGGTGTTATTCAACTGTAATTTCTTGTTGTAGGAGTGGTTTTGTGCAATAGAATGTCAAAGTTGATGTATGGTATTATATATTCTAAATGGATTGGGAAGAACTAGAAAAACAGCATTGTAGAAGCAAAGAATGTGGATTTCTCCTGCAGTGTACACTGCCCTTACCTGCCAAAGCAAGAGGAGTGGAGTTTTAAAAGCAGAGTTTGAAACGTGGATTGAACTGAATAACCGTATCCCTCTCCCTGAGCCCCTACCTTCCTGATGGTTTTGCACAGCAATGTGTAGCGTCCCGGGCAGTGGAACACTTTATGATTTCCGACACTTTATGTGACAAAGAAGCACTGCTTGGCCAGTAATAACACGGTTAGATTACCACAGCACGGTGTTAGATTTCCATTCTCACACCAGCTGCCTTGCAGCATTGAAAGTAAGATTGCCAGTTTAGCACTTGGGTGTAGTTTTGATCCTCAAGCTCACTCGCACCTGAGTTGAGTCGGCCCAACTCCATTTCAAGTGAAACTCGCACGCGGCAGATAGAAGAACGTCTTGTGTTGACTGACGTGTGTGTACGTTTGACCTCGCCTGTGATGTCAACGCGCCAACCCTATCCGCTCCCAAGAGCTGATGGCTAATCTCATATTGCTTCACATTTCCTTCTATTCAACTGCTGTGACTCATTCGGATTTGTTGTGTGCACCAAGGCGCGGCAGCTTGGAGTCCAAGGCAACCTTGTTGCCGCACGCACAGAATCAAGCGGGTGGTCGGTTCGAACAACAACGCCAGATGACATTTACACGGCGTCCCTTCGCATCGGGAGGACATCCCAAAGCGCTGGACAGTCAGGGATTTGGACTCGAACTGGGAGTTGGGATCAGGAGGGGTGGAGGGTTGCCGAATGCGCAGTCGAAGAGGAAGGACTTGACACAGGCCTGGAAGGAAGGGAGGGAAGGAGTAAGGCAAAGGGACTGTGGGATGGAGTTCCAAAATGGTGGGGGCAGAGATGCTGAAGGCCCGACCGCCGATGGTGGGGAGGGCCGGGATGGAGACATGGAGCAGGCCGCTGAGCGGAGGGAACGGACAGATTGATATGGCGTTACCAGGTCACAGAGATAGGAAGGAGCGAATTGTGAACCTGAATAACGGTCACATATATTTGCATGGTATTGTGCAAATGAATCCGCATTTTATTATTGTGCTCTCATTCTAAATCTTATCTTATATGATTTCTGTGTCTGTGGTTAGAGGATATAACCTCAGTTTGGTTTGGATACTCTTAATCTGGATTTCCACATGTATCAGACACCCGGCTGACTGAAAAAAATGTTAAGAGAATGTAAAATTGAGTGGGAATCCAGCGAGAAATAGTGTTACAAGATGCAAAATAAACCTGTGACCATACAATACAATTTAGTGATATGTTTAAACTGTTCTGATTGGTATTGGACAGGTTTGAGCACACTTACTTATTACTCTACATGACATTCACCTTTTCGCAGCACCATTCATTGCAGTTTTAAATGTTCCTGTTAAACATTGAAATTGAATTAGGTTTCCCGTAACCACAAGAAGGGTTGGGGGTTTCTCTCGGTGTCCTAGCCATCAATCCTCCAGTTAAAAGTGACCATTCACTTCATGACTGTTTGTAGGAGAAATGCGAGGATTATTTTATTCTTCACTAATAAATGCACCCGTGAGAACAATGGAAAAGTCTCAATGCACCTTCCAACAGGGATCTCTGTATAATGCTCAGGAGCAGGAACTTTCATGTTCCCCTCCTTAACTCAGCACCAAAAGTCGTGCACTTTTAATTCGATTAACAGCTTATTAAGTAGTTAACGTTTGCAACAAAATTATTGCAACCGATTCTTCAAAGGCTAAATTCTCAGCGTTGCATTTAATATTTACGAATCGGTCTGTCTGTCACTTAACTTCAGCTATAAACCATTTCGTTGCTTCACAGACTTGCTGATAAGCAAATAAACTGCTCTTAAGCACAAGAGAAAGTGCTTAGTACAATAACTATGTCATCAGCAAGCCCACATCAGCACTGAGTTTAAAGCCTTGCCGATAAACTATTCCTGCAGTCGGACAGATATTAGGAAACCTTCCAGGTTCTTTCAGAGTTTTTTTTTTTGTGTTCGGAGTTGCCCTTCACGTTTCGGGTTACCTCGGAAACAGAAACTGACTGGATCCCTTTTTTTTAATTACAGGAATATTTGCGTATCTGAACTACTGTGTCCCTCGAACACGGAGGGAGATCTTGGAGACGCTCATCAAAGGCTTACAGCGCCTGGAATACAGAGGCTACGACTCTGCAGGTGAAATGGAAACTTTTCTTTTGATATTTTGATGGTTCCAACCTCCTGCAGATCCACATAATGCTCAGCAGGAGAGTCAAGTCGGCACAAGCTACGTAAATTACCCGGTACAGCCTTCTTGGCTGCTGATTTTGACTCAAATGAGCAATGATGGATCAAGCCAAACACATTGTACATTGTTTGGCATTGAACTTTGCAAGTCCGGACCATAGGAAAACCACAGGCGGGTCAAAGGGACCTTTTCTGTGTATCCCTTCAGTGGTTGCAGAAGTTCAGTAATAAAACCAGTATGTGAGAAGGGCAGAGAAATGTGGGTATGTGGGAAGAGCAGCGAAAGACGAGCGTTGGAAAAGAGAGGAGGCTCTATTACGCTCCTTCAATGCTGTCATTTCTGGCAGTACGTGATTAACACACCAAATAGCCACAAACTCAATTGCTTTGAAGTGGGCTTCAGTGGTGAAGCAGGTGTCAGGTAAGCAGGTGAGTCACATAGACACCAAAGGTCCCTGATTGGACCAACTGCCCATTTTCTGAGAGAGAAAAGTGGGTGAAATCACCCCCTTTGTAATCCTTCAGTGTGTGTGGCTGTTATATGAGAGGATCACGGCTGTCTATGCTGCCCTCTGCAGCCGGACAAAATTCAGCCTTCAGATAAAGGAACTTGTAAGTGTGTATGACTTGACCGTTCCTGATTGCCATTGTTCTCTTGTCATCGGTTATTTAACTCGAGTTCTCTTTCTCTTCCTCTCACCCCGCCACTCCCCGGCATTTTGTCAGGTGTTGGAATCGATGGTGGAAATGAGAAAACCTGGGAAAACAAACTCCATCCGATCCAACTGATCAAGAAGAGGGGGAAAGTCAAAGCACTGGAAGAGGAGATTCACAGTATGTACCATCTTAGGAAAGCACGTGTCATTTAATTTAAGATCATTGGCAAAAGAACCAGAGGGGAGATGAGGAGAAATTGTTTTGCTCAGCAATTGTTGCCCAAGGCGCTGCACCCAACTGTGCAGCGCCTTGGGACGTCCTCCTGACGTGAAAGGCGCTCTATAAATGGAATCTTGTTGTTGTTGTTGTTGTTACGACCTGGAATGCAAATGGATCCAAATAATTCATGGAATATATTTTTTCGGCTTCTCCCCACGAATTATTTCACTTCTGAACCTGATACAGAACTCTCCTGATAACTCGTCCCTGACTGAGCTTGTCATTGCTGCTAACTTATTACTCCCGCTAACCATCCGGAGTCTACTGTAGTTAGTTAGCAATTGGGAAGGACTGCATTATCCAGGGATCAGTTTTAGAGCAGATCCAGTGCACTTTCTATGCTGAGGATGGTGCTTGGCACAGGGAGATTTCATCAGCAAAAAAGGAAAGGAAATATCTTCATAAACAAATATTAGCCTCACAGAATAATAATAATCCCGAAGTTTTGTTTTGAGTCTTTCACGTCAGGAAGGCTTCACAGGATTTACTGGAAAGTGTAACAAGTGTCTGTTTTGTGGGCAAATGTGGGAGCAAATTCAGATAGTTGGGAATAAATGTAATAATTGCTTGACTTCAGGAATGAAGTAAAACAGGCTGCTCTATTCAGGGGCTTGGCACCACACCTTCAGAGTTAACACTGAGTTTTGACTTTCAATGAATTACAATACAAATTTACTCCCCAAATGAATGTTAATCTGGGTCTGATGCAACTGTGACATGTCAGAAGGGAGTGGATGAAAAAGAATGGGATGAGTTAATGATCTCACAATGTCACCAACCTCAAGAGCAAAGCTCAGTTGGTTTATAAGTATCATAAAATAAAATATACAAAGACATGTGTTTTCACATCACACCCGGATGTCAGTAAATCCTCTTATGATTGTGAAATTCCACCTCTTGTTGCCAATATCAGGCTGTGTTCCCCATTGCAGTGTGAAACAATTTTATCAAACGTAATTGGTTTCCAGTTCCAAATTGCCAAACCGATTGGAATTGGGAGACCCATTAAGCTGAAGCAGTCACCTGCTTTAGTGTACAAAAACACACAGTCACGACACTGCACTAGACAGTAAAATGATATTAGATGTTGATGAATGTAATCGTAATTCTTCATTTGGCACAGTGCCTTATGGCGTCAAGATGTCTCAAAGCACTTCACAGGGTTTTGCTGGGAAATATAATCACCATAAACGATGTAGATTTGTAGATGTTTGGGCTTGTTTCACACTCACAACACCTAACTTCATCACGGTTCTCCCGAGGGATAAATTGCTGCCAATTGATATGAAATCCTGCAATCAGCAAATCTCATGCGGAAATGTCTTGACTTTTCTCCTGCAGAGCAAGAAGATGCTGATTTAGACATTGAGTTTGATATCCACCTTGGCATCGCACACACGCGCTGGGCAACCCATGGCGCACCCAGCTCACTTAACTGCCACCCGCAGCGCTCTGATAAGAACAACGGTAAGAGAGGGGCACCTGAATGCTTTCTACAAATCATTGTTTGTCTTTGGTTTAGCACTTTTTACGGACCATTTGAGTGTTTGGGCAAGTCAGTACAGAGTGCCCTCTGTTCGCCAGAATTTGCCTTCAGACTATATATTGCTTCTTCAACTCCGTAAGATGTGCACTATTTTAAGGGTGGCAGGATTCCTGCTGCGTTAACCCCTTGAAATTGCACAAGGAATTGCACACACACCACCGTTATCAGTGGTGACAATCCCAACCCTTTGCTTAATCGTCAAATTCATACACTTGATCTTGTCACTCAGTCACTTTGTTCTTCATTTACAGAGTTTGTGGTTATCCACAATGGCATCATCACAAATTACAAAGACCTGAAGAAGTTCCTGGTAAGCATCGAAACCTTCTTTCCTAAACGTTGGCTTTTGCCCTTCTGTACTCTGACCAGTTTATTTTCCTCTCCAACTCCCGATCACAAAATGAAGTATGGTTACTCTGCAGCCAAGAGCTCTATCACCTCTCTGAAGTGATTATTCTTAATGTGGTTGTGTCAACAGAAACAGGAGGAGGCCATTCAGCCCCTCGAGCCTGTTCCGCCATTCTATTAGATCATGGCTGATCTGTACCTCAACTCCAATTACCTGCCTTTGTCCCATATCCCTTGATACCCTGACCTAACAAACACCCATCCACCTCAGTCTTGAGAATTTGTTTGGATCTAGCGATAATCCACAGCTTTTGGGGGAGAGAGTTCCAGATTTCCATTACCCTGTGGGTGAAAAAATGCTTCCTGATTTCACTCCTAAGCAGTTCAGCTGTAATTTAAGATTATGCCTCCTTATAAAATTAGTAGTAAACGAGCCTGATCCTGTACTTGACCCAGATCCAAATCTTTCCAGTGGTGTCTGGACTCTGCTGGACATTTTATAACAGCCCAGGCTACATTTAGAAAATCAGAAGAGATGTGCCCTCTCAACCCCTTAGCTCTTTAGTGCCATAGAAATTTACAGCATAGAAATATGCTGCTAGCCCTTTAAGAGCTATCCTTTTACCCGCCCTTTCCCATTACACCTCTAGTTTCCTTGATATGTAACAGATTTATTTAAGGGGAGAAAGGCTTTTTGTTTCTGCTTTGACCAATGCTTGTCTAAGCTCACCCTCTCCTAACTAATATAGAACCAGAAAGGAAGCATCGACTCGTGAGGAAGCGTTGACTTAAGCTGCCTTCAGTTGGTTTGAAGCATCTCTTGTTTCCTGCAGGAAAGCAAAGGCTATGAGTTTGAATCAGACACGGACACGGAATCCATCGCGAAGCTAGTGAAGTACATGTATGATAACCGTGAGAGTGATGACATCACCTTCGCCACCTTGGTGGAACGGGTCACCCAACAGTTGGTAAGCCAACAGCTCAACCCTCCTTGTGTTGTAGTTCACAGTCAGGTAATTCTGTAGCTCAGTTGTTAGAGCACTTGCCTCGCAAGTGAGAGAACTGGGTTTGATTCCTGGCCAGGGCGAAACATTGGGCAAGTTTGCTTACTCCACACACCTCTGTTTACCCAGCAGTAAGGAGGAATCCAGTTGTTTGTCAATTGATGCATCGCTCTTCCTTCAAAATAAATAATAATCTAGTCACTCAATCCGCGACTGTTTGTGGAACAATGCTGTGCGCAATTGGCTGCTGCGTTTTGCCCACAAAATATGCAGTCAATTCACTTTACAGTGTATCCTGTGAAGCGCTTTGTTTCGAAGACGTGATAAGGCACTATATCAAAAAATGCAAGCATTATTAATTCACTGCTCAAAGTTCTTTGTCTAAATCCACTCAATACAGTTAGACAAACTTAATTTCAAATTGTTTAATAATAATAATGACATTCCTTCATACTCCTTGCAGTTGATACAACGCCTTTCATATCAGAAAGACATCTCAAAGTGTTTTCACAGAATTACTATAAAATGTAATGACTGTATTTTGTAGGCAAACACAGTAGTCAATTTGCACACAAGCTGAGTGAAAAATGTCAAAGTGCTTCATAAAATATATTGTAAAGTGGATTGGCATTGGCGAGTGCCACCTGGTTTATAGTCTTGCTGTTTTACAAATTGACTGTGTATTTTGTGGGTGTAACGACCTACAAAGAAAACCAGCTGTGAAGTAGAACCTCCTTTATTGACCTAATTCCCTTAGGTTCATCCTTTCATTGTACCAGTAATGGTGAGCTGCATATTTATGGCAATTGTTAAATCTTTGGGCTCAAATGATGTTCAGTCAAAATCGTAGGGTTGTCTTATCATGTGAAATCTCTTGTTTGGTTTACTACCTACAATTGACTGAGTATCCAGTATCCTCTGCATAGCTCGATTATTATGTGCGTAGTGCTTTGAGCACAAAGTAGGCACTGTGTTTTTTTTTCAACAGCGCCATTGGCTTAAGCCTTTTAGCGAGCCTGAAAAGTCCTGGAGAAGATCGTTGGAATGGGGTTTGATGTTTTGGGTGTTGCCTTTGTCAAAGTCATCACAAAACAAGAGGGAACGGGAAAATGCAGGACTCTGGCTCCTCTGCTGTGTCTTTTCTTAATGTTTGATTTGGATGTTGTGCTTCTGACCTGAACTGTGCCCTTGTATTTACCAGGAAGGAGCTTTTGCTATCGTGCTGAAGAGTGTTCATTACCCAGGTGAAGCCGTGGGTTCTAGGTACGTTTAAAAAGAAAAGGAGCATCCTCTCTTTCTCTCTCTCTCTCTCCCCCCAACAACAACTTGTATTTACACAGCGCCCCTGACGCAGGGTAGAGTGCCTGAGCGTTTGACAGTGGTGGAGCAGGACCCTGAGCCTGGGGGAGGGAGGAGGTGACCGTAGGCACCTTCAAAGAGGAAAATCTTCACATTGGGATGGAAAGGCAAAGGGATAAAGCTTCCTCGCTAACTGATTCCAGCAGCAGGCTTCATTGCTTCAGTCTTCATCCTGCTATTGCTCACTTTCCACCACAGAGTTACACAGAACAGTATGGACCGGAAACAGCACATTCATCCCAACTCACCTGTGCCCTGTATTCTCTTTTTCCTCATGTACGCATCAAGTTTACTCTTAAATAGTTTGATGCTGTTTATTTCAACCTCAGCACCCTCTAGGTGAAGTGGTTGGTTCTTCCTTGTTAGATCTATTACTAGCTAACGTCTATTTATGTCCTCTAGTTTTGGACTCGCCAACAAGTGGATATAGTTTTTAACTTGCAAACAATGCACTGTTTATAATTATATTTGTGTTTGTAGGCGGGGGGGTCCTCTGCTAATCGGTGTGCGAAGCGAACACAGACTCTCCACTGATCACATTCCTGTGCTGTATCACTCAGGTAAATAGCATGTTTGTTCGTTTCTATCTGCATGACCGAAAGCACTTCTCTTTAAAGGCCTGCTGCAAAGGTGAGTCTCTAACATGCCAGTATCTCTCTCTGTCTCCAGCTTGTAGCACCTGCAGCATCGAGCTAGGGTGACTCTTCCTCCCACGTTCCCTTCTTAGCTAAGTGACCGACTCATTGAGACCAGCCCTAGAATTGGCAAAGGTGCTCCGTATATGAGGAGCTAATCAAGCTTGTGGCCAACCACTCACATCCCAGACCAAATGTGCGTCATCTCTTAACACAAATCCCCGAGAATACATATCACATTATGACTGGTTTGTGAGTGGTAATAGTCTTGCTCCTGAGATGCAGAGCAGGTTTAAAGTTCTGTTGATTCTGACTCATTCAATCCAGACATAGCCCAAGATTGGGGACAGCTCAGTGAGAAGGGTCAGCCCAGACTGGAATTCCAACCTTAACTGTGTCCTTAACTTCTGTTTACCTTGGAGTGCGACGAGTGTGCATGGGAATGAACACCCACTTTGGGTTGTAATATTTAAGACCGTAACGCTCACTGAATCAGTCTGCCCTGATTCATAACTTCCAGTTACAAGCTAACCTCTCGTAGGAGCAGATTTTTCAAGGAGAAACTCCATGCGCCATCACAATTGGGTGGTGGTCCCCGAACTTCAAAACCAGAAGCGCTTCCGATCCGCTCCCCTCCGCTTTAAAGCAAAATGGAGCGTAAACTAAATCACGCTACGTGCTTTAATTTCGCCCACAAAATATACAGTCAATTCACTTTGCAGTACATCTGTGAAGCGCTTCGAGGCGCCTCGAAGACGCGATAAGGCGCTGTATTGAATGCACGGATTGTTATTATTTCTGCTCTGCACTCTCGGTGTCAACCAAGCAAAATAGAAACCAGGAAAGGTGGTTTGACTTTAATGGTTTAAATTTGTTTTGATTGCGAGACAACAACAACAAATTGCACTTCTCGCACGCTGGCGTCCCGGAGACTTCCAGTCCTTTTCTGTTGATAACGGTTTGAAGCGGGGCATGGAGTTTCACTTTCACTGCTCTTGACTCGATCTAGAACCCACTTTGTTTGCTGTGAATGAAAAGGCTGAGCGAGCTTCCCTGGCTTATTCTTGTATTTTACTTCTACTCCAGCCGATTATAGGATGGATTGTACTTTGGATGCCAAATCTACGGAATCAAAAAGTCATTTAGGTCGAGTATCCAACCTCAGTTTGGCTTTCAATGCCTGGTTTTGGGCTCTGTACTTCAGGGGCTATTGAAACTTGCAAATCAAAGCCGAGGGTGTGATAGGGGCTCCGTTTATTGGTGGTGTTTTCCTTTAAGGTTGCTTTGGTTTGGGGACTGCAGTGCATCAGCACATTTTCAATTCCGACGAAAGCCTCCATTCTCACCCAGGACCCAGACTGATCAAATTAAAATAATATCAAATTAATTGAAGCGAGGCCATTCGAGGAGTAAAATGAGGAGGCATTTTTTCACACACACACACACACACACACAGTGTAGTGCAAATCTGGAATTCAGGGGATCGAGGGATATGGGGCAAAGGCGGGTAATTGGAATTGAGGTACAGATCAGCCACGATCTAATAGAATGGCAGAACAGGCTGGAGGTTCTGAATACCCTCCTGCCTGTTCCTATACAAGAGGGACATTGGTTTTGTGACAGTCTGAAGCTATCGGGATTCACGGTCCAAAACTGCCCAAACGTCAATATAGAATAGCACACTGCAGGCTCTGAAAATCCTGAGCAGGCCATGATGGTGACAATAAAATATCATGATGGTCCAGAAGAGGGCGATCCTTTGAAGTTCAAGTTCATTGCTCAAGTGTTGCTCAATTGTCTGTCTGTAACCTCTGATACGAGCTGGTTCGATTCTCACACCAGACACCAGAAGAATATACTCCCATTTCTCCAGCACAAATACCCCTCACCTCAACCGGCACAGATTAATGTAAAATTAGGTGCAGTGCGGACTGCAGGAAGTCACGTCAGATTAAGGGTTAAGCCTGATTGCTCGCAGAACAATATCTTGAGTTCTACTGAGCAAATTGCCCTCCAGCCCACTGGAGGTTACTGGATCGTAACTGATTCCTTAGCGGAATTTCCCATTAAACATGGAATGAAAAGTCCAATAGCCTTCTCAAACTACTTGTGTCAGGCCCCGGGATTAGAGGTTTTCTTTTCAGTCAACATTCACTTAATTTTGCTTTTACCGTAGCTATTGTTGTGTTGTGCATTATTCCCTGAGCAAAGCACATTGAATCGTCCGTTTCCTCCCCCCCTCAAAAGCTTCTGCCAGTATAGCTCTAGCAAGTCGCAGAACAGGAGCGAGGGACACCAAGATATGGGCTCAAAGTCAAGACGGGTCATGATCTAAAAGTAATGCATCTGCTTGTTCAAACCTCATGGGAAAGTGGAAATATCCTTTCATGTCCTTCGTCTTTTCCCTCTGTTTCTTTCTCGCGAAGCGTGGAATTTGCTAATGTATCAAATCAAACCTCCTGGTGTGCAGTAAAAATAAAAAGGAAGTGTGCAGTTTTAAATGAACAGCAGCACCAATTTCTGTCTGTATATCATAAAGTATCAGAGATTCCCAGTAATCCTGGAGAAGCAAGTCTTTGAAGTACGAAAATTTGCATGTCTGTCTTTCTCCATGGGTCTTCGGAGAAACGTGTACCTACAGTGCCTTAGCATCATTAGTTTGGTTTGTTGCGGACAGTTCAGATCTAACTCGTGGCTTTTGTGTGAACAGTAATGGGGAAGACCTGTTCGGAAAGGTGGAAATGTGGCTTTAGCTCCTGGTAGTCTTTGGATAAATCAATTGATTGATTTTAAAAGCGCATTTTGTTTCCCCGCTCTTTAACATGAGTCTGTCCATTCACAGTGTACTTTGCTAATAATCATCCTTTTTGATCAGCAGCAACATGCTTAAGACCCAAAGCAAAGTGAGATTTCCATGCATTCCAACTACACATGGAAATTCCAGAGATAGATTGTTGGAATGGAATGCTCTCTCTCTCTCTCTCTCCCAGGATGGATGCATCCTGCTTACCTAATTCTGGAAAGTTTTAGGCGCAGGTTGGCAAGAGCCGAGGCTTGGGGACCCCAGAATGTGTGTTGTGGTAACTGCTGGAGTCCATTGCCATTCAGCGCCTTTCACATCGGGAGGATGTCTTAAAACGCTTCACAGGCTTCGCTGTAAAGTGTAGTGACTGTGTACTTTGTTGGCTTTGGCAGCTTTGCAAAAAAAAATATATCTTTAAAATGTGAGCACTGACCCACAATTTCTAGCGTTGTGAAATAGAATAATCATTATCATCATCATAATAATAAATAGAATGGGAGAAATGTGAATTTAAAACAAGATTTCTGCTCAAAGTGAATCTGTGGCACTTGTGGCTCTCAGGCAGAGACTCTGTTCTCTTGCTGTGGACACAAGTGTCTATGGCTCACTCACCCGCACCTTAAGGCAGCCAGTGCACAGAGGAGCTTTGGGGAATGAACGTCTTGCGCTAGGTTTGTCACAAATGGTGTGTGTTGATTGTGTGGGTGGGCGGATGGAGAGGAGTAGGGTGGGGGTGGGGACAGGGGCAGGAAAAAGAAGGGAAGACAATTACCAGGAAAAATAAGCAGAAGCACAAACCGCTGTTGTCTGGCATCAAGCCAAGACAACAGCAACTCGTTTTTCAATTGTAAATCCCTCCTGAAAGACCAAGAGGAATGGTGTACGTATCGGGGGTGATGTGTGCATCAGGGTTTGTGGCATTGACTCTTCCACTTGCAGTGAGTTGAATCTTCTCTCCTGGGTTATAAACAGGCAAGGACAAGAAGGGCAGCTGTAGCCTCCCTCGCGTTGACAGCACCACCTGCCTGTTTCCGGTGGAGGAGAAAGCCGTGGAGTATTACTTTGCATCAGATGCCAGGTAGGCAAATTTGCCTCATTTTGTTTGTCAAGACTTATGAGCTTAACAAAAGACGTCTTAAGACCTATTTCTGTGTCCCTAAAGTGAGAGTAAGGAATCCACAGAGGTTATCCTTGTAAAATTCAAAATAGGGATAAAATTGGTCACTTTTATCATTGTTTGGGTGGGTTTTTCCAAGTAATATTATAGTATAATAATAATCCTTACATTTAATATAGCACCTTATCAAGTCTTTGAGACATCTCATGCCGCCGTGTACTCTCTTTTCCCCACAGTGCTGTCATTGAACACACAAACAGAGTGATCTTTTTGGAGGATGATGATGTGGCTGCCGTCGTGGACGGACACCTCTCCATCCACAGGATTAAACGCAGAGCTGGAGATCACCCAGCCCGGGCCATCCAGACCCTTCAGCTAGAGCTGCAGCAGATCATGAAAGGTGTGAGCAGCGCAAGGGTGGGAGGAATGAACTAAGAGAGGAAAGGGGGTAAGAGAGGGTATTTCGAATATTAGACAATATTTAGAACCAGAGAGATTTACAGCACCGGAGAAGGCCCTTTGGCTTATCAGGAGAATCAGAGGACATGGCCTACAACTGAATGGGGGTGGGGGAGGAATTCAGAATAAATCTGCGGAACATTACTTCCGTGAGAGAGTAGTAAACTTATGGAACAGGCTCCCTAGGGAGAAGTTTCTTCCCTTCTGTGAAGCAGAAAATGTCATTTGTTATAAGAACAAATGAGATAGGTTTTTGCTACAAAATTCTATCTGGGGAGACGGTGTATAGTTTGGGAACACGACATGTCAAGCAAGTGCCAGGATGGTGGAAGACGAACTAGATGGACCTCGGTCTTCTTTGGCCAGCAAATTCTTAAGTTCTTAACCGTCCTTTCTCCATCCGTCAAATTGTATTATAATTTGCAAGAGCCATAACTGGTGAGATCCTGACAATAAAGGCACTGCCGAGACTTGAACTCAAGATCTCCTGTTTACTAGACAGACGTTTGCTGCCTAAGCCATGGTGCCTTCTTCAAGATCTACCTCTTTGACCGTGCTTTCAGTCATCTTTCCCCTCCCCACCCGCAGCTCAGATGCCCAGACAATACTGAGCACTTTGGGACATCCTCCTCCTGACGTTAAAAGGGCACTGTATAAATGTAAAATTGTATTGTCTTAACAAATCTCGTTATGCACTACTAAATAATAACTAATTCAAGTTTAAGTGACTAAATCTGCAATGTATTTATCATAACAGCTCCTCTCCCCTGTGGTTTTACATGTAGGCAATTTCAGCTCCTTTATGCAGAAGGAGATTTTTGAGCAGCCAGAGTCGGTGTTAAATTCAATGAGAGGAAGAGTCAACTTTGACGATTATGCAGGTAATGTCACAGTGGAATGAATAAGGGTGCTCCAAATAAAAACAGAAGTCGCTGGGAACACTCGCACTCACTCAGCCGGTCAGGCAGCATCTATGGAGAGAGGAAAGTGAGTTAACGTGTCAGGTCACTGACGAAAGGTCCATCGACCCAAAATGTTAACTCAGTTTCCTCTCTCCATAGATGCCGCCTGACCCCCTGAGTGAGTGCGAGTGTTCCCAGCGACTTCTGTTTTTATTTCAGATTTCCCGTATCTGCCGTATTTTATCTTTGTAAAATACAGAGCAGCCTTTTCTGAATGTTGTGCCCGTTTTCCTTTCACAGTGATCCTGGGAGGCTTGCAGGATCACATCAAGGAAATCCTGAGGTGCCGACGCCTGATCCTCATTGCCTGTGGCACAAGTTACCACGCTGGTGTTGCTGTAAGTTTCATGCATCGCGTATCAATCAGACAATGTAAGGACTAAGCACTAAGATCCCTGTGAGTGTTGGCGGGAGATATGCCGAGCCTATCATGCCTAGCAGTAAGTAGGAACCTGGTTTTTAGTTAATTGGCGGATCACTTTCCAGGGGTAATAATCCTCCCTCCCTCCCCACCACCCCAAAAATAATAATAATTTGGTCACTGAATCCACTACTGTTTGTGGGATACTGCTGTGCGTAATTGGCTGCTGCATTTCACCTACAAAGTACACAGTTGCTACACTTTACAGTGTGCTCTGTGAAGAGCTTTGAGAAGGCGACATGATAAGGTGCTATATCGAATGCAAGGATTATTATTAAGCTTCTGGGCCATGCTTCAGAACGGTTTCCTTTGGTTAATTTGAGAAGTCCGCTATCTTCAGACAATCCGCTTGTGTGGCGTCTCTGTGCAACTTGCTGCTCTCTAGAGAACTTTAGCAGGTGTGAGAAGAATCCAGCCACTCACAAAGCACTGCAGTTTCTCTCTTCTAACTCCTGGCATCATCAAGGAGGAGACATATCCATCAGAGCACAACTGATCTTCAAGTGTGATTCCATTAAAATCTGATCAGATGGAGTCTGTGCCAGCAGCTACCTATCTCCTAGCTTTTAAACAATTTTGACTTCTTTTAGACTTGACACAAGATATTTTTGCTTGAGGAACAGAGCAAAACTTCAGCCCTGGGCTCTGCTCCAGAAACTGCACCAAAAAAAAATGTACTTTGCAAGTGTTTGGCCACAGAAAGTCAACACACGACAATAAAGGGTTTCTACAGAAAGCCTGTGGGTGATTTAAGTTCTGAACAACTCTGGCTGTTTGTCAAATCCAGTGATGCACGCTATTCCTTCATCACTCTGGTTTCACTGCGGTTTAAACGTCTCCTGTTCAGTAAGGCTGGTTCCATTTCAAAGCACGGAGACAAATTTTGTTTGCATTCTTAAGTAGTGCAGGTTAGAATCCATTGTGTGGGTTTCTGGGAGGTCATAGCCTTGTCGTGGGTGGAGAACAAGGCTAGTTTTATTTGGGGCATTATTGGCCAGGGCACCAATTCGAAGAACCTCCTTCCTCTTTTCAAATGGGAGCATAGGATCTTTAACATCCACTTGAACAGGCAGGAGAGGCCTCGGCTTAATGTCTCATCCAAAGCACGCCCCAGGCACTGCATTAGAGAATCATCTCAGACAATGTGAGTTCCAAGCCCCACAACCTTCTGACTCAGAGGCGAGAGTGCTACCAGCTGAGCCGGCCTGACACACAGAGTTTAAGACTGTTAACGTTAACAGGTGCCTTGTAGCCTAAGTACATTTTCTGTTGGGTTTCAGACTCGGCAGGTGCTTGAGGAGCTGACAGAGCTGCCGGTCATGGTTGAACTTGCCAGTGATTTCCTGGACCGGAACACCCCAGTCTTCAGAGATGATGTGTGTTTCTTTATCAGCCAGTCAGGTACTTTATCAACGTGGTACTGTAGCTGCAGATTTGTGTAACCAGGAAATTGTCGTCTTAGTTTCTTAACCATTGATGTTTTGATTGGAACTGTAACGAGAAGCACGTCTGGCTCAAATTAGAGTTGGTTAAAGGCTTTGCCATATTGGAGTCCCGTTGGCTTTGTGAGTACCGTCCAACAGTTGTGGTGAACACAACACATGCAGACTTGCTGATTTCAGTTCCCAATGCGAGTGCAGTAGGTACCCAACCAGTGCAGCTTCAAATGGGCCCCCAGATTGGCTCAGGGGATCATTCATACTGCTCAATTGTGCATAACGTACCCAATTGGCAGTTGCATTTCACCCCCGAAATACAGTCAATTCACTTTACAGTATATTCTGTGAAGCTCTTTGAGACGTCATGAAAACGTGATAAGGTGCTATATCAAATGCAAGGATTATTATAAGTATTACCTGAGCAGCTGTGGAAAAGTGTCCCAGAGAATTATAGGGGAAGATTTGTTTCTTCACCCTGATCAGTGAAAAACGTCCTCACTCTTTCTTTCTGACTTCCTTCCAGGGGAAACGGCAGACACTCTGATGGCCCTGAGGTACTGCAAGGAGAGAGGTGCCCTGACTGTGGGCATCACAAATACTGTCGGCAGCTCCATCTCGCGCGAGACAGACTGCGGAGTCCACATCAATGCTGGGCCCGAAATCGGCGTGGCTAGCACAAAGGTAACCTAATAATCTGTGAGAGACCAGTAAGAAAAAGCTTTTCAAACAGGTACACTCTGTCTGAAATAAAAACAGAAGTCGCTGGGAACACTCAGCAGCTCCGGCAGCATCTATGGAGAGAGGAAAGTTGAGTTAATGTTTCAGATCGATGACCTTTCGTCAGAACAAGGTTCTATCATTGCATTTGATACAGCGCCCTATCACATCGATAAGACGCGTCACAGAATAGACTGTAAAATGAATTGACTGTGAATTTTTTTTACGGGTGTATCTCAAGGAAGTGCCTGCACTTTGCTCTTCTGTTCCATGGCCTGGCAGAGATTGGGAGGGAAAGTGAGTTGTAAATCATAAACACAGCACATTCGAAGACCAGTGCATTGTGTCATCCTGCTAACCCCATTGCAAGGGCCATATATTTCCGATCGTGCCCAGGACAAGGGATTGGTTTTGTCATTCTTTCTGCTTGGCTGCTCTTTATTGGGTTATGTTTTCCCTATTCTTACGTAATTTCTGTTTGCTTTTGCATGTGCGTTTATCGTGTGATTTCAAATGGCACGGGAATGATTCAGAGCAACCATTTGGATGATTTAATGCTGTAAATCCGTGCGTTTTTGGCAGCAGGCTGGCTGAAACTTGCAATCTTTGCGGGTCTCACTTTGCAGAGCGAGCGAGAGCTTCCAGCAGCAAAAAATGAGTGAGAGTTGAGTTTCAGCAGATTAACAACCATCTCTAAGCCAAACTAACTAGCTGGCTTCTCTCATTCCAATCCCCGGTGGTATCTAGGTTAAAAAAAAATCTACCCCCTGCCATTCTATCTAGCTACGAAAATGTATTTATTAAATCCGCTCCCTCCTCTCTGCAAGACTCAAAATCGATCAAATGCGTTTTAAGCTGGGAATCTGCTTCTCCTTACTCTAATGGTGAGAAATGATGTCATTGTGCCACATATTTGTCAGCGAAAAACCACATCAGACCTTGACTGGTCCTGTGAGAATTTGATCATGGAAAATAACTGGAGACTGTTAGACTCCGTCTGTCGATGAGGAACTGACTTGGACTTTTCTGCCTCTGAATTCCCTTGCATCAATATCATCTTACAGCAAATACTTTGCTCTTTGAGTACTTTTTTTTGTATAGGGGCTGCTCTACGTACCTGTAATTTAAGGGAGGGGGAAACAGTGTCTCTGCCTATTTAGAGGCCCTATTTGAGACCCTTTTTTAAGCTCTTGCCATGCCAGTGGCTGTCAACACTTGTCAGATTGCTCCATGTTAGCGATTTTCTATTGGATTGATCATGTACCTCAATTCTGTTGAGGAAAATTGATACCGAGGCACTTTCTCTCTCTCACACTGTGTGTGTGTGTGTGTGTGTGTGTGTGTGCGCGCGCGCGTGCGCCCGAGTTTGTGTGTGTCTGACTCTCACGCTCTCTGTCTGTCTCTCACACTCTGTCTGTCTCTCTCACGCTCTCTATCTCTCGCGCTCTTTCACCCTCTCTGGCTCTCTTGCTCTTCTCGCATATGCTGTGAAGAACAGCGTGTTTTTGTGCCAAGGGATGCAAGCGTAAACTTGGCTGTTGTCTTTCGGCTTCATAACTCTTATTCGAGACTGCTGGCAGGCCAAATCTATGGCGATCTCTTGGGTTAATGTTGCAAACCACCGTGTCTTCCAAATGTGGGAGAGCTATCCATTGCTGAAACTGCAGTGATGTAATTAGCTGTTAGATCATTGTAATTCTAACACACCCAGGGCATTTTTATTTTGGAATTATCTGTGTTTTTCATTGGCGTCATTCCCTCCAGGGGTGTGACTCTGTTCTCAGTTCACAATTATATTTGACTGTATTAAAGACGTAGAGGAGGCCGGAGCCCGCTGAGCAGAGAGAGCGGACAGGTCTACATCGAGTCAGCAAGTCACAGTGGTAGGGAGGAGATCTCTAACAGGATATTTTATCTGGCTACAATCATCAGCGATCATCTTTCTTCACCCTATTGCCAAAACACTCCCTGTTTATAATAATGCCAATCGGTGCACTTGCATAGCTTTCATTTGACCTTAAATTTCAGAGGAACTATCTCACTACCTCCTTCGGGAGGAACAACTTGACGCAGTGAGAATGTGGAACAGTGCTAAGATGCTTGCATGTGATGGGGAAGGGTATGAGAGGGAATAAGGAGTGTTGGAGACTCAAGTGGAATATAAACAGCATGGACTAGTTGGCCTGTTTCTAAGCTGTATAATCTATGCAGAGAAGCTATCAGGAAATTCACTTGTATACTTAAAGCACTTTTGAGAAATCCTCCTGACATGAGTGAAAGGGGCTATATAACTGTGATTGTATGTACTTAATAAAAGTAATGTTAATTAATTAATAATGTGCCCAAGAGTGCATCTGGTTTCTAAATGTCGAGCTAATGCTCTGTAGCTGACGATTCCCATCTCTTCTCTCGCCCAGGCTTACACCAGCCAGTTTGTGTCTCTGGTGATGTTTGCTCTCATGATGTGTGAAGACAGAATCTCTATACAGGAGAGAAGGAAGGAGATTATCCGGGGATTGAAATCACTGCCAGGTACGTACGAAAAGGACTTGAGGAATGTAAAATAATATCAAGCACTTAGTGACATGGTCCAAACATAAGACAGACTGTCTCAAATATTCAAAGCACAGACCACCAAATAACCTTACATTGATTTCCCAATACTTCTTAGCTTCATACCACTGGCCCTTACCACACTAAACCCACAGCATGAGGCAAAGTGGCATCTTATTCTCAACTGGTTCCTATAATGGGAAAGTCGATCTATTGATAGCCCCCGACCACTATCTGGTGAGGCAAATAATAATAATCCTTGCATTTGATAAAGTGCATGCCTTATCAAGGCATCTCAAAGCGCTTCACAGAATACGCTGTAAAGTAAATTGGCTGTATATTTTGTGGGTGAAATGTCAATTGTGTTGTGGCTCATCCATCTTCTGTTAAAATGCTGCACAGTTGGCTTGCTCAATTCACACTCCAGTTGCTGTACATGAGGTTAATTGTCCAATATTACTGTATTCATTGTGGTGTGCTGACGTAACTTGGCAAGCCCTCTCTGTGCACAGGGAACAATGGTGCTCAGTGCCTGAGCAGTAAATCGCACAGTTATAGGATTGGTCCCCTCGCCCTGCGTCAGCGGCCCTCCCCAGGGATAATCTTGGCAGCTACGTTCATCTAGAAAATACACAGTGACTACACTTTACAGGTCAAATTCTGTGAAGCACTTTGAGACATCCTCCCGATGTGAAGGATGCTAAAAATGCAAGGACTATTAAATGTACTCAGAAATGTTGACTTGATTATGCAGCCAAGCACAATGCCTTTGGGGGACAAAGGAACATTCTTGTGTTGATCCGACCTGGCTTACTGTCTGCCTCTCTTGCTCAGACCTTATTAAAGAGATTCTGACCATGGATGAAGAGATCCAAACGTTGGCACGAGAGCTGTACCAGCAGAAATCCGTCCTCATCATGGGCCGTGGATATCACTACGCCACCTGCCTGGAGGGGGCGCTGGTGAGTTGTACTTCTATTTGCCTGTATCTCCAGCAGGGAGTTCATAGCCCCCCACGAGCAAAGAACTTGCTCATGGGTCATTGAGCAACACAGTACAAGCCCTGCCAACAAGACTTACTCCACCCCCTCCTGATCCCAACCACCAGCTCGGGTGCGGATCCCTGACTGTCCAGCGCCTTGAGACGCCGTGTAAATGTCTGTTGTTGTTACTGCACTGGTCTTCCAAACGTGCTTTTATTGTCCTCTCGTGACAAGCTCCCTCCCTCGCCCAGTTCAAGGCCCATCTCAAAACCTACCTCTTTCCCTCCCCGCCTCCTCCCCTCGACCCCCACCATATGACGGTCACGATATAAATGTAAATTTCTATTGTATTTTGCGGCGGGGTCTTTGTGCCATTTGGGATGATGGTATCACAATTCTGTGGTTTGCCAGATTTGAAAAGGATTGAGAAATGGGGTGGGCGGTGGGAGAGGAAGAGAGAGAGAGAGAGAGCGACCCAGCTGGGTAATGACGCTTCCGCGCCCCACCACAGGGAAATTTCACATCCGAAGACTTATATCCCAGCCCACTCTGGGGAAAACAAACGATTTTGAAACAGCATCTGGAAAACTGCCTTGAAAAGAAATTAAGGCCCTTTTAGCCATTTGTATCCATTGGTATTTGGAGTTGAGGTACAGATCAGCTGTGATCTAATAGATTGTCGGAATGGGCTTGAGGGGCTGAATGTCCTCTCTGATCTCACCTGAAACCGCACCCTCAGCACTGCGTTGGAATGTTCAGCTTAGACTTGGTGGGTTCTGCGTCCCCAACGTGAGACCTGAAGCCCCAGGCTTCTGAATCCGAGGAGAGATGCATTGCCAAAGGGTCAAAGAGTTTATCGAGAATCCAGTTAAATCCTCTTTCACAATACTCTGTCTCATCCGAGACCCAAGAATGTTGTTAAAATGGAAAACAAAATATGATCGATCGTAAGGGGATTGTTGGCCCATGTCCAGAATTGCTACTTGTTGGCTAATTGAGAGTAGTTTCTTTGCCTGGCCTACATTTCACCACAGAGCACCGAATAAGGAGGAAAGCCATCAATCTATTGCCTCTCCCGTAACCACACGTTTTACACTCGACCGTCATTCATAAAGTAAAGCACTCCTTGCAGATTTATAATACTTCAACATGCTTTTAAGCTTTAGTGAAAACAGATGTTGCTTTCCATTGCTTGCGCCGCTTGCATCTTAATTCGCACGGGAATATCCTGTTAGAGATTGCCGCAGAAAGGGAAGGGAGTAAATCTGATGTTGGCCTTTAAGGAGTGGATGGGTTGTTGGTGTGAGAGTAATTATTTTTACCCATGCATTTTCCAATTGATCATCATTAACAGGCTGTCTTGTCAGGTCACTGTGTCTCATACAGTAAAGCCCTTGGCAGGATCCTTGCTGTGCTCCCACGTAATCAAGAGACTGGTGCACAAAGGAGGCATTATTTAAACTGTAGATGTTGGGGACGGACAGTTTTGGAACATGGTGGAGTGGGGGAGAAGTCACAGAAGCGGGAAGACTTGTTCCTTTGTTCTGCTGGTCAGGTCAAAAACAGGTCCTGTGTTTCAGGAAAATAGGATGCACACTGCTACTTAATGGACCCCAAATGATACAGACATTAAGCACTGCAAGTTATCACAAATTAGTTTCAGGTTGAAAACGTGATAAAAGAATTGCACTCATTTTGGAAAGGGGGTGGGGTTTAAAATAGGTAAGATTCTTACACTGTGTGCCAGCTCGGATCGTACGTCTATAATAATTATCACAGTCCCTTTGCCTTGTACCCGCCCTTATTATTATTATTGCCTCCTTCAAGGCCCCGTCTCAAGACCCTTCAGAGAGCAGGCACAGGCACGATGGGCTGAATGGCCTCTTTCTGCGGTGTAAGATTCTATGAGCTCATGAGTGAGCTACAACAAGCCTGGACTGTATTGCTTACTGGTCAGCAAATTCTATGTTCTGTTTTTTTATGAGACTTCTATGATGCTTCTGCTTGCAAACCACAGCAGTCGGCTCCTCTCACCTGGGATGTTTTGTTCGATCATGAATTGAACAACAGCGACACAGTCTGGCCTGTGCTCAGCTGGAGCTTTGCCGGAGATTCTTGTTTTTAATTACGCAAATCAATTTAATAAGCACAATAGTACTTTCAGGGATTTGGCAAGGCACCCAACAGTTTGTAATGAACCTTTTCAAACTTGGCCTGCCGTGGTGCCTGGATTGTACAAGGGAAATGTATTAGAACAGCATATCTTTTAAGCTTGATTTCTGGTTCTCATTTGGCTGCTCTAAAACTAATACCCAGCTCTGTGTCATTTAAAAAAAAATAATTAGCTCCATCCTCAACATCTGCCTGGGAATTACTAATGCCCAGAGCTAGCCCTGGAATGGAATTTTCAACCCCTGTTTATTTGGCCAGAGCTTTAAAGCCATGTCTTTGCCATGTTATCTGTATTCACCTCGACTCTGTTGCCTGCAGTTAGCACAATGCAGTGGAATTTATGCAGCGCCTTTCTCAGCGGAGGACGTCTCAAAGTGCTTCACGGTGCTGGATGGGCTAGGGGTGGGAGCTGACAAGCTCTTTGGACGTCCTCCCGGCTTGAAAGGCGCCGTTTAAATATAAATTGTAGTGCATTAGTTTGAAGCCCTGAGCTGCAGTAAAGTAAATTCGAGACTGTGTTAAGGTTGAGTTGGCAATAGTAGAGGTGACAGGATGGCACATATCTTCCACACTTGGGGCAATGTCATTTTGGACCATTTACTCCCTTGTGTAATGCACTTTTAAGTCTTTTGTGAGACTGGGAGCTGAAACAATACGTTGTTCCATTTTAGACCACCACGATGTCAGACCTGGATTTTGTTTGTTCTGCAGACTTACATTCAGCTACTTAAATCAATCCAACTAATTATTGGAGCCCTTCGGCTGGAGAGGAGAAAGAGCAGAGCAGGCTCATACTGCCGATCGCTGCCCATTCGAGTCAAAAAAAAAAAATACCCAAACGAAACCAATTCATAACAGATTTGCTTCACAAGACCTTTCTTATTAGAATCACAGCACAGAAGGAGGCCATTCGGCCCATCGTGCCTGTGCGGCTGTTTGAAAGAGCTACCAAATAATCCCATTCACCCACTCTTTCCCCATTTCCCTGCAAATATTTTCTTTTCACCCATATACCCAACTCCCTTTTATTCTTGCCTTCTCCGCAAAATATCCTGCTTTTCATGCCATTAAGTGATTAAGTGTATTTGTGCCAGAATTGCCCAAGCAACCTCTCCTCTCTCACCCCCCCCACTGTAATTGTCTTTAATGTGCCTTCTCTGTACACTTTAATTTGCAAACAAGTCGCCTCAACTTCCAGCCCATTGAGAGGAAACTAATTGGAAAATGGAGATCAGTAAAGTTGCTTCCGCTCTGGGTTTCTCCTATCAGATAATGAACCTATTTACCTCTTTAGCTGCTGTGCATTGTCTGAGTCGAGGACCCGGTGCTGGCATTAATTAGTTACAGCCCCACCAGAATCAAATCCTTTATTGCGGTAGGAAAAGGTCATGGATTCAGGCTGTGATCAATTGGAACCATGTGTAAAGGAAGTGAATTATATGAAGCCCTTAGATTCAAAACATCAAATATTAATCATGTCTATCTGAGGGGAAAAACACATCCATTTTAACTTGCACAATCTATTAAACAAAACTCCTTTTAGCAGGATAGTCTGGCAAGTCTCGACGACATAATTTACAGAAATCAGGACCGGTTAGACTCACTCTCGCACAGGGAGAAGAGGAAATGAGTGCTTCAGCCCCGTCTGCTCCATCTAAGTGCGCCAGCCTGGCTCAGGCGGTAGCACTCCCGCCTCCAGGTCAGAAGGTTGTGGGTTCAAGCCCCACGTCAGGACTTTTGCTCGTATATCGTAGACTAACACACAAGTGCAGTGCTGGGGGTGCATTGCATTGTCGGAGGTGTGGTTCTTCGGATGAGATTCAAGTGCTGGCTGTCTGTTCAGGTGGACGTTAAAGATCCCCTGGCATTATTCAAACAGCAAAGGGACTTTCTCCTGGTCTCCTGTGCAACAACCCTTCAAATAAAATCCATCATTCGCTCTGTGGCTGTTTGTGGCACATTGCTGTTCTAAAATGGGTTGCCATATTTGCCTACAAATACAAACTCCCAACAACAGATTACATTGTATAGCGCCTTTTTACATCAGGAGGACGTCCATCTATCTGTGAGTTACTCTTTACAGTAAATCCTGTGAAGAACTTTGAGATGTCCTCCCTACGTGAAAGCAAGGATTATTTATTATAGTTAAGAGACTTACTGTTAAGAAAGCAGTGTAATGAAGTGCATAAAAGGTTTAAATGTTGCTTATCTTGCAAGTGCTGAATTTTCCAACAGCTGTATGTTCCTTCTAAAATTTATTAGCTGGTTCCCATTGCTTATTATAAACTTGTTCAACCACAGAGTATTTCCGGCACTGTCTGAATATAGCTTTTCAATAATTTTTTTTAACTTCATACTATGCATTTCATGGTTAAAAGAAAAACTAGTACATTTTATTCAGAGAGATTTTACATTGTTTTGTCCGATATCGCAGTTGTTTATACAAGTCTTATGTAAAACAAAGAACCGTGTTTTTCGAGCACAGTTTGCCTGTTTTTTTTTCAAAAGAAATCATTGCTTTCCAGTGTTTCGGGGAGTCTGCCAAACATTCTGGGCCATGCCTGTCAAGCCACTCTTGGGAAGTTGGTTAGAGACTGCAGAGCTGAGAATGTTTAGCATTGATCGCTACCGATCTGTGTCTGTAATGGAAAAAACCTTGAATTTGATATAGGCAAGTGCTTTACCAAGTGAGAAGACCCGGGTTTGAATCCCGGGCTGGTAGGGCGAAATGTTAGGCAAGTTTCCTTGCTCCTCACGCCTGGTGGTCAGTCGCCTGGCTGGGGGCTAATAATAAAAATTTGTTCCAAAAAAANTATTAATTTGGTCACTCAATCTACGACTGTTTGTGGGAAACTGCTGTGCGCAATTGGCTGCCACGTTTCACCCTCAGAATATGCAGACAATTCACTTTGCAGGATATCCTGTGAAGCGCTTTGAGACGTCTCAAAGACGTGATAAGGCGCTGCGTCAAATGCATTAATAAATTATTATATGGCACCTTTCGCTTGGGGAGGACGTCTCAAAGCGCTTCGCGGGATTCATTGCGAAGGAAGTGTGGGAGTGACCTTGTGTTTTGCTTTGCTTTTTACAGAAAATTAAAGAGATCACGTACATGCACTCTGAGGGCATTCTGGCTGGGGAACTGAAGCACGGCCCACTGGCCCTGGTGGACAAGCTAATGCCAGTCATCATGGTCATCATGCGTGACCACACCTACACAAAGTGCCAGAGCGCCCTGCAGCAAGTGGTTGCACGACAGGTGAGAGAGACCCAGGTTTTTTTTGTGTGGGTTTAAGCCTCTTGTTCCACTTAAGAAGACAATACGAATGTGGTCTGCTTGCTCCTTCCGAATCTCCCACGTCACCATGACTCGGCGTGGGAGAGGGGAATGCTTTTTTTTAATATATAGAGAGGGGAAGCGGTCAATTGCCCCTCATTGCGCAGCACAGTTCATCTGCTCGGCAAGGTTTTGGAACAACGCTTAGCAAAATCAGCAAAATGCGGTGCTGGCACAGCCCTACGTTGTCGGAGGCCCCATCCTTTGGATGAGACATTAAACCGTCTATGCCCTGTTTAGCCGGAAGTTAAAGATCCTGCGGCAAAAAGAAAAGGGAGTGATCATTCACTCCATGGCTGTTTGTGGGGATATCATTGTGTTCAAACTATGGTGTGGAGGGCGCTATATAAATCCAAGTGGTTGGTGGTGGAGTTGTTATTCTGATACAGCATCTGATCACATCTTTGAGACGTCTCAAAGCGCTTTACAGGACATACTGTAAAAGGGAATTACCTGTATATTTTGTGGGTGAAACGCGAGTTGATTTACTGGTGTATCTGCTTAATGTCAGGGCCGCCCGATTGTGATCTGCGACAAGGATGACATCGAGACCATGAAGAATGCTAACCGGGTGATCAAAGTGCCTCACACGGTGGATTGTCTGCAAGGGATCCTCAGTGTGATACCGCTGCAACTGCTGTCCTTCCATCTCGCTGTTCTGCGAGGATACGATGTGAGTAATGGAGTCTGGGATACAAAGCTGGGCTCTTTCTCTCACACACACACACACGCACACCCTTTAATCGTACAAAACGTCAGGGAGGGGGAGGGCTGCTCAGGAAATCAGCTTAATAGACGTGCAATCACAACAAAAGGTATTTTTAATTGGCGCAAAAAGCATGTTAAGTGGAATACTTTGTTGTTCGAAAAATGTTGCTGTGAGAGGAAAGTCCACGTGTGAGAACAGTATACAGTATGATCTCAAGAGCATTAGTATTTTTAGATATTCAAACATCTCTCCATCCCTTCTCTGCCTCTCAAAGCACACCATCGCTTTTGAATCGGTTTAAACATTCAACAGCTCCTTCAGCCAAACGCTGGCTCATTTTTAAACTTGAAGCAAAAAATGTCACTTAACTTCTCACTCCGAACATCCTGATTTTAAATCGTCCCGTCCTCCCACATTTGAATCGGTAGCAACATTGAGCAACTGGGATCAATCCTCTTCATAATCTTAACAAACCTGAAAGCCAGAGGACAGACCAGACCGAGAAATCTCCGTAACTTTGCTTTGTGATTTAAATTCTGATAGCCGCGATTCTCTCATGCTGAGTTCTCCACCAGGGCAAGAGTATTCTGACTAAAATTAGCTGTTCAAACTGCACAGTATATACGCCAGAGGAATCTGAGCCTTGCGTTTTTACTGCACAGTATCGCTCTTAATTTTACTGCATCCTTCCGAAAATAACAACTATCTAAAAACATTTAACGCGTCCGCCCCTTTTGACACCCAACATTTATCTGTAGTTAAACTGCATCTGCCACCACTCGGCCCAGTTTCCCCCCCAAAAAAGCAAAATCTTTCTGAAACTGCGTTACTCTTCCCGGTTTTCTCTTTCTCTGATTTTAGTATCAGAAATGCAAAAAATACTTACGATGCCTTCATTCACGGCTGTATACCAAACACACAAAATTCCAAGGACAGCCACCCTAGCTAGAGCTTCGTCCCATTCCAACCCACTTCTCAACAGACGCAGGTCAGGGGCACAGCTCCCAAAACTGGGACTAACCCCACAATCTTACTGAGAGGGTTGACGGGCAAGTGAAATGGTAATGACACATTGGTGAACTCAGGGCTGTTCTTCCAAGGTTTGGGTTGAACCCGGGAATTGCTTTCCTCTGATGTTGGATGCAAAAAATGAGGAAAAGCTTCACTCTTCAGTGTTATACCAGTGAGATGTCTGAAAGTTCACCAGAAGTAGCACAAAGGATCGTCGCCAGACAATTCCTGAAGGCGTAGCGCTAGGAACTGTTTGGGTCTAAATCTGGGTTCCGTCTCAGGCAGATAGTGATACATGACGACAAGGGAAGGAGAGCCTTCAAAACAATGGGAAGAGAATGCAGTTTAAAAATGCCCGAGAGCTGCCCTCATGGACCAGCGGGTAGAGGCTGGTCGCGCTGAGTCCTACAGAACGGAAAGTCACTGTGATTCGCACTGGACGCTAAGTTTCCGGATGTCAGCCAGGCAGGCGTGAGGCATATCCCAGCAGGAATCAGCGGCTTTAGAAGAGGAGGAAGGGAGAACATTTGAGGAGAGGAAAAAAAAAAGAGAGCAGCCAGGGAAAAGGTTGTCTTGTGAACAAAGAACTGAACTGGTGCTCCGCTCTGTTCCCAAAGGTTGACTGTCCACGAAACCTGGCCAAATCCGTCACCGTGGAGTGAAGTTCGAGGCTGACAAAACCACACGAGACACAGAGGGCCAAGAATTCAACTTCTTTTTTTTTAACCTGAGCATTCTTAACTCTTTATTTTTTAACAAACAAAATACTGTATAAATCTTAATTTACTCTTTAGTCTGGTGGGAATACATGTGGACGTGCTGTGGAGGGAGGGTGTGGGTAAAGTCTAGAATGATACGGTGTAAGGCAAGGGCTCCTGGGCAGGGCAGAAGGTTGTTGTGAAGGGTGCTGAGAGGAGTATTGTAGGTCTGACCAGTCCGTGACCATTTTTGTGTCGTGTTTATTTTTCGTCCGAGTGCGTTCCATTTCATTGTTGTTGCTCAAAATCCAAGCAGAATTTTCTCTGCCACTCTGTTGCATTTTTCTTCAGCGGACTCCAGAGTCGGAACGGCGCCTGCGACCCTAACCGGGCGCTAAGAATGTTCCGCGTTGAAACCTCTTAACGGAGAGCTTGCCCGTCCCATTATCCTCCGATCATTTCTCTCGCTGCCTTATCTACTCATCTTTAGTTTGCGACGCCTGAGAATCAGAGCCAGTTTCATTCTTCCCGTCAGGGGGACTCCTGGCCACACCGTTGACTGCTTCAATCCACCACTTTGTTTTGAAGTACAACCCGTTTGCATCTTTCGGGGAGTAAACTTGCACATTTTGTATAAAGTGGGGTGTTGCCCTAGTGTGTAGCTGCAGGGAAATCTCTTAACGTAATCCTGATTATAAACGGGATTGGGGAAGTTTCACATCAATGCGTTTTCTCACAAGCGACTGGCTCCCGCTATAACCTGCTCACTCACTCACTAGAAAACGCAATGCGTTGATAGAAGACAGCTCAGTATCTTGCACGCACATGCGACTTTAGATTAGAAACAGCGAGGAGGAATCAGACTGTCGAAACTGACAGCAAGAATTCTTTAGGCTTTATTGAAATATTAAAGCTGTATAGTTAATTATTTATAACAGCTTAGTACTTTATACTGTGATTAATTTTAGTTGATTCCGGTTAATGGTGACATGAAGTTTTTAGTACGAGGATTCCTGAATTTCCCTGCATGTGTCTGGCAACAGAATCCCCTTCAAACCTGATAAGCTTTGGGGTACAGAACTTTCATATTCATTGAAAAGAATGCTTTAAACACATAAGGATGTGGCCTCTGTGGTGTCGATTGGTTTCAATCCCAAATCTGTCTGTCGATGTGGAAACTTGGAATCTGCATATTTTGTGGGCTTATCTATTAGAACTCTCTCATATTCGCTGACTTCCAAAAGAAATAATATTACCTCTGGCTTAACCCCTCCCCCCCACCCTCCCCCATACAAATGACAGAATTTTTAGCCCCGCACTAGATAAAGATAGGTGCGGGAGTTCAAGCGGCTGGAAAGCTTGACAGATATTGTTCTCAACAGCAAACCATGTGGTTAAAGCCAACTAAATTCCAGGAGTTACCCTATGCACACTGGGGACCCTCAGCCTTGGCTCTTGCCAGCCTGCGTCTAATTGACTCTAATAAGTAAGCAAGGTGCTCCCCTCCGGGCTGGGAGGGGGAGGTGGGAGAGTGCGCACATTCCAAAACAAAAAAAACAATGCTGCAAACCATTTATTCATCTCACTTCAACCTGATTCCAGATTCAGCACAATATAACCAATCTGGGGGCCTGTCTCCGCTTTGGGTACAACTGGAATTTTGTAAGAAGTGTATTCTGCTGCAATAATGGTAATAATATAATAATAATACCCTGTGACCTCTAAATGTTGGCATCTCTCATTTTGCTAAACATTGTGCTTTGCAACAGCCTGGGAATAGAACTTGTGCTGAAATCTGTGCTGAGAAATTCCACTTGCAGTCAAGTGTGGTGACTGACACTGGGTGGGGTTTATAAAGGTATTTTTTCTTGTTATAACTGCACAACATTCATGTCCTTCCACGTAGTGGCGTTTAAACGGCTCAGTGTAACCGTGGGTCTGAGATTGACTGCTGTGTGAATGGGCTTCTTGCTTCAAATCCACTCTGGGTGCATGAGGTAATTCGGACGAGCCGTGTTTCGTTGACTATGAGGAAGCCATTGAGTACAATCTCTCTCTGCTAATTTCATCGCTGGTTAACTCTGATTTGCCTGGGTAGAAAGAATGCAGCCACGCCACTGTTGTGTATTCAAGACAAAATACCTGCAGTGTAACTTGACGGAGCTGGAGGGAGTCAGCAGGGGAGCTGTTCTGGGTACAGAGCCAACTCGTGCACTGCGCTCTCCAGACCCTGTCAGCCCAGAGCGCACATTAACCATTGTTCTGGAATCTTTACTTTATGGTCTCGCGCTGATTCGGGGGGAAGAGGGGAAACTGGAATTATCATTGCTTTGCTGCTACCACCAGCTTCGAAATTCCCTTCGACGCCCGGCGGCTTAATCCAGTCCAGATTTACTACTGCCGTGTGAAGTTTGCACCAGGCTCCACAGTAAATTAGGTTGACTGCAGCTATGTCAAAGCGGACAGGAGCAGAGTGCACTGTGTGGCATTGTGAGAGATCATCACCGGAGTTGCAATATTCAACAAGCAGTTTGCTGAATCATCAAATCATGCTTTGCTCAGTTTGCCTGGAAATGAAATTCAGAATGTAATCTGAGTGGCATTAAACCTCAATGCTGTAACTAGAATTTTTATTGAACAAAAAAATAAGCACCGCATTAAACCAGAGTTGTTTTGGCTTAACGGTGAAGCCTTGGATGAGTCATTCCATTGACCCCCAGTTAACAATTTCCTGAACGAACGCAGTCACGCAATTGTAATTGAGTAACGTAAACTATTTGAGCCGACTTAAATCCCGTCTTGTTTATTCCACAAAGGGAAACTAGAGATAAAAGGAGAAGAAAACCGAGAAAATTGTTGATGCAGCGCAATTGACCAGGTGGGACTGTGTACTGACACAGTCCCAGTGCTGTTGTCGTTTCCATCAACCGTGCACCAAACTTAACAGAGCTTCCCGCATAGGTTTAAGATGTAAGCCATCGCTGAGCGAATTGCTATCAAATCCAATGCGTTCAACACATTGTTGTAACTTAAGTGTGAGTGCACTGCCATCGCTTTCACACACAGGCCATGGTGGTAACTTGCTACCTCTGCTCTCTGTGTCTGAAAAGGCATCTTCTTGTGGTTTGAAGAGCGATGCAGGTCTTTAAGATTCACACACACACACATTTGCAGTATCGAAATTCAATTTAGAATCAGATAAAAGGTGACTAGGCCAGACTGGTAGTTTGCTTGAGTTTTTAGCACAGTGATTGAAACCAATGCTTGCAATTTAGTGTGACTTCCCCCACCAGCAAAATGCGACCTCTAACATTTTAGGGACGTTTGGCAAGTGTGAGATCGCAGCTATTTGACCCTAGAAGGTTACAAGTGAACATAGGTAAAATCTTCTGTGCGCTTTGTGGCACTGAACGTAATGAAACCAAAACTAACATGAAAGCAATTGATCTGGAGTATCTGTGTTATTTGTTGTTGATTGAGTGATGGTTTAAGTGTCAGTGGTTCAGTGTTTTAGCCTATCTTGGGGAGCTGGACTTTATGCTTGGGGATTAATTGAGAACCGGTGGGGGGGGAATGATTAAAAACTTATACACTGCAGAAGAGACCTACCGCCTCTCTGTGTGGTCTTCAGTACTTATTACTGGAGCGCCAGTCTGGATTATAAACTCACTCCCACAAGGACACAGACAGCACAGGCATTTTACAAGCACACCAAATTTATTTGGACAAAAGTTACATAAAGGGAAAGAGAACAGATAAAAAGCAGTATCTCATCATGTCAATTTTCCTCGAACCTTCATAACTGCGGTGCCAGTATTTTGTGTCCGTTCCATTCGAACACAGTTTGGGGGAGTCTGCCTCCAGTGGCTCCCAAGACTCAAATCAGTACCATCACCATCTGATTGATTGCATCGGATTGCTGACGGGTGGCCAGGCATTTTGGCTTGCTGGGCTTCGGGCCCAACAAAATACAAGTTCCCAAACATCACCCAGTAAGCCAGATGCAGTTCTCTTTTTAGTCTGAAATCTCCACAGAATTCAAGTGGATCCTCAAAGCTGAACGAAGGTGTTTAGTGGTTTGTTCCAGTGTGCTGCAAGTCATTGACTGTGCACAAAGAGTCATTGTTCAGAGCTGACTTGAAGATTGGGATTGGAAGAGGTCGCTCCAGTGGTGGAGCTAACACCAAGGTTGGACTCCATGGGCCAAGTGGCCTCCTCTTTGTCCCTGTAATTTCTACAATAGATTTCATCTCAATTCTAGGCACTCACTACTATAATGAACCCACTTCCGCCAGTTAAGGATGCTTGCAAGAGTTTCTTGTGCAGGTCACAAGGGATTGATAGATACTCTTTGGCATTAAAAAAAAACTCACCATCTACAGTGTATTAAATGAATATCAAATACTTTTCAGCCTGTATTCAACAGCATCACACGCAGAAGAGACTTAAGAACATTAGGCTGTGCATTGGCTCACCCAACAGCTTCCTGCTTGAGGAGTAGCTGCGCTGGTCTTGCTACGGCAAAACTCTACAGAAGAACAGCAGAGTGAGAGAGGGTAAGGCACAATCTGTGCTTGAGGGGTAGTGACACACAGAGGGCATTTCACCATCTCTTACCTTGCACTCTCAAGTGATGATGATAATCCTTGCATTTGATATAGCGCCTCATCTCAAGAGCGCTTCACAGACTATACTGTAAACTGAATTGACTGTATTTGTGGGCGAAACGCGGCAGCCAATTACGCACAGCGGCGTCTCCACAAACAGTCATGGATTGAATGACCAAATTTATTATTATTATTATTTTGGGAGGGATTATTAGCCCTGGAAATCGATCCGCCAATCGACGAACAACCGGATTCCGACTTATTGCTCGGTGAACAGAGGCGTGTGGAGTAAAGAAACTTGTGTAAGATTTCGCCAGGGAATTGAACCCGGATCCTCTCTAAACACTTCGCTTCGGGAATCCAAGCCTAGGACAGTGTGGGAGAGGGTGTCCTCACACAGACGAGAGCCAAGCAGCAATGCACACTTGTCTCAAGTCAGAAAGGACCTTCTCTGGAAGCAAAGCTGTGTTCTTGTAGCTATCTTACTGCAGCGGTGAGTACTGTGGAAGTCAAGCCCTCGTTTGGAAACCCAAAAGGAAAAACTTTATACAAAACAAAAAGTAAGAAAATGTTTCAACAAGCACAGCTTGGTTAAAAAAAAAAAATGCCATAAACTGTTTGGCTTCTGTACAGTAATTTACAAACCCCCCTCTCCCCCCCACCCCCCCATCCCCACCACCAACCGAAAAAAATGCTTTCCACGCTTAGAAATGGCTTCCTTTCCATAGACGTCGAGCACAAAGTGAGATGGTTGATACAGCTCTCCGTAACCCGCAACAATTTGCTTTTTACTCTAACCCAGAGTCCGCCTGACTTACTCATTCTCTTCCATCACCTCATTCAAGGCAGGCTTCAAAATAAATCGTCCTCCCCCCACTCTTGTTATAGGACTCCACTTTAACATTGTCGCTTTTCGCCCTCCCGTTCTGCTTAGGACAGTTAGTGTAACTGTTGCGTAGTCTTTGCTAAACTCTCATGCTCTCCTCATAAAGTGCTTTGAGACCTTCTCCCTACGTGAAAGGCGCTATATGTATTGTCAATGTTCTCGTGCTATGTTCTCCAATTGATTGGAAATACCACTCAGTGGGTCTTGACATTCTAGCAACATGCTGTGCTTTAAGGCACGGTTAGTACTTTCTCCTCACACCCCCACACCCCCCTCCTCCCCTCACCGCCTTTCCACAGATAGTAGTGTAGGCGGAAGTTCTGATAGACACTTGTCTCAACAAATGCACACTTTCCTTGCTCCTTAAATATCGCCTGCCCTTCCTTCTCATCCTTGAGCTCTGCTCTGGATCCCTCAGACTCCTCAAACCCTCAACTGCAAGCCAGCGAGTCAGCTGGTTATGGCCCCTCTCGACATCCCTCTCTCTCGGCCTGATGGCGTTTGACGTCATCGCCACACTCGGTAAACTTGCCGTCCAGATTCTCCGTGCAGGGATTCTAACATGAGCCGATCTCACCCGGCAGACTTAATTTAGCGGCCAAAGAAACTCTTAAAGCATACTCAAAAATCACTGATGCATCTGCAAATTCAACAGCGACTTAGCTCAGGATTAATCTGGGTGAGGAATCAAGAGCTGGAAAAGTGCAGGACCTCAGTGAATTCGGAATTAACCCACTCTGTACCAGTTTGCCTCCGTCCTAATGCCTGCTGGAGAACAGCGTCTGCACAGGGCTAAGCCACATGAGTGTCAGGCACTCAGCCAAGCGATCTAACGGAACGACAGGGGAAATCAAGGCACATGGCAGCACATACGTGGTTCTTCAAACCGGACGTAGGATTTGGCCGCTGTTGGGGTTTTCAGGGCGATGGGCGCAGTACTTATTTGCAGCCACCAGGTGTCGCACCCGCCTCTCGGAAATCCACTCGCAGCGTGTGACGTTTGCCGTGTTAGCCGTGTGCTGGTGGAAGTTGGGTCGAGGAGCCTGAGTGACCTAGTTTCACTGGCTGCGCTTGCAACAAAGGAAAAGTTATTTCCAGAGCGCAGCGCTCGGGCGCTGAATCGTCTGTCATTTGCGGGACCAAATGCGCAGCACCAGTCAATTTAACGCAGGGACAGACCGAGAGAGAGTGAGTGAGAGAGAGAGAGAGCGCTCCAATGCTCCTCTGGTCTACAGAATGTGACCCCCACCCACCCCCCCCCCCCCCAAACTACACACTGGGTATATTGTGCCTGTTGTCACTTCTCAACGCACCCAGCCCGCTCGATTGCACCTGCCAGCGGCCAGTTTCAGCATAACGTGGCCAGCAGATTGATTGCCCGCTTGCCTGACAACATTTAGTATTTGGTGTCGGTCCAGAGAGAGAGAGAGAGAGAGAGAAGGGGGAGAGAAAAACAAGTTTCGGCACTCAAAACTAATAAATGTTTCAAAAGAGTGATTATATTATTATTATATATGTATATCCTTGTATTGGATACCAAGCCTTATCACGTTCTCAAAACGTGTCAAAGCTCTTCACGGGATTGACTGTGAACTGTAGTGACTGTATTTTGTAGGTGAACGTGCTCATCTGGGCAATCGGGTGGAAATGGGGTGAGGCTGTGCTTCACAAGCCAACGGCAGAGTCAAGATGGAGCCTGATCAGGTCACAGAGCGGTTACTCAGGTATAAGGCACGTGGATCAAAAGGGTTGATATCAGTGCAGTGGCCTGAATTACCTCCACGTTGCTATTCCTTCCTATCTCCCCAGCAAGATGTCTCCTGTGGCCCAGTGGGTTCAGCCGACAGGGGCAGCAGTGGAACAAATCTCCTGCGCACACCAGGAGAAAACCTTCACAAAAGTAATGAGCTTTACACCAATAGTGCCAGAAAATCAATGAACATCAGTGTTATTGAGATTCTCTGCCTCGTCAATTGCTTCAACATTCTGGGGCAAAATCCAACGTCTTTTATCGCCTCGAGATCCCAATTCTGCGTTAAGCGAGCTAAGTGTAATAGGATAATATGCTGCGTAAAACGGTAACAGTGAAGTATCAATACATCACGCATTCCTAAGCGACAATTGATCGATCACATGTAAGAGAATGGCTGCCGGTCGGAGCTGGCACGAGTTCAGAAAGGATATCGCGGTGTAACGTTCCGCTGGGCTGGTCGGGGATTCACCCCCAACAGACTGACACGAGAGAGAACAGTTTCCTCACCACCCGTGAGAGGCTTTCACACAGTACGCCTTCGCACGCCCTTCCCGTCAGCTGCTCGGCGGAAGGGTTGATGGCGTGCGGCTAGAAAGACGGGCGAGGAGGCGGGCGGGATGGGGGCGGCGCCCGCGTAGGTGGGGGCCCGGCGGGCGGCGGGGGGAGGGTGGAGCTCGGTGATGAACTTGGCGACGGAGAGGTCGACTGGGTGGGTGACGGTTCTGGGGAAGGCACAGATGATGCGGGGGGGCTGGCGCTGGGGGAGTTGCCGCTGGGGGAGTTGATGCCGGGGGAGTAGATGGGAGCCAGCCCACCGTTAGCCCGCGGCATGTTGTTGTAGATGGGATATCTGTAGGGGTTATTGTTGGCGTTCACCCTTGTGAAATTGATGCAACAGCCCTGCAGAGAACACAAAGACAGCTATTAGCCATTTTAGTACAGATAATTATATAGAAACAGCGAAAACAACTTGCATTTAGAGAAGCCCCTTCCCTTGGTGTAGCATGATGATGATCATAATAATAATCCTCGCATTTGATACGGCGTCTTATCACGTCTTCGAGACGTCTCAAAGTGCTTCGCGGGATACACTGTAAAATAGATTGACTTTGTGAGCGAAATGTGGCAGCCAATTGCGCACAGCAACGTCCCCACAAACAGTCGTGGATTGAGTGACCAGATTTTTGTTTTCGGAGGGATAATCGACCCTCGGAAAGCCATCCGCCAATCGGCTAACAACCCGGGTTTCTGCTCACTGCTGGGTAAACGGAGGCGTGTGAGGGGAGTAAGGAAACCTGCCTAAGGTTTCACACCGCCCGGGAATCGAACCCGGGTCCTCTCGCTTGCGAGGCGAGAGTGCTGTAAACACTACATGACGGGACTGCATGGTTTGTAGGTGAGGGTGAGGATCTGAGCTCTGAAACAGGCCGAGCACGATAAGGGTTAAAGCCAGCACAGTGCAGCGTGCTTGGCTCAGTCCCAGTACTTCAGCTTGTGCCGTGCTGGTGATGAGCGAGAGAGACAGAGAGCGAGGCTCAGTGCAGCATAAGCAGCGGTCAGGCAGTAATTTAAACAAGATGAGCAGAGACTACAGGGAGCCCGGGGTGGGGGGGTGGGGGAAGGGGAGAAAGACGTTCGGACCGGACAGAATTGCCGGATCAGCAAGAAATGTGAAGTTCCTGATTGCGATTAGGCCCTCAAGGAATCGCACGTAACTTTGCTCAAATTCACCCCTTGAGGGTTTTGCTCTCTGACGCTTCGTAGGAAGCACACAAAGAGCCGTGGCACAAGGCAGCTCCTGTCTCCCCTCAGTTTAGCTATATTCTTGTGTCTCTTTCCAACCGCACGCCCAGCCTGTCGGGCTTGGGGGTACTGACACTCTGAGTGTAGGGGGAGGTGGGGGGTTGCAATTCACCCCCGCTGTTCCAAGGGCAAGGCTTTTATGCTGAGACTGACTCAAAGGGTTTTCTTTCTTTCTTTCTTTCTTTCTTTGTCTCCCTCTGCCCTGCGCTGATGCACATACCATAATAATCTGTAATAACCCTCCCATTCAATACAGCCCTTCAACATGCCGTCAAGACATCTGCGAAGTGTTGTGACTGTTTTGTAAATGAACGCAGCAGCCAATTTTGCGCACAGCACAGCAATCAGTCATGAAGGGAGCGACCGATTCCATCTGTGGGATTGTTGGCCAGGGCACCGACTGGGAGAGAGAAAATTCCTTGCCTCTTCGAACAGCGCCGAGGGAGATCTTTAAACGTCCACCTGAACCGTCAGGGAGGGGGAGTGAGGCTCAACGTCTGATCTGAAGGACGGAGCCAACTTGGGGAGTAGAGACATTAAACAGGAAGGCAGGGAAGTGGGTTAGTGGGAGTTAGTAACAATGGATTGCATAAGGTGTCTGCTGTGCAGAAATCCATCAGAGCAGTCTCGGTGGGTCAAATGGCCTGTGTTTCCGTGTGCCCCATTCTTATGGCTTCTTCAATTGAAATCCCAAGACCCCCGCGCCCCCTCCCCCCGCACCAACTCCTCCCCCCCCCCCCTCCCACCTCGAAAACCAGGAAGAGGAGATGGAGAAATTAACAATGTCTTATTATTTTTCAAAAGAGATGAAAAAAAAATCCCTCAGCCATCGACGTCCACTTTACTGTGCAGAGGACAAAACCAGATGTCAGTTCACGGAACTCAAATAACAAGTCACTGTTTAGTTTGGCAACATGACCTATTCTCTGCTCCCATTCCATTCAACATGTTCTTAATTCCTTCGCAGAAGAAAATCCATCTATACATTGCTTACTCTCCATGCTGTTATGCTGATAGTTGCCTTTCCTCTCCCTTCTCTCTCTCTCTCTCTCTCTCTCCCTGATTTACTGAGGGTAGTTCTTAGCGAGAGGCATGTTGCTCTCCTCTGTGAACCGCCTTCCCTCTCTTGAGTCAGAAGGTTGTGACTTCAAGTCCCACCTTGGGCTACAACAACAACTTGCATTTATTTACACGGCGCCCCCTCACACAGGCCAGGGTACCAGAGCGCTTGACAGTGGCGGAGCACGCCGCCGAGCCGAGGGGAGGGGGAGGTGACTGTAGGCACGTTCGAAGAGGAAGGTCCTTAGGCACGACATGAAGATGGGGAAGGAGGGGGCAAGGCGGAGGGATTGAGGGAGAGCGTTCCAGATTATTAGGGCGTGGTGGCTGATGGTGGAACAGAGGGCAGGAGGGATAGGCAGGAGGCCGGAGCCTTTGACATGACAGGATAAGATGCAAAGGGTTATTTTACTGCCTAGTTTAGAGCACGGGGAGGGGGCAGGGAATTGGGATTGCAGCGGATGGGGTTACGCTCTGCGTAACTGCTAAAATATTGATCCTGATGTTGAAAAAAGTCAGTGATTATCTTAGACAGGCCCAGACCCCCTGCAAATGGCATATATTATTCAGTCATCACGTGCTCATCACGACTCAGGATTTCACAGCCAAACCCCAGCAGCATTATGGTGCTCTGGTATATGTGAAGTCTGAATTTCACCGACAGAATGTGTCTCGGTGTTCAGCTTGCTCCCAGTTCAGTTTGGCTTGGCTTCAGTTCACCTCTTCATTGCAAACGGGCTCTGCCGCGCTCGCCTGCAAACACACAGTCACACAGTGAAATCCTGTGAGCGCCTTTGAGACGTCTCGACGGCGTGATAAGACGCTGTTATCAAAGGCAAGGATTGGTCTCATTAATTTTCTCGTGGGGGACATTGGCCTACAAAATACACAGTCACTACATCTTACAGTGAGTCCTATGAAGTGCTTTGAGACAATTTGGATGATGTTATAAGGCAGGTGCTACATGAAATGCAAGGAGTGTTAGTTGATTATAATTTGCATTTCATCAACCGAGCTTCTATGACTTACGCGCTCACATTCCCCACTCCATTTTAGACCGTAACGCAAAGCTGCAGCAAGTAAGATTCAATGACTGCGAGAGACCCCGTTGTTCTCGGGGCTGGTCCTGATGATATCACCCGCCTAATGATTGTTGGCAGGTGAAGTGAGAGCCCAGCTGGAGGGATGTAATTACTTTAGATTGAACTGAAAGCTGACCCAAGTGACTTTGAGGTGTGATGGGAGCCAGAAACCAGGCTTCACAGCTGAACTACGCTGTCCAGGGAGTCTGAAGATAGGAACATTCACAATCCTTGCATTTGCTACACCAGCTTTCACATCGGGAGGATGTGTGGAAGCCCTTCACAGGAATTACGGTAAAGTGTAGTGACTGTGTGTTTTGTAGGCGAACGAGGCAACCAATTTGTTGTTTGAGTCGTGCCATAAGATTTTTTAACATCTACCTGAACAGGCACAGAAAGGACCTCGGTTTGCAGTCTCGTCTGAAGGACTGCGCCTCTCACAACACAGCACTCCCCCCAGGACTGCATTAGCGGGTCAGCCTGGGCCATGTGCTCAATGTGGGACTTGACTTGAGTGCATAACCTTCTGACTCAGAGACCAGAGTGCTTCCAACTGAGCCAGCCAGGCCGACACTTTATTACAGAGTGGAAACCTCCACAGCCTCATTCCCAGAGGGGTGTACATCACGCAGTGATCAATTACAATAGTGTATTTCAGTAATACAGAACACATGCTCTGTGCACGAGTCCAAAATGACACAGGTCATCTCTCCTTCCGCCAACAAACCAGGGTGCTGCCCCTTTAAAGACGCTCTCCGCACCCTTCACTGCAGGTGATGCACAACATCAAACAGCAACTGCATGGCAGCTAATGGTTTCCACATGAGCTCCATTAAAGGCAGGCAGTGGAGCTTAGTGCTGCCTCGGTTCTTTTCCTCCTGTTGAAATTGGTTCAAACAAGAGGGCAAGACAATTCGGACACCAGTCGAGGCTGGTGGGAGCTAATTGAGGAAGTGTTTGGGGGGACAAAAGCCAGTTGTATTTGGGGGATCAAAGCATGATTTCTGAGCGGTTTTGTTTGTTTCTACCAGCGAGCGACTGCTGAATAAGGAAGTAGTGGTGAGAGAGAGACTTTAAAGAAATGAGGACAAAATGGAAAGGGGGGAAATAATGCCAGAGACTTAAAAAAAAATGGAGAGTGTGATTGCCAAACATTGAAAGAGAGGTGAAATGTGAGACTGAAGAGAAACAAAATGTATAACGCAGAGAGGCGGAGGGGGTGGGGGGAGAGATGGAGAGACGAGAGAGAAAATATGAGATGAAGAGAGAGAGAAAAAGACAAATTGCAAGATGGAGAAAAAGAGAGGACGAAACGTGAGACAGGGAGAGAGAAAATGCGATGGGGAGAAAGAAAACGAGATGGGAGCAAGAGAGAGAAAGACAAAACGCGAGCCAATGAAAGATTAAACAGAAAGCAGAAAGGATTCAGTCCTGCTGGTCTGCCCACCTCTGTGACTGAGACTCATTTATAATCTGTCAAAGTATAGAGTGTTCTGCAAATAGTGCGAGAGTGGGGATTACACTGATTAATGCAAGGCATTGGCTGTGGGAACAGGCTTGCTATTGCTCGCACAGCGCAGTCTGTGTTCAGGGTATCACTCACTCAATTAATATACTGTGAGGTCGATGGAAATACTTGCTGCGGAGAATGAACATCCACTCGACCTTTCTCCCCATTTCCCCTGCAGAAACTTATGAACTCTTCCTCACCTCGTCCCTGAAAGGCTGGTGCAAGCAGATTTGATAGCAGCCTTCAAAAGGGAATTGGATAGGCAATAATAATAATAATCCTTGCATTTGATACAGCGCCTTATCACGTCTTCGAGACGTCTCAAAGCTCTTCACAGAAACCACTTAAAGTGAGTTTGACTGTATATTTTGTGGGCAAGAAAACTCTAAAGGGGGGGAAGAAAGTTTCATTTTTCTAATGATCTGCAGTGAGGAATCATAACTTGGTACTGATGATGGGGTGAGAGAGGGAGCCTGGTGCAAGTTTGAGACCTGCGAATATCTCTTTCCAGTGAGTGAATGCCGATGTCAGCAGATAACCTGCAGACTATAAGGTTTCAGAGAACTTTCTTTCTCTTTGTTTGAAAAGGTGCATTTGACCCTTTTTTTTAAAAAAAATGAACCTGAGCCTAATACTCTCCAGAATTAGGTAAGCAGGATGTCTGAAACACTTCACGTGATATAATAATAATAATAATCCTTGCATTTGATACAGCGCCTTATCACGTATTCGAGACGTCTCAAAGCGCTTCACAGGATAGACCGTAAAGCGGAGTGACTGTATAATGCCCTCTACTGAGGTAGCATGTGGGACAAGACTTAAGATGAGGGGCACTATGTAAACGTAAATTGTTTTTGCTTAGTTTGATGCCAATCACGGGGAGAAAGGACATGGTGAGAGGAGGCACTGAGGAAAGTCCTCAGGTGCTTCAGGCAGGCCGAGGCCGAGGGAGGGACTGAGAACAGAGAAACCATCTTGCATGAGCATCAAGTGCTCTTTGGCTTTAAACACGACTGAGTCCTCTGGAATTGTTTTTGTGTTGAAGCCATTCATAAGCCACGCTGTGTTTAAATAGACAAGGGTTATTATATTCGTTTCTTTTACACTTGAACACTTCCAGATATTCGGCTCCAGCTGCGTGCTTTCATTTGGCCGCAACTAATCTTTAGCAATAATAAGATTCCAACACCGTAAATTCCACTTTGCCGCCCACGCTGCTTCTTTTTCTGTTATGTTGCTTTTCCTGGTCTCTCTCTCTCTTCTCCCTCTCTCCTCTCTCGTGTCTGATCTGTACCTCAACTCCAAATATTATAATAAAATCCAGATACCCCGCACTCCAAGGGCCCCTCCCCAACTCATAGAGACAACCAGTGAATGGGACTCGATTCCACAGTACGTTCGTTCTTGTATTTCTACAGAAAAATCCCTGAGTCCTGTGTGTGGTGTGTGTGTGTGTGTGTGGTCGAGGTAGTCTCTGATCTGCCCCAATGGAACCTGCTCAAAAGGGTCAGCCAGTGTACCTCGTGAGTAGTTGAGCCATTCAGGCTGGGATGGGTCCCAGATACAATCCCCTGCCCAGTTGTGGCTGAGTTAATGTGATGGGGTTGTATGTAGATGATAATAATAATAATACTCGCATTTGATACAGCACTTTATCACATCTTCGAGACGTATCAAATCGCTCCACAGATTATGCAGTAAAGTGATTTGACTGTATATTTTGTGGGTGCCAAACACAGCAAGCAGCCAATTGTGTTTCACAAACAGTGATTGAGTAACCAAATTTATTATTATTATTATTTTGGATGGCCTCTCGGATGGCCTGAGAGCCTGGGATTAGGGTGAGATAAACAGATTCCTGCTGCTGATGGCTGTCGCTATCTAATGCCCAAGCGAAAGCCAGATAAACACATAAACAGATTCCTGCTGCTGAATGCCAAGACCCGCAGAGACTTGGGAACATTTCCCCGGTCACAGTGAAGTGTCTGGTTCATCGAGAAGAGGACGGAAGGAAGGGCTGAGGAATATCATGTTCACAGCTCAGTCCACGTTCTGTTTATCTGGTCCACAGACACACGCACACAGCTCCGCAGTTCAAAGTGTGCAAAACTACTCTTGCGCTGAGTTAAACCCTTGTGTTTGCCTTCGCTGACTGGTGGCTCCTTTAAGAGTGATCCTTTCAGTCACATTTTCCTAAAACCCCCTGCAACTGACTCCTTTTAAGGTATTTATTTAGTTCAAACAAAATCATACCCTGAGCATACAATTTCTCCCCACCGCGCGCACACACACACACACACTCCCCTTCTCCCCTCTTTACTTCCCACTATCAGATGACCCATTGATGGCTACAATATCTGCCAACTGCCTGTATTTTACGGCACAGCCTCCCTCCCAATCCCCGTCCCCGATTAAATGTCTTTGCTCAAAGCCTCGCTTGGCCTAGGATCTCAGGCTTATGAGAACCAGCTGTGCACTTTCCTACGCCTGACATCATCGGTGGTTCAGCTCCCTGGCTTTAACTTGCCCTGTGCTTTCGCAACTAAGACGCCTGCCAGTTCATCGTAACAATCGTGGAATTTTATTTGTGTGTGTGTTTTCTTCGTTTCTATCTGGCATTTCTCGTTTGTTTAAAAAAAAACCACAACTGTCGGGGGGGTGGGGGGTGACAGGCGGAGGGGGCGAGCTGAATGAATTTATTTTCAATCCCGTGAGAATTACCACGCGCTCTTAACAGGCATCAACAACAGACTGAGGAGCAAACAGAGACATTTCCTGCCCGTGTCAACGAGCTCTCCGCACAGAGATGCCCCGGCCAACGGCTAAGTCGTTGCCAGTCTGTGCCTGACATGACGAGGGCTTATCCCGAGCACACAGAGCCTCTATCCCGATCCTGTCCCAAGCCTGGCTCACTCTGTGCCAGCAACGGCAGCTTAAACAGTCATGAAATTAATGACCAGTTTTATCCTCCTTGCGGGGAGGGGGGAGGTAAGCGGGGTCTGCTTACAGCTGACCTGGCTCTGTGGCGGTTCGGGGAGTCCGGTTCCTGAGCCAGATCGAGACCTAAATTAAGCGAGATCCTCCTGGCCTCAGAAGTGCTTGTGTCAAAGAGCGCAGAAGCTGGCAGTGTCTCTCTCTCACACTCACACGCTCGCACACACTGTACCTTGTCTCCAGGCCTAGGCCTCATCACAGAAACCCGATCGTACCCTTTCCTGAGCAGCACCCACAAGGCGTCCAGCTTTCCCTGTGGTGAAAACAAAGATCATCAGAGCAAGAAACAGCAGAAATCCCGTGTCCACATTTTTGCGAATGGTCCTCCGTTAATATACGTTAACAACTCGGAGGAAAAGTGGGCGATTCGCAGTGTGAATAAGTTGCCACAGATCAGCACCGAAGAGGAACAAATTCTGGACCAAGTTGTTGTTATTAATGATATTAATCCTCACATTTAATACAGCGCCTTATCACGTCTTCGAGACGTCTCGAAGTGCTTCACAGGATATACCGTGAAGTGTGGTGACTGTGTATTTTGCGGGCGACAATACACAGTGACGTTACCTTGATGGGAGAGTACCATTTCCTGGGGGAGTGTAACCTGCGAGATCCGTTATTCTGCATTCCCAACTCGGAGAACTCGTACTCCTGATCCGGCATTTTAACTCTGGCGTTCTTGGCCTTTTCCAGTTTGGCACCTTCCTCTGTCGAGCCTCTCTCTCCCCAGCGGACCTGTAAGTGGAAATGCCGTGTGAGAACAGATAGCACTGAGCGCCGTTAGCTGCCTCATAGCTCCCATCAAGTTGGGTATAATAATATAATAATAGTAATAATAATTCCGTTTGATACAACGGTAATCGATGCATTGGATTACGGTGAAGGTTTGTACACAGCGACGTCCCACACACAAACAACCACGTAGGGAATGAGCGATGCAAGCTGAGAGGTTGTCGGTCAGGACATAAAGCAGGTGCTGCCTCAGGTCTTTACCGATTGCCGGAGAGCTTTGTTAGTTGGCCACATTCATTTGGAAACTTGGTGAGGGGAACAAGACGGGCTGTGACGTGGAGGAGAACGGGGGAGAAGGAACTGTTTGCATTTCTCTTGGGGGTGGGGGGAAAAAAAAGGCTTTTTATTATCGTTTGCTTTCGCTCCATTTGGTATGAAAGTGACACCAGACTGAAGCTATAAAATAAAACCAGCTTCCCCGACCCCAGGCTGGGGCACCAACACCTCAGGGTTGGCTGGTGCTTGCCACAGAGGGGGGTTTGGCCTTGCTAGTGGGCAAATGGCTCTCTAACTGATAATGATCTACAGGGCTGGCGAGATGGGCTGACTGGAACGGTCTTTACCAGCCTGTGCCTTGCTGTTCTCAGCACGCCCGGCTGCAGTTTGCATAAATAATAATAATAATAATCCTTGCATTTGATACAGCGCCTTATCACGTCTTCGAGACGCTCAAAGCGCTTCACAGAATATACTTTAAAGTGAATTGACTGTATTTCGTGGGCGAAATATCAATCCTGCAGTTAATTATGACTTGGCAGTGTGCAGTTTTATTGTTATTTATTATAATAAAATTTGCATTTGGCAGAGCAGCTTATCACATCTTTGAGACGTCTCAAAGCCCTTTGCAGATTATGTTGTTGTTATTCAGGAGCTAAATAAAGCTGGGTTGGTTTCATTCAAAGGGCAAATAAGTACGTCAAGCCAAATTCGATCAGATTGCCCCTTTCCCCAGAAGAGCAGTTTACCTCCATCCGTTTAATCCCTCCAACTCCTCGACCCCCATAGTATGAGGCATCAACCGTTGGCCACTTCTTTTTGGGCAGCCCGTCTGGATCCGAATCCTCCTGTGAGAGCGAGAAAGAGAGTGAAGGAAAATCAGGCTGCATGATCTGGAGGAGCTGAGCTGTTTTTTTTTATATATAACGCACACACGCGCGCACAGAAACAACTGACCAGTCGGATCCCTGCTGGATCGCCTCACAACAGGAAATACCAGAGTTTGTAAAGTTCCCTTCCAGCAAACTTCTCAAGCGCCTGAAGTTCATCCCAAATTCCACGCGTGCGGTCAGCTGCCAACGAGAGCTCCCTCTCCGATACCCAGTAGGCACAGGTGAAGTCAGCGCCTGGTGGCTGAACTTTCACGTCAGACGCACTCGCTCATGTCCCCTATGCATCCTAAGCGCTCCAGGATGCGTGAGGGGCAAATTGTTGTTGTACCTTGCTTGGTGAGGAGGGGGGAATGGGGCAGAGAACCTAATTGAAAACAGGAAACAATGACCACTAGGTCAGGGAGTTGTGAAATCTCTNATGTTTATGGCAATAAGGACAATAACAGATTAGTGTGTGTGTTTTTTTGTAAATGCTCAGAATTGTTTTGGAGCTGAAGCTATATTTGGGGAGCTGCCCTCGATGTCTCTCGAGACTCCTCCATCACAACCTGGTAAACAGCATTCACAGAAAGTCCTCGCGTCTCAAAAGTGAAATGGTAGCTTGTTTTTGGCAGCTCGGAAGGGTATTTATTCTGCTTGTCTTGGTGCCAGCGCACGCACCAGAGCTCTTTACTCTAATTCTAAACTGGGGAGGTACTTGAAAAGGAAAATGTGCAGGGCTATGATGGGGTAAGAGCAGGGGGGGAGTGGGACTAGTTGGTAGCTCTTCCAAAGTGCCGGCCCAGGCAAAATGAGACGAATGGCCTCTTTCTGTGCTGTGACTTCTATGAATACCATTCCCCCTGCTTTTGTATCCCCCAGCTCACTCCCCAACCCTCGATGAAACTCGTTAAACGCCATTCCTTGCTCATTCCGAGTAACCCTTTAACATTGGTTGTAAAACCCCTCGTGATATTTCGAGGAAAACGTTCCACAGGGCTTTGTTTTTCCCTTTGGATGTTTGCACAGCATTTCGTTGGCACTTTGCTCTCCTTAAGCAAGAGCAAGCAATTAAGTGCTCATTGCTAACTCTTAGTCACTTGCCTTGGGGTAGGGAGATTAAAAACATACGAGTGGATTCCACACGTGGTAAATCGAGAACCCAAGGCCACTCAGAGCCCATCAAACCCACTCCAGGCGCGTGTCCAATGCAAGGATTATTATTGTATTACAAACTCATAAGAACATAAGAATTTGCTGGTGAAAGAAGACCAAGGTCCATCCAGTTTGTCTTCCACCATCCTGGCAGTCGCTTGACATGTCTTGTCCCAAACTATATATTGTCTCCCCAGATATTATTTTCTAACAGAAATCTTGTGCTCTTGAAAGAATCGACTCTTTCTGCTTCCACTGTCTCCCAAGGGATCCTGTACCAAATGTTTACTAACTGTAGCCGAAATAATAATAATAATTCTTGCATCTGATATAGCGCCTTATCATGTCATTGAGACGTCTCAGAGGGCTTCACAGAATATGCTGTAAAGTGTAGTGACCGAATATTTTGTGGGCGAACTGCAGCAGCCAATTGTGCACAGCAACGTCCCACAAACAGTCGTGGATTGAGTGACCAAACAGAGACGTGTGCGTGGAGTGAGGAAACTTGCCTAAGGTTTTGCCCAGACCGGCCCTTGAATCAAACCCTCTTGCTTTCCCAAAGCACTGCGTTGGAGCGTCAGCCTAGACTGTGTGTGTTCAAGTGCTGACGAGGGGGTTTCAAACCACAGCCCTCTGACTCAGGCGAGAGAGGAGCCAGGCTGGTAGCTGACCTGCTGACCCGGTGAGCCCAGCCCATGTCTGACCAGCAGTCATCTCAAGGTTAAGTTGGTGCTTCCAAAAAGTGGGGCTTTATTTGCGGAGCTCTCTGTTTATCGATGAGTATCCCATTCCCTGACATCAGGGCTGCCAAAGTCTTTGTGGTTTGGCTTTGAATCTCATGACGGCTTTTCGTAAAAAATAAACTGCGGTTTTACACGCAGTGAAATCAGTTGGGATCATTCCTCTTGTCCAGGGTTGTGCCACATTGCCGTGGGCACTTGTTCATCTTTCAAACACAGGTGACACGATCTGTCTCATCCTCGTACCTTTCAAGTCGGGAGGACGTCTCACCAAGAACAAAATTACATTTCTCTCAGCGCTTTACGCTGCTGGCTGGGCAAACATGGGGCGGGGACCCCGCTGGACAGGGTGGGGAGGGGAAAGATGAAAGTGCAGTTTAAAGAGGTAACTCTCGAAGTGAGCTTTGAAAGAGGGGGAGAGAGGGTGAATCGGAGGGATGGAGTTCCAGAGGTTGGGGTTGGAATGGCCAAGTGATGGAATGCAGAGTAGGCTGGTGCTGATGCTGGCAGAGTCACTTAATGAGCTGCTAATGGCACTTGGATGAAATCCATTCTTCATGGTGCTATCAACCGGAAGTCAGAAGCTGTTCCCTTTCTACCAGACTCGCTGAAGAAACCACACGCACGCACAAAAGCAAGCGCCACGTATCAAAACAGCTATAATTTTTTTTAAAAAGGGAATTTTAAACCCTCGGAGCAAAGTATTCTTTGGCCTTCCGGAACTTCTGTCTCAGTTCCAAGGCTGACGGAAGCAAAGATTTCTTTTCGGAACAGTTCAACAGAAGATTGAGCGCTCCGCCATCTAGCGACGGAGTGGGTTTAAAGCTCAACTGGGAGCTTTAAAGCGATCATGTGCAGCCGGTCTAGGAGGCAACACAACAAGTACAAAGTGATGCCTCTTTCCTCATCAAAGTACATTTTCTCCCAGAAAAGATCATAACAAGGATTGAGCAACAGGAAATGATGAAGAAATAAATTCACGGAATGGTTTGGAGGGTTTTGGACAAACAAGTTGACGTCTGCTGGAAGGACAGTCCAGCTGATATCAAACCACAGTCTGGCTCCTCAGGCGTGCCTCACCTCCCCTCGTGTTTTGGATTAACCTTCCTTGCATTTTATGGAAAAGGCTTATGCCATCACTGCTGGGGAGGAGGGCTCTCAGCCAACTGGCAATACAGAGCTGGCCAACTGCACTGACTTCAGTGTGATTCACTTTTATGCCAATGTGGGAGACTCCGCTGTGCACAAATTAGTCGCCACCACTCGACCGGCCTCCTGCTTGCCCCTCATGCCCTCTGTTCCACCATCGCTTTCAGCCACTGCATCCCCAAAGGGTTGTCTCTTTACCTAAACATTTCACTGCGTCGCCCCGCAATTCGCTTGGGTTTGCTGTCTACGTTTCCGCGGTGAACAAAGTCAGCCCTTCAGCCAGACGCTTTTCGAGTGATTTTAAACAGCAGTGTGTAACACAAAATGTGACTTAAGCAACTTGTAGCTTACCTCATCATCGGAGGGCGGGGGAGGGGGTTCCTTGATAACCTGTAATGAGAGAGGAGGGTTGTGTATGGGATGGGGTGAGGGAAGAACAACAATAACTTGGATTTATATAGTGCCCTCCGCGCCGGACGGCGTCTCAGAGCGCTTCACAGTGACGGATCCCGGGGCCGAGCCGGGGGAAGGTGACCAAAGGCACAGTCGAAAAGAAAGGTCTTCAGCAGAGACCTGAAAATGGGAAGGGAGGAAGGGAGTTCCAGAGCCTCGGGGCATAGTGGCTGAAGGCACAGCCGCCGAGGGTGGAGCGGAGGATTCGGGGGAGGAGGCCGGATCCGGGGGAACGAAGGCAACGAGCACTGTTTTGAGGAGAGAGGACGTCAGAGAGGTCGGGGAGTGCAGAGGAGTGAGAATGCGGGCGGCAGAGTTTTGAATGATTTGGATTTTATGGATAGTAGTGGATGGGAGACCGGCGAGGAGGGCATTAGAATAGTCCAGCTGGGAGGTGACAAAGGCATGGACCAGGGTTTCAGCGGCTTTTGGAGTGAGGTATTGGCGGAGACGGGCGATGCGTCGGAGGTGGAAGGTTAGAAACTTTGAGACAAGCTCAAGGTATTTGTGGAATTTCTATACAACGTCTCAAAGCGCTTCACGCATTATACTGTCGAGTGAACTGACTGTATTTTGTGGGCGAGCCAATCGACTAACAACCAGGTGATGCTCTCCCTTTCTCTCGCTCTCTCATTCTCTTTCCCTCTGTGGGTATCATGCAATGATTCGGTACAAATGCTCCTTTGCCGCCGTTGTTCACAACGGGCGGTGTTTAATATGCGATTGGCGCTGCTTGAGTTGGGACCGGATAAATTTCCAGGACTTACCACAGTGCAGCACAGGGGCCAGAACCACCACATCAGAACCAGAGCCAGCAGCAAGAAGAGTATCAGCAGAGCAATCACCAGAATGGTCCCATCTGACTGCAACGAGAGAGAGAGAGAGGATAGCACATGACCGAGGCTGATTAACAAATTCCTAACGTGAACGCGTGAGAATCTCTCTGTGGGTCAGTCACCCTTCACATCAATCGCACACAACATGTGTGTGAGAGACGATCTTGCCAATTTTAACAAAACATTTACTCGGATGTTTGGCTGAATCTGTGGCTTTGTAAACGTTTCCTACATTTGTTTCTCTCCCCTTTTTCTCTCTCATGTTTTACGTTCAGCTCAGCTCTGAGGAACCCCAACGTACTTCAGCAAAGAAACGATTCTTTGAAAGAGCTCCCGACTAGTCCCACTCCCCTGCTCTTACTGCATAACCCTGCACAATTTCCTTTTTCAAGTCCCTAACCAATTCCCTTTCGAAAGCCACCATCAAATCCACCACCATTTCAGGCAGTGCATTCCAGATCATAACAACTCTCTGGGTGAAAAAATTTCTCCTTGTGTCAACCTCTGGTTCTTTTGAAGGGATGGCTTTAAGAGGAACCTTGATATACCCGGGAGAGATAAGGGAATAGAAGGGAATAGTTGATGGAGATAAACACCAGAATGGACTAGTTGGGCCAAATAGCCTGTTTCCGTACAATGTCGGCCACAAATAATCTTGTACTTGACACTAAGACCTTCTATTGATATAAGGGGGTCAGATGAGGCTGGTCTCCCAGCGGACTGGAATGTTTCCACTGGGGAAGCAAGTGCTCTCATTTGGCCAGTTCTGGTCAGCGTTACAGTAATAAGAATAACATGTTATATAGTAAGTGCATTTTGGCACTACAGTGAAGGGAGGCGATTAATAACTAAAATTTGGCAATGCAGTTACAAGTGGAGGCTGCATGTTGATAGTAGTAATCTTTACATTTTTATACAGTGCCTTTCATGTGAGGACATCTCGAAGTGCTTCATAGCCCTTCATAGGATATACTGGGAAGTGTAGTGACTGTGTAATTTGGAAGCCAACAAACAGCTCTGACCAATTTTATCTGGGGGTGTCAGTCAGGACACTGGAGGGGTGGAGAAACTCCCTTTTTTCCAATAGGATCTTGAATGTCCAGCTGAACAGACACAGACGGGACCTGGGTTTAATAATAATAATCATCCTTGCAGTTGATATAGCGCCTTGCCACGTCTTCGAGACGTCTCAAAGCGCTTCACTGATTATACTGCAAAGTGAATTGACTGTATATTTTGTGGGCGAAAGGCGGCAGCCAATTGCGCACAGCAGCGTCCCCAAAAACAGGCGTAGAATGAAGTGAACAATTTATTCTTTTTTTTTGAAGGAATTATTACCCCTGGAAAAGCCATCCACCAGTTGACTGACAACCGGATTCCTACTTACTGCTTGATAAACAGTGTGTGTGTGTGTGTGGAGTCAGCCCAACATCCCACCCGGCCGGGAATCGAACCCAGGTCTCTCGCTTGCGAGGCGAGTGCTCTAACCACTGAGCTGTTAGCATCGTATCTTGAGGATGGCACCTCAGACAATACAGCACTTCCCCCCCAGTGCTGTTTTGGAGAGTCAGTCTGGACCGCGTGTGAGCTCAAAGTCCCCGACGTGAGGCTTGAACCATCTGACTCTTGAGGCGAGAGTGTTACAAGCGGAGCCGGAGCTGACATTACTTTTAATCGTTATGCAACACACACACACACACACACTGAAGACAAAAGAAGTTTTTCTGGTGAAAAATCTATGAACCTCAGCTGCAATTTCACATTCCTCGCTGACGTTGAACTGTGGCGATGATCCCAGAAATCTGGGTTGCTAAGCGACGCGATTGGCCAGAACGTGGGGTGATTTAAGGTCCTATTAAAGATGGGGAGAGGAGGGGGAGGTTAGAGAGCGCGAGAGAAAGAAAGACAAGTCTGTTTAAATCTTCCGCACGGGTGACTGATATTGCTTTGTGTGGGTTTGTGTGTTTTACTGACAATGTGTCTTTTAATAAAAAAAAACTCCGGGATGAGAATTCCCAAATCCTGGATGTTTTTGCTCTCTACAGCGTTTCCTCAGGGGCCAAACAGCAGGATTTAGTTACTTCAGCATGAGGTGGGGGGGGGGGGGGGTGGGGGGGTGCAGAGAAAGTGGGTCTGAGAGAGGGAGAATGAATTTAAGCCACAATAAAGGAGCTTTGGAAATTATAGAGGATTTATACCATTCCTTTGTTTTTTTTAAAAAAAAATCCACATCCAAACAAAAAGGAATCCAAATGAAATGCACTTTTCATCCTTTTGCCCCATTCCTTCGAGTTCACTTTGCTTTAACAGCTTTTGATGAAATAATCATTCACTCTTTCTTTCTCTCTCTCTCTCGGTCTCTCGTCATTCATCGTACAGCCTCGTCGCACACTTAAAGCCCACAGCCTCGGAGCCGTCTGCTCTCTCCTTATTGTGTGGAGGAGGGGAGAGGCGGCATATAGGAACAGGAGGAGGCCATTCAGCCCCTCGAGCCTGTTAGATCATGGGTGTGTCGTGCGTGGCAGATCATCCCACTCCACCCCCCCACCACCCCAACCCCCATGGGGACACTAGTGCAGGAGGGCGGGGAGAGGCTCAGTGCAGGGACCACTGCTGACAGTCGGGTCATCCTGCCACATGGAGTCTGGGTCCATACAATGTTGGCTGGTCACTACACTTCTCTGCATGAAGCTCCGTGATCCTCCTCTCAGTTGCAGAAAGAGATTTGATGCCTCACACGAGCCAAGAGTTTAAGAAAGCCAGTGTGCATCTTTTACCTCCCCCTTCCTTTGCCTCTCTCTCTCTCTAATTTCTCCCCCATCTCCCCTCTCCATACCCAACTCCAATGGCACAGTTCTCTGTCTCTGTCTGAATCTCATCTCGTCTTCCAATTCCTTCACGTCCTGGCACCTCTCTACCTCTCCGACCTGCTTAACCCACAGCCCGCTGCCTCCACTCGACTGGCTCCGGCCTCCTGCTTGTCCCCCATGCTCTTCATTCCACCATCGGCGGCCGCACTTTCAGCCACTACGCCCGGAAACTCTGTCACTCTCTCCCTCTATCCCTCTGCCTCGACCCCTTCCTTCCCCATCTGCAGTTCCTGCCTGAAGACCTTCCTATTCGACCAGTGCCTGCGGTCACCTGCCCCCCGGCTCGGTTTCGTGCTCTGCCACTTTGTCAAGCGCTCTGGGACTCTTCCCTGCACGAGGGGGCGCTGGGTAAATGCTTGTTGTTGTTGTTGTTCCACAACAAGTGCCATGTGCCTTTGCCTGTCACCCTCGTGTCTGGGGGCTGTCATGCGTGTGATTGCAGTGATGAACCGTCGTAACTTAAACAATAACAAAGTTCCAGCAACAGACTGGAATGTGAAGCGAAGCAGCTATTAACCACAAGTCAAGCCAAGCATCTGGCCTTGATTTACCGTCCCACTGTAACCTCCCACTGTGCCAAACTGTACTGCTCCTATTGTTTTTCTGTCTTAATGAGGGGAGGGGTTTGGGGGTTGGGGGGGGTGGGGGACAGAAAGAATCTCACACACTCGGAAACCCATCACCTGCTTTAGAGTGGATGTTTCCCAAACAGGGTATCCAGCCCTCAGCGGCCAAAGCGTTAGGTATACCAAGGCAGCAGGGTAAAGGGGGCACAGGGTGATGGATGTCAATTTTCTCTCTACCTCCCTCCTTTCCTCCCTCCCTCTCTCTCTCTCTCGCTCGCGGATGGAGAGAAATTAGTGCAAAGACCAGGGAATGTCAGATTTCTGATCAGTTTCGAGAAGGAAACTGTTAAACCTCTGTATCAAGGAAGGAAATTGCGTCCGCCACTTTTGCCCGGATCACTTACACAGTGGACGGTGCTGATGGTAACTGAGCTGGAAATGAAGCTCAAGCCCTCATTCATGCTGACCTGCAGGAACACCTCCCTGCAAGGAGACACGAGACAACGTGTTAATGTCAGACTCTCAATATCAATAAGCAATCGTATAATAACTTACAATTAATATAGTGCATATATATATATAATTATAACCAATAATAATTTATCCTTGTTTTTGACGTGTCTTTCGCACTGAGAGGACATCTCACAGCGCTTCACTGGATCTACTGTAAAGTGCAGTGACTGTAGTTTGTAGGTGAACATTGACGTCTCAAAGCATTACACAGGTAACTGTGTGACTGTGTATTTTGTAGACGAACACAGGAGCCAACTTGTGCAAGGCAACGTCCCACAAACAGCCACGGAGTGAGTGGCCAATTTTATCCGGGGGTTGGTTGCAGGCAGGACATCAAACTGACTGGGAGAAACTCCTTTCTCTTTTCCAAACAGCGTCACAGAATCTTTAACGTGTGTTGGTCTGAAGGCCGACACCTCCAAGAGTGCCAAGCTCCCCAGCAGTGATCCCAGTGCACCCCCCAAGTGCTTGTGTTGGCAAGTTTCCTCGCTACCTTGAAGCCTCGTCACTTCCCACCTCTTGAGCACTCGCTGATAGAATAGGCAGTGCCCCACCCATGGCAAAGTATCGGGCCAAGAGGCTTTGAACTTCCTGAGGCAGAGAGGGAGGGCGAGAGAAAGGCCGGTCCATCTGGCTTTCATCTCAGCGAACAACTGGAAAGAGAAGCCTTTACCGCAAAGCACTTTGGAAAACTGTCTTAGAGCGGCTGGCTGGAGAAGGTGCAGTCATAACCCGTTTCTCCACGGAGGCAGCCAACTTGTTAGCAAACTGTACAGTTTCCCTATCACATTGGCAGCTCTTCTGCTTAACTCACTTATCAAATCCCGTCAGCGCCCTCAGCCTTCCTCGCTCTGCCCGACCAGTGAAATAATCGGTGAGGGTGTGTTCCACGCGTTCCATGCCCCTGTCCTACCAGCCCCACCGCCAGTGGTTGAGCTTTCTGCCTCTCTCTCTCTCTCTCTCTCACTCACTGGAACTCCATCTTTGAGTCCCTCTGACTCACTCCCTCCCTCACCTTGTTCAAGAGTACTGCTTTCAATCTGAAATCAGCTACTCTAAATCACTTTGAGGTCTGATTGCTTTTGGTATCGATTCAATGGAAATGGTATTAACTTTGCGAGATCAGACGCTGCCAGAAATCAACTGAACCAAAGATCTGGAAACAACCTGAATCTGGTTTAGTTGCACTGGAAGATAACGAGTGTTGACTGCTCATTAGAACGTGGGATCAATTTTCCCCAGTCGGTGTCCTGGCCAAGAATTCCCAAAGAAAAAAATTGTCTGCTCCGTTCACCTACAAAAATACACAGTCACTACACTTCACAGTAAATCCTGTCAAGCGCTTTGAGATGTCTCGCGATGTGATTATCAACAACAAATTACATTTGTATAGCGCCTATCATGTCGGGAGTACGTCCCAACGCGCTGTGTCAAATGCAAGGAACCTTATCACCCTCATTGACTAACCTTCGTTAATTATATCTGCTGCTCAGTGAATTGGTAACTAGGGGGATATGTTCACGTCATGATATTGGATGCAAGAGTTCAGCAGGAGCCTAGAAGGAGCTTTTTTACAGCTACTGAAATGTGGAATGCTTTGCCACTTGTGGCTATTGAGGCTGGGACAACAAACACAGAGTTGGAGTTGGAGAGTTTAGCTCCTAAACTCTCTCAGACACAGTCGCGGGTCCAACAAATAGCCAGAGGTCATCTGTAATCAGTCCACAATATCACCAGAATCAATCACTGGTATTGAAGCCAGGATTATATTGCACTATAAAGAGCAAGTGATGGGATGTGTGTCTGTCTGTGCTTTCAGATTGTGTGCTAGCCCTGGTGTAACCCTGAATCCAATCTGAGAACCAACTTGACTATCATAAGATCCGTCTCAAGACATCATCCTCCCTCCCCCCGTTAGTTATACGGTATGTAGCGGAGCAGTGGAAACAGTCTCATTGTTTTTGACCCTCCAAAAGCATTTGCAGTCAGGTGAGCCCTGTAGATGCCACTGAAACAGTTCCATCTTTGTTCAGTCCTTGCATTCTCTGCAGCGTGCGATAAAGTGTTCGCAATGTGGCATTTTGTCAGCTCATTCCTAAGGGGATGAGCAGGGCCGTTGTTTGAGCTTTTCCACCGAGGTCTGCGTGGCTACTTGCTGTTCAACAATTAGATCGCGCCCTGCAGAGCATTCCTGGGTATCACATTAGCACCTTACCTGCCAACCTCCCACAGCACCGGTGCCATGCAAAGCAAATAGGTGTCTTCCACAACCAAAGGCTTCTGAGCTGCAAGAGACAGGAAGAAGCACAAGATCACAGTCTCAGTTCGGATTGAGAAGGCCCTTCTCATCCCTCGAGAACACGCGCACACACACTCACGCCCAACCAGCCTCCCATTACAGCATCCAGCTGTCTGTTAAGGCAGCTTCTAGCCTCAACCCACCCTTCCTGGCAACCGGTTAATCTCTATCTGAGTAAAGAAAAACGTCCTGAAATCACCCTTTGCAACTTTAAACCCCCGGCCTCTTGTTATTCTAAATATTCATAAGATTTCAAGGGTTCCCGGAGGTGGTGAGGCACTTACTGAGCGTGAAGGTGTCGTTGATCTTGAAACTGCAGAGGACTTTGTCCACATTGCGGGCGTGGGAGAATCCATTACCCTTCACAACCACTTGAAATACTTCTGTAAAACAGGACAGACGTTGCCAGTGTAAGAGGCTGTGATGGGCAACCGGGGAGAGATTGCTCCCCAAGCTAATCTAATCTACTCCCCAAACCCCAATCCACGACTGTTTGTGAGACACTGCTGTGTGCAGTTGGCTGCCAAGTTTCACCCACAGTCACTCCACTTTACAGTATATTCTGTGAAGTGCTTTGAGACATCTCAAAGACATGATCAGGCGCTGTATCAAATGCAAGGCTTATTATTGTTACTGTCATGTTAGACACAAGTCCAACTCATGCATTTTGATATGAATCATGTTTAATGAAAGCCTTTCCCTTTTAAATTTAAAGCAGAACAGGAATAAACTTCCATGGACGTACATTAAGGAGTGGTAATGGAGAGCCATTGGGGAAAAGGTGTTGGGGGGTTGGTGGGGATCGGAGTGGGAGGAGATAATTGTTTCTTTAAAGGAGGAGAGCAGCTGTTTCACCGAATGTGGGGAAGTTAAACGGAGCAGAAATTGGCAATGTTTGCTCCAAAATAAAAGGCTTGTGCTGTCATGACAAAAATCCACTGTCAGCACATTTTACAACAGATCCCACAAGTACAGCTGGATGTGGTCTGGTTTATACAAAGCCGTGAAGTGACTGCGTCCAAGGCTGTGTCTCGAGGCTGGGGGAGACAGGCTGAACTTGAGACACCAGAGAAGGAACGAATTGAGTTTAAAAGCTTCAAGGGAGTTTCACTGTCTTTTTCAGATGTTGGCTTACAGTGTGCCTGGCGTAGTCCACTGTAAGCCTGGCTCAGCCGCTAGCACTCTGCCCTCAGGATCAGAAGGTTGTGGCATCAATTCCCAGGCCAGGACTTTGAGCTCACAGTCTAGGCTGACGCTGCAGCCCAGGGCTGGGGGAACGGCATCAGGCTCCGCCACTGTTAAGTGCTCCGTGTGAAGGGCACTGTGTAAATGCAAGTTGTTGTTGGAGCATATTTAAAGGCCCTTTCACAGAAGGCTTCCCCCACACAGAGACATGTGGAGTACCTACCTCCAGCACAGATACTTGAGGGTTCCGCAGCTAGAATCTCAATGCACGACTTCTTCAGGATCTAACCATCGGGAGAGAGAGAGGGGGAGAGATGGAGAGATTATAAATCAGCAACCCGTGAATAATTCTCCCTTCATCGCCAGCCCTGTGCAAACTATAATTACTCAAAAGCACTGCCATGTGTAGGTCTGCTGGTTTGGTGTGTGTGTGTGTGTGTGTGGAGGAGGGAGGAGGGAGTACACTCAAGGAATGATAAGATTCTGGCAAAGACTTATCTCCGAGAATAGTGGAAATAATGAAGAAATGGAACATCTAGCTTGGCTCTTATTAGTCACCCTCTCATCTCTGGGTCAAAAAGTTTGTGGGTTCAAGCCCCCCAACAGGTCAGGACTTTGAGCTCACTTTGAGTCAGGGCTGACGCTCCCAAGTGCAGTATTGTCGGAGGTACTGTCCTTCGGATGAGAAGTTAAACCGAGGTCCCGTATATTCTGGTGGAATAAAGGTCGGGTTTGGTAGATAAGTGATTTGGTTGTTGGCTTTGTCAACCTCTACCAAACAGGTGACCTCTCCACCCTCTCTCTCTCTCTCCCTCTCTCTCTCTCTCTCACTCTCTCTCTTTCTCTCCTCCCAAGTCTCCGATTCGGGACATTCGTAAACTAGTTGGGTCCAAGTGTGTCACAACCTGCGTTCGGCGATTGTCACATTCACGAAACGCCAAGAAAAATGGAACCCCAAAAGCCGGGGAGATCTCGGCAGGAGGAAACGTTAGCAATGGTATGGCGAATCGCTTTCTGCGGCTAATAATCCCTTACAAAAATATCATTAATTCGGTCCCACGACTGTGGGACGCTGCTGTGCGAAATTGCCTGCCGTGTTTCACCCACAAAATACAGTCGATTCACTTTATAGTATACTCTGTAAAGCGCTTTGAGACGTGTCAACTTGACAAGGCGCCGTATCAAATGCAAGGATTATTACGATGGTTGTTATTATAATTAAATCTAGTAACCAAGTGAATAGCAAAACCTAGGCAGATAAACTATTCTGTCTATTTAGTTCCTGAAGCCTAAACATTCTCTGGAATGCTTAATGTCCTAGCATGAAAGGCGAGTACAGTGTTGCTTCCTTGCCTCACTCAACACTGCCTGGCGTAGACATGCCATAAGCCAGCAGCGGACGTGGAGAATTTACTGCCCTTCACGCCATCCTTTCCCCTCCCCTGTGTTGCTCGCTGGCTGAGCTCAGTGTTAGCGCCTGCCGATTAATTCAAAGCAGCTGCAGCAAACTTGTTGCCCACAACCTTGGGGTCACCTCACTGGGGAGTGCGCAAGGCCAAAGGCAGGCAGGCAGCAACTTACAGAGTCAATGATGTCCTGCAGGGCTTCGAAACCATCATTAACTGGGAATACATGGTCCTTGCTGTCTGCGATGCGTGCCAGCTACAGACCGTGACACAGAAACAAGAGACAAGAGAGAGAGAGAGAGACAGAGAGAATAGATGTCAGCACATCTTGAAATATTTAGTTCCTTGTCCTTTACGAGCGCTAACAAGGGAGAGGCAAAGCAATAGACAGGAATGCATGATTCGCCCACGAAGTACAGTCAATTCACTTTACAGTATGTCCCGTGAAGGGCTTTGAGACGTCTCAAAGATGTGATAAGGCGCTACATCAAATTGCAAGGGTTATTATTATTATAAGTTGACCGTTGGGTCAACCGTTGGATGAACAGAGAATTGAGGAATGAATGCACACAGTATTTTTGGCTGCCACTTGAATGCAATGCTGGTTCCCACCCAAAGTCTTTGGCATCCGTTCCATTTCTCTTCCCCCGGTCATGCCAGCCCACAGGTTTCGCTCGCAAAATATACAGTGTATGCTGCGAAGTGCGTTTGCTCTCCCGCCCTCTCTCGCACGTTGGCTCTCGATCACTTTCTCACAAGCGCGAGCTTTTTGGGGCTTTTTGGGGGGCTGGAGGGGAAGCGGTTTAAAGGAAGCGCTCAATGTGGTTTACGCATGAGTGTGAATCAGAGCAGCAACACCAAACTGTTTGGGGAATCGAAACCCACATACCTGGGTTTCATTGAAGTCTTTGACCCCGACACAATAAACCGTCGCTCCTAGAGTCCGTGACCGATCAGCCTGGAAAAGCAAAGAGACCCAGAGTCATAATAGCTCAATGGCACGTGGAATTCGGTAGATCAGTGGTTAAGAGCACACGCCTCGCAAGCAAAGAGACCTGGGTTCGCTTCCCAGGCGGGCAGGGCGAAACCTTCCGCCAGTTTCCTTGCTCCACGCGCCTGTTTACCCGGCAGTAAGTAGGAACCCGGTTGACACATCGCTTTCCGGGGGTAATAATCCCGCACAAATAAATAATGAAATGATTTTGTCGCTCAATCCACGACTGTTTGTGGGGACGCTGCTGTGCGCAATTGGCTGCTGCGTTTCGCCCACAAAGTATACAGTCAATTGACTTTACAGTATATCCTGTGAAGCGCCTTGAGACAACTCAATAACGTGATAAGGCGCTGTATCAAATGCAAGGATTATTATTATCATAAAGCCATGTGCACCAGCAATGACATGGGAAGGAGAGAGACTCTGTATCTAACCTCTCCTCATTACCTCTGATAATCCTTCACCTCATTCAGCCCCTAATCCTCTCCTAGTCAGAGGAGCTTGTGGAATTTTCTAACTTCTGCCCAGAATCTGGATTTTATCTCCGCGTTATCCCAGATGCTGGAATGTGCCTCCTTTACACATGTCCTTACATCTCAGTATATGGTTTCCATTGTGGTTGCCAGGAGAAAGGGGAGGGACACACATCAATGAACCTCGCAGACCACAGCCTATGCTCTATAAATACCATGTGCCCTCAACACTACCTTTAACCTGCTCCCACCCCCTGGAACTCCATCCCACAGTCCCTCCGCCTTGCTCCCTTGCTTGCCTCCTTCAAGGCCTGTCTCAAGACCCTCCTCTTCGACTGTGCCTTCAGCCAGCCCCCCCCGTCCTCTCTGCCCTCCACCCCTCCTGATTTCCCCCCCCCCCCACCCCCAGTCTAAATCCCTGACACAGGGACATCCTCCCGACGTGAAAGGCACTTTACAAATGTAATTTTGTATTGTATTTACTACCAATATTTCTATCTTAAAAACTTTATGAGACCAAATGGGAGATTGTGCATTCTGTCCAATTAATCTCTCTCCTCTCCTCTCCCCCCCAGACCGGAAACTCACCTCTTGCTCGGCATAGTAGAAGAGGTTTTCCATCAGCTCACCGTCTGTCAGCGCGATGATGACACTGGCCGTTCTGTAACCTGCTGCAAGGCGGAAGGGAAGGGAGCAAGGTGAAGTGGTTTCAATGCCGACAATCTGACATCTATGAACAAGCTGGATGTTTGTGGTAAGCAGTGTAGGAACTAGTACAAGCAAAAGGCTTGACGGGCCAAATGGCCCCTCCTGACCTGACAATTTGTTTGATTACGCGTTTCGCCCACAAAATACCCCAGTCACTCCACTTTACAGTGTATCCCGTGAAGCGCTTTGAGACGTCTCAACGACGTGATAAGGCGCTGTATCGAATGCGAGGATTATTATTGTTGTTACTATGATTACAATGGAGCCGTAGGAAGGGGTGAAGTTGTCGTTCGAACAACTCCAGCTCTGCACTCACCTTCCGTGCTGCTGTAGTAGATTTGTTCACTTGCCTGAAAGGAAATACAATGAGTTACTCAGAACTGCTAATGGGAGAGAGAGAGAGATGCAGCTGTTCATCTCTGTGTGATAAACCCTTGGCACAGTGCCAGTTTAGCTCTATTGGTCGCGCTCTCACTTCTGGGTTTGAAGGTGGGTCCAAGCCCCACATTGGGACATGGAGATTCAGACTGATACTCTAGAGGTGATGGGGGCATCTCATTGCTTTGGGTTAACCCGACTGTTCCACTGGATATTAAAGATCCCATTGGCGTTATTTGAAAAGAGATGGGAGTTTCTCTCTGCCGGTGTCCTGACCAATAATCCCCCCGGATAGAAAATAGTCATTTGATTCATTGCTGTTTTGCAGGATGTTGCTATTCACAAATTAGCTGCTGTATTCGCTTACAAGTTACAGTCACTACACTTTATATTGTCCAGTGCCTTGGGACGTGAAAAGCGCTATACAAATGTAATTTGTTGTTGTTTACAGTAAATCCTATGAACATATTGAGACATCCTGCCAAAGGGAAAGGCGCTATATCAAATGTATAGATTATTATATTCTAGAGGGCCAATTTTTCCCTTTTCTCTGCCTCCTCCTTCCCAGACGCTCTCTCTCTCTATATTTCCAACCAGCCACAAGCACCGAAATGTCTTGAAATATGTAAGGTGTACTGTACCCTTTCAAAACCCTCGTGCATATAAGTATCTCCTCCAGGCTGCACTGTTTGCAGTTCCTCCAATCCTTGTCGAATTTTTTCCCTGTTTGTTTTTTTTGGGGGGAGGAAGTGGGTGGGGAGAGAAAGGAAAATATTAAGTATGAGGATCCATCACTTTTTGGGAACAAAGACATTCATCTCATCCATCACTTAAAACGTCTCTTTTAGGTCAACAAAACCCAAATATTTACTGTAGAGGAGAAAAGGGAATTTCTCACATTGACTTGGCTCCATAGCCCTGCTCCCCCTCTCTCTCTCTCTCTCGCTCCCTCTCCGTTCCATTCTCTTGAGCACCTATTTTGGAATATTTCCTATTTCCTCATTCTTTCGGGTACATTTGATTATTTTACCTTTTGTTTTATCACGAGCGAGCTGGAGTATTTTTCTTCAATTAAAATGTACACTGCGAGACCGCTATAAAAGTAAAAACCTTAATTTGGACAGCCGTCAAGCACACAGCTGCTGGGAGGTGATGGTGTGACAAGCGGCCAATGTCAAGGATGTCAGGCTTGCAAGCCAACTTTTTCCGCTGCCAAAATGCAACAGCAGAAATTGAAGGAAATATCACAGTTCCTCCAATCTGTGTTAGTCAAGAGATGGAGGCTCACAGTCTACCCATGCCTGTGACCAGGAACCCAGCTCCAATGTGATTTGCTTTCAATGTTTTATCATCCAAAGGAGAGATGAAGGAACCGTGTTGAGCCCCAATGATGGTGATGCTGAGTTCAGGCAAGTGGTTTATCTTGGCTGAGTGAACAAGCCTTGGGGAAGGGAGGTCATTGGGCCAATTGTTGCCAGATCAACTTGGCAGCTCATGGCCTTTGCAACGTGTCTCAATGTTTTGTCTTGGGCTCCACTTCCCTCAGCGCAACATGTACATTATAAAAACTTTGACATTGTCCACTGAACCATGGATTGCCTCTTAATGTAAAAGCATCCATTTCATAATTCGTGAGAACCGTCATGATTGCTTCATAAGGCTGAAACCTTAACCCTGTTTCTTCTAAGAACATAAGAACATAAGGATTTGCTGGCAAAAGAAGACCAAGGTCCATCTGGTTAGCTCATAGTGGGCTGGAGATTGTTCTCTGGTCAGCCGGGTGTCTGACACACGCAGAAACCCATCACCGTTGCTTAACAGTCTCCAAACCCAACTGAGAATTCCAGGCCTCCCACCTCCACATGGGAATCCCAGAGATAGCTGGTTGGAATGGAATGCGCTCTCTCTCTCTCACTCTCCCTGGAGGAATGCCTCCCGCTTACCTAATTCCGGAAAGTAATAGGCGCAGGTTGGCGAGAGCCAAGGCCTGAGATGAACCAAGCAATTGCTGCGTTCACTCATTCACACTCCCGCGCAGACACACCAATTACACACACGCTAATTCTTTGATGGTTGCGAAATGCACCTGGATTTTGTTCAGTGAATTCAAACCTCCTGGTACCACTTGTTTAATCAGCACAAAGATACAAAAAGCCCTCTTGCTCCATCACCCTCCCGGCATCTGTCTCGAATCACAGTATTCTGCTGCACTCTTAATGAACTCCTTATAGACTGCAACCTCATCCCACCATCTGGTCACAGCCTTAGATCTATCAAAGCCGATCAGGGGCATCTGATATCTATTGTGAACGGAGTAAAGGCCTCGCATCAAACGGTCAGGAAACATCCACGTTGGCAGTGGGGATCCAATCTTCAGTGGAGCTAAGTGGGGAGCTGGGCTGGGCTGTCATCAGCAGTGTCCTGGAGTGCTGTGGACCTGCCTGGCTGAGGAACCAAACTAGTGAGAGGGACCGACACAGAGAGTGGACTCGATTCTGATACTCACTTGCGAAGCATCCCGTCTTGAAGCCATTTCAGCTCCAACAAGACCCCTCTTACCTCCTCTCCAAGGAACACTATATAAATAGAGTAAATCTAGACCGAGACAACATTTCTGCGCATCGGAGCCTAATATGTGAGCTGTACTTGGACTCTCTCTCTACTTCTACCTCAAGACCCTTAAATGGTTTGTGGGACACAGCTGTGCGTAATTGGCTGCTGCATTTCATCCACAAAGCACAGTCGATTCACTGTACAGCGAATCCTGTGAAGCGTTTTGAGGCGTCTCGAAGTCGTGATAAGGCGCTGTATCAAATGCAAGGATTATTATTATTATTTATTCTAAGAACATTCAGCCCCCAAAGGGGGTGTTCCTGAAAGCAACCATTTTAATTTTCACTTCATTGATCCAAAACGCTTCTGTCTGTTTAAAACGCTGTTTCTTCATAGCGTCGAGCAGGTTTGGGAGCGACTCACCGATCCTCTGTTAACTCCATTAGAATCGTGCCTCTGGTTGAGAAGACTATAAACGACATTCGGAGCTGGGGGCTGAAAAACAGGGAGGGGGGGGAAAGATAAAGCAACACTCATGCTACACAGAGAAGAGGGGGTGGCGGGCGTGGGAATAAGAGACTTGAACAGGGTACGATGAGCTCACGGCAAAAAGTGGCACATTCTCGGCTATTTGGTGTGAGACAGCGTTAGTTCAGACAGCGTTTTACCTGATAAACTTGTGAGCCAAATGATCCACGAAGAAATAAATCTCATTCCAGTGGTGCTGAACGCTGCCGGATCTGAAAGGGAAATTCACATGCATCGATTAGCAACAAAGTGATAAGGCGCTATATCAAATGCAAGGATTATTATTATTGCACATAATGAGGGTGAGGGTTATTCCAACAGTGTCATTCAGATCGTGGACAAACCTGGCATCTCTTGGCTGTGTTATGTTGGCCTTATTATTAATAATAATAATCCGTGCATTTGATATAGTGCCTAATCAAGTCGTTGAGACGTCTCAAAGCGCTTCACAGGATGCACTGTAAACTTAGTTTATTTCCTGCCAATTCAGACTTAAAATGCTTATTTCACTGAATAACCAACTGCGCTTTCTATTCAATTTATTCGGGGGGGGAACTAAACTCCACTGGATACCGTATTTGCTCAGTTTTTTATTTATTGTTCATCCTCTGTCCGGTTCCCATGACAACGCTGTATTTTCCATCTGTCTGCACTTAACGCATGTGCAATTCTGATCATTCCAAACCTAGATGTGGCAGATTGGCTCACGCTTTTCACCACTTGTCATCCAAGAGAAAAAGGAAAATAAGGGGGAGAAAATATTCATCCTGGAAATGGCGAACTTTTTCCCTCTGTTATCTCTTGGCCATTTTATAACCTCTACTGGAGCCTGTGCGCAGTTCTGCGGGCACCAGTTGCGCTCTAATAGCCACGAGCCAATATTACAGCCAAGCTCAATCCAGACACCAGAGACATTCCTTCTTGCCCTCAATGACGTGATTCCATTAAGTCGATTCCATTCCTTTCCTGGCCCCAAATCCCTTCAGTATAATGTACTGAACGCTTTTCTTTCCCCCAATGTACAAGGACTAGCAAAGTTCCAGGGCACTCACTGCTGATGACAGCACAGCCCGGCCCGGCTCATCGGCAGGAACTGGAAGGGCCGACCAGTCACTGGGGTGCAGGGAATCTGCCCCCTCAGCTTCTGTTAACCCCACAGCCAAAGCCCTCACGGGGAGGGTGGTCCTAGCTACACGAGCACCAGGAAAGCTTGCCAGACAGTGATATCAATGGCCAAGCTATGCAATTTAAGATGGTTAGACTCCAGCAGTTACCCCATCGCACACTCTGGGCTCCCCACCAAGCCTTGGCTCTTGCAAACCTGCACCTAATACTTTCCGGAACTAGGTAAGCAGAATGTGACCCTTCAGGGAGAGAGAGAGAGAGAGAGAGAGAGCGCAGTCCATTCCAACAATCTATGTCTGGGATTTCCATGTGTAGGTGGGAGGCCTGGAAATCTCAGTTGGGTTTGGAGACTCTTAAGCAACGGTGATGGGTTTCCGTGTGTGTCTGACACCCGGCTGACTAAAAAAAAACAAGCAAAATAGTAGATTAAGGTCCAATCCCTGTAACGTGTGACTGAGATTCACTGGTAAGTGTTCACTCAAATTTGCCTTCTATGGCCTTTGATGAAGTCCAGTTGCTGCTTCAGTATGTTAAGGTTAAAGGGAACGTGACCTTATCACTGAGCTCTTTTTTTTCTCTGGATATCTCCTGAAACGCAGACTTTGAGCTCATGGGGTGTAGGCTGATGTTCCCACACAGTGCTGCTGTTTGTGAGACATTTCTGTGCCTCTGAATACAGTCACTGCACTTTATCAAACATTTCCTTGGCGTTATTTGAGACATTTTAACATTTGTAAGGCTCTGTGTCAAATGCTTGGTATCGACAACACAAGGCAAATCTCGTATCTCCCTTTACGTGGGTCGGGGTGTTTGGTGGAGGGTCTTTTACATTGTCCAGATGTGAAGAAAGGAAATTTTCAGCAGTGTTAAAATACATCATTTATAGGTCAGGATACAGAACACTTCACCAATGGTGGGGAATTAAATGTAAGACAGCGCCCCCTTCAGGCACTGTTAATGAACTTAACCAACTCAACTCCTGTGTTGAGTATATATTGGGTTTATCAGTGGGGGGGGGTGGGGTTGAGGGGGAGGAAATGGTGTTATACCTCTATCTGCAATAGAAGACCATTTATATCTCTCGCTCCCCCCGGTCCACAAACCCACTGGACTATTTGTTAGGTCAGGGTATCAAGAGATACGGAGCAGGGGCAAGTAATTAGATTTGAGACACAGATCCATAGAATGGCGGAACAGGCTCGAGGGGTTGACTAGCCTACTCCTATGTTTCCATGACTATGTTCACCTTCGTTGAATTCCAGCAGCAACTTGTATTTACACAGCGCCCTTCACTTGGGTTAGCATCTCAGAGCACTTCATCCCAAACCCTAATTCCCTGGAAAATTGGGAATATTCAAACTCCCTTTACTACTCAGACAGGGCTTGGACATTCTGCTCTCTGTGACAAGCTGGTCTGGATGTCAGTAAAATAAAAATCAATCCTTGCATTTGACACAGCGCCTTATCACATCTTTGTGACGTCTTGAAATACTTGACAGAATATACTGTAAAGTGAATTCACTGTATTTTGTGGGCGAAATACAGCAGCCAATTGCGCACAGCAGTGGATTGAGTGATCAAATTATTATTATGATTTATTTATTTAATTTTTTTGAAGGAATTATTGCCCACAGAAAAGCGATCCGCCCATTGATTAACAACCGGGTTCCCACTCACTACTGGTAAACAGAGGCGAGTGTGTGGAGTAAGGAAACTTGCCCAAAGTTTCACTCTGCATCAAAATCAAACCCAGTGCTCTAACCAGTCAGGCTACAGGACTCCCCCCACCCACTCGATGTTAAATCGAATAAATCAGCTTCCTTCAGATAAAAATCTCCAAAGTATCTCACCGTCTGACTTCATGCACACACGAAGGCAGCGGAACAAGAGGCCATGGGCTCAGGGTTGCAAAGGGCAATTTCAGGAGATGTATTCCCTATCCCGAGGATGACAACTGATTGGAATGGGGTTACCAGGAAGGGGGAATGAACCCAAAATGCTAGAGTCTTTCAAGAGTCTTTTTGGAGGAATGTAGGCCAGGTATCCTGGACATAATGGAAACATCTGTTAATTGATTCTATTCCACTCAATTAAGCGCAGGATACAAATGTGACGGTGAAGAAGTGCTGGCAGTCGTGTTTCTGTTTGCTCGCCACATGGCTGCTGAAACTCAGTCCAGATGGGCAGAGAATTAAAGTTTCTATTCTATTTAATCATGAAACAGCTGAATTCTTTGGCGTTCCCAGCGATTATCATTGGAAAGAATCAGATGAAAGTACCTTTGACCATCTAATTTGATTGGAACCATTCAGAAAATCAGCCACACTGTCATTCCCATTACAACATTAACTGCGGAGGTTTCTGCAATGACTCCCAGTGTCCTGGCCCCTACCACCCTTAACCTGGTAACCCGTTCCAGCTGGTGGTTCCTCCTTGCACGGAAGGAAATCCTCACACCGACAGAATGATGTCCAAATCGTTCAATGCTTCAGGCCCATTACCTGGCGGGATCTTTTAAAGTTGCAAGCTTCTTCGAGCTGACCTGCTTTCTTCCTCGTGTTTGGCAGACACGGAAATAACCAAGAATTTTCCTTCAACTATAGAGTGGAATTTTTTTGTTGGCAATGTCAGCCATTGAGCAATACAGGAGCAAGCAAAATAGGCTCAGTTGTCTTTGATGTCTTGGATTAGAATCATAGCCCAAAAGGAGGCCATTCAGTTCACTGATTCCACTCTGGGTCTCAGAACAAAATGTCCATTCAATCCCCCTGCCCTGCCTTATCCCCATATCCCTGCAAACCCCTATTTTTCATTACGTCGAGGCTTGACTATGAAAACTCCCTGCTTGTCGGCCTCCCCAACTCCTCCCTCCACAGGCTGCAGATAATCCAGAAGTCTGCAGCCCGTGTCCTCTCCCGCACCGGGCTCCGTGAGCCTATCACCCCCCTCCTCGCCCGACTCCACCGGCTTCCCATCACACAGAGGACGAGACGAGATAAGGCACTGTATCAAATGCATTGATTATTATTAGCATCATGTACCTGTCTACTTCCCTCTTGAAATCCACAATGGACTCTGTAAGGAACTTTAGGGATTCCTCTTTATGGCTGTGAGGAAGAGGGGAATAGGAGAGGGCAATAGAGGGGTATCTGAGAGGGGAAAACTGGGGGGGGGTCGGGGCGGAGGCTCTTGTGGAGAACAGAAAGCGCTGTCTTCTGAGCAACTCAATGACCAAATGCAGAGTGTAATCTGTGTAGCAGCGACTCAGTTTGTTCAGCTGATCGCTTTGTTCTTCCTGCGCTCCTTCCAACGCGAGACAATGAGCTACAGTTTAGCCACCCTACTGCGCGCCGTAAATATCCCATTCCCCGCAGAATTCTTCTAACCAACGCATCCCCCGAAGCAGAGCTGCCCTTCTATCTGCTGTGAGCCACAGCATTCGGAACAATCGATAGACTGTTCCTCCAGCTCCACTGATTGATAATCCAGCAGCCTTGTCCCGCGATCCTCCCCTATCTGCTTGATGCCTGCAAGCCAGATGCTAGCTTCTCCCGTCACGGCCTAGACATCTACATAAGCCACTTCGACCTCCCCTCACCACCCCACCCCTACCCCATTCACAGAGGCGTTTGGTCATCGACAACAACTTGCATTTACTCAGCGCCCCTGACAGAACGCTCGACGGGGTGGGGGGGGGGAGGTGAGGGTGAGTCGTGACCTGAAGCTTCTCCCAGTCCGGTATCCTGGCTAAATCTCTCGAGCAGGGTCAGGCACTGTCTGTTTCGGTTCCCTTCACATTGTTACACTTGTAAATGTGGACCACATCTTGTAACTTGAAGGCAGGAGGATGGAAGGGGAGCACGGCACTTGTCTACTCTTGTTCAGGTGGACCTCACAGTCTAAGCCGGGGGGAACACTCCACTGTCGGGGCTGCCGTCCTTGGGATGAGACTCTAGACCGAGCTCCCCATATTTGCCTGATTGGGCGGACGTTAAAGATCCCCTGGCGCTCTTCCAAAAGAGAAGGCAGTTTCTCCCAGATTTTCTCCATAAAATCAGTCAGTGCTGTTTGTGGGCACATTGCTGTG